GAAAGGGTGAGCACTCAGACCTGTTCCTTTATATTGAAATATTGTTTTCTCATGGCCAAATAAATACATATCATAGACAAAAAATAGAAAATCAGCATCAACAAAATTTAAGAGAAAAGATGTGAATGAAAGCATTTTTAAAAAGCTAGACTCAGCTTAGCAATTACAACCAATGAAGCTGCTGAGACAGCCAAGTTCAGCCCTGCTTGGGCTGAGACTCAGCTATTGTGAGCACGAAACACACTTTCTGTGCATGAATCTTAATCAGATATCTGACCCCTCTGGTTTCAGTCATCAGACCCTGGACATTGCTCTTCTCCAGCTCAGTCTCTGAATGTTTCCCTCCACTAAGTGCGAGGACCCTTCCTTTTGCTTAACACAGCTCAATACTTTCCTGTAATCTCTTGAATCAGCCTCTGTTTGTTTTAAAAGTTACTTTTACTGGTACCCTTCTGATACACATAACCGTGATGTTTAATCATAGGCAATTTGTACCTGTACATGACTTATTGTGGTTTTTCTTTTTTTTCCCCTTTCTCTTCCCCTTTGAACCCTTATTCTGTTCCTTATTTACAAAAGCGTTGTTTCCAGTTTTTCCTTTTATCTCCCCATCTTGTTCCTTTTCCCATTTGAACATTTTGGTTTTTTTTTTTAATAAACTATTTTATAGGATCTCCCAATTTTCCTGTTTCTACTACGGGTTCAGAACATTCAGATGATGGAAATTTTAGAAAAGGCAAGTAAACTCTCTTTTGGTTCAATATCAATAATAGTGTTATGTTCCACTTTTCCCAAGCCCCAGCTCAAGTCCTCTTTCCTAGAGTTCGGCAGAGGTCTTGCAGGTGTCTCCAATGACCTGTCCCCCCCCCCAAATTCCCTACTCCAGCCCGTCCTTGGTGGTGGAACTCCCCTGAATAAGGAACCTGTACAGTGCTTGGGTTGTATGTCATCAACCATGGTATCCTGCATGCAGGGTGGGAAGCAGCAGTTGGCTCTTGAAACGTTTGTAAATTTTGGAACTTAGCGCTTGAGTCCTGATTACAACACACATTCCTGGTTTTCTTCTACAAGAATGCTCAGGTCTCCTCGTGTTTGTGTGTTTACAGCAATCCTATTATTATTCAGTTTCTTCCCATCCTTTAGTAGAAGGGTAGTAACTTCAGGAAAAGTAATGAGCTCAAAAGGAAACTCAGAAATGGGTTACAGAATGTTAGGGAGGCTGTAAAAGAAGTTTCACTTAGTGCAGTTAGGTTTATTGACAAATTTGATTGCACGATTACACATTATAATTTGGTCCCTTAATGCATTTTAAAACCACCCATTTTGAGACCTAAGTCCTGGCAGTGAACATTAGAAGCTCAAATTTGTAAACTGCTAAGGGATATTCAGCCCTGGACAATACCAAACACTTCCCATTCCGGAGAGTTTTAATTCTTTAAGACCATTGAAAATTCCAGGTCCTGAACTAGGGCAGTTCTTAGGCAGAGGCATGTTTTAGGTGATTGCTTTTTCAAAATATAAATTTATATCTAATCCTGAGATCTTAATCTAGATTTCCAGGTGAAGCCCAGGCTTGTATCTTTAACAAGTTTTCCAGATAATCCTGATACATGTTGTAAAGAACCACAGATGGAGATAGTAGAAATTCCTTTCCAGTGATTGGCAGCCTTTGCTGTGAAGGTCAGAGAGTAAAGATTCTGGATTTTATAGGCCTTATCTCACACTTGCAGTGTGGTTACAACCACAGGCAGCCCAGGAACAAGTGTGTGTGGCTGTGTGCCAGAGAAATATATATTTGCTGTAACGGATAAATTTGGCCTCCAGGTCATGGTTTACATGGTCTAGAATTGCACTGGGATCTGGGTGTGGGTTTGCACACCAGGCAGTGGTGTTTTACTAGATCCCCATGTGAAGCCAAGATTGAGAGCACTCTTCCACAAAACCAGCCTTCCACGAATTCTGTATCTCAGACCAACTAAGTACAAATGGAAAATATTTCTTTAAAAATGTCTGTACTGCAATGTTTTTCTTGTTTTCATTCCCTACGTGACATACTATAACAACTGCATATACAGCATTTACATGGCGTTAGGAATTCTGAATAATTTTGAATAAGAGAAACATGTTTTAAAGTGTCTGGGAGGGTTGCACAGATTGTATTAAAAATACTACAAAAACTGTACCCTTTATATAAGGGACTTGAGAGCGTCTTCAGATTCTGGTATCCAAGAGATACCAAGGAATGACTTTACTTAATTGTAGGCACTGAAGAGCACAAACAAATGAGCAGTTTTACAGATCTGTCTGCGTTCAGGTTTCTCACTGTATTTCATGACCCTGGGAATTATTGGAATTTCCAGGTCAAGGGATCAGTTATAGCCTGATAAGAGTTATTATCAGATACATCTTCAAGGTTCCTTTGGGAAATAACTACTCCCAAAGAAGACTCTCTGGAAAGACACTTCTAGTTCTCCAAGTTCAAAGAGCAGTGACAAACAAAACCAACAGCTGGAGAGAGCCTAGGTGCTTGCTTTGTCTAGGAAATTGAAGCAATCTGGACTGGACATGCGAGCAGCCCATCTGGCCTGAAGACAGGGCCATCCTGTTTTATTACTGAATGAGGATTCTTGACAAAGGTCATGCAAAGACATCTCTGGTCATGAGTTGGCTCTTAGTCACTTCCATAGAGGATGAAAAATTTCTGCTCTCTTACATTTTGTGACGGGGCTTGATAACTAAATGAACATAAGGCAGATTAACAGAAAAAAAGCATACAACTTTGTTTTGTATTTTACACAAACATTGACATCTTCAGAAGGAGAATAAAAGACCCCAAAACACCATTAGGCCCAAAGGCTTATATACATGTTACACAAGGAATAAATGGTGACGACGGGACAAAACAGTGGAGCAATGGGACAAGTGTCAGGAAATACATGGGGAAACTAGAGGCAGATAGGGGTGATTTCAACAGTGTGGCTTACCAGATCCATTTTAGTCTGTTCTCATCTTTGGTGCTAAGAGTGTCCCTCTTCTGGGTCAGGGAGGTATTTTTCTCGTGGGACATTTTATGACTTTGTTGGAGGAAGGAAGGGGAGGGCAGAGGACCTTTCCTGATGTTTGTTCGTTGCCTGTGGCTCAGAATAATGTGTCAGAGAGATGACTTTTGGGATGCCTGAGTCTCTGATCTGAAAGCTTTAATAGTTGCATGTAACCTACACACACCTTCCCGTGTCTTTAAGCTCATCTCTGGATGACTTATAATACCTAATATGATGTCAGTGCTATGTACATAGTTGTCATACTATATTGCTTAGTGAATAATGACAGGGAAAAGTGTACATGTTCAGTACAGGCATTTGCCTCTCAGATATTTTCAATCCATAGTTGGCCAAATCTGCAGACATAGCACCTGTGGGTAACAAAGGTATGTTGTGTGGCGTGTTCTGAACTGCTTCACTTTAATGCTCTTTTGGTCAAATTAAGAGACTGTCCAGTTTAAGCATGAACAGAGTAAAGATCAGGTAAAGACTATAAAGTTACTCTGAATTTTCTTTTTATTCTCAAATTATTGCATTAAAAATTAATGCCACAATTGTTATTAACCTTTTATCCAAAAGGGATAAAGGTTTAAGGCAAAGGAGAAGAGGAATTTAACTAACTTTTCATATTATCTATTATTTTAACCCTTGTTAAATTTTTCCGCTTCCCTCCCAAGAAGGGCGAACCCAGTCAAATCTTTGAATCTTTCAAGATCTTTCTTAGGGGAACATTTTCCATACTTAGAAGTAGAAATGTTTTCAGTATGAGATTGGTTGGGATATATATACTCTTGAGTTATTTTTAAAATTGTCATCAATTTGTATTCTTAGAATAATGGAAAGAAGATGGCTTTAGAATCAGGCAGACCAAAGTTCAGATCCTAACTCTGCTCTCCTGCCTGTGGGACCTTGCCATGTCACCCCTTATTGAGCATTTTTCCTCACCCATAAGATGTATGTCTATCTCACTGAGCTCTTTCTTGACTTTATTACTCACACGTTCATAATGTAGTTGAGCAAGAGCCCTCTCTTTTGGAGACACATTTATTTACTAAAAAACATTCTTCAGTGCTATCAAGGTCCTAGCTTAAATGCTCATGAAATCTCCAGGCTGGTAGACTTTCACTCCTCCATTTCTGTCTAAGAAATTGCCCCCAAATGTAGAGGCTTAAAACCACAGGGATCATTTCCCTCCCTGTGTGGGCTGGTGGGGTGTGCTCGGGTCTGCTGGGGCCGAGCTTGACTGGAGCTGCTGACACCTCTCTCCCCACCCCCTCCCCCATTCTCAAAAAAGCCATGCTGGGCCCTCCTACCCTGTCTCAGGTCCCACAGGGTGAGTGTGGACCATGCAAGGTATGTGGTGACCTGGGCTCAGAAGTCACAGAATGGCTCTGGCCTCATTCTATTGGTCAAAATAAGTCATGAACCAATAAGAGATGTCAAAAACAGAAGTGTAGGGAAAGACAAGCCCAGCCAAGGTAGAGAACAAGGGGAGGGAGGAGAGCCAACTTATACAGCTAGTCACCGAGAGCTTCCAAGGTCTGAGATGCACCTAAAGGTGAGAGGGGGCTGCTGTGCTCAGAACCAGCTAAGAACAGTCCTGGCACAGGGTTCCTACCTGGGCAAAGATCCTGAAGCAGTAGGTGTTTGACGGGGGCATCAGAAGCCTTTTGCATGTTGGAAAGGTCACATTTCTGGAGGATGCAGTGAGACAGTCCCAGGAAAGCCCCAAAGCTGTCCTGGCATTAAATTATGTTAGTTTATTCTTTCCTAACATGTGAAAAGTGGAAGGTATAAATGTGTTTAATTCAGGATTGCCATTGGATAGGAATCTACTGTGTTGGAGTTTTACTCCAAGTTTTACTCCATTTCCATGACAGAAACCCGAGGAAGAGAGAAATTCACAAAGGCATGGAGAACAGAGGCCCTGCTGACATCTCTGGTCCTTGTCTTTCACAGGGTGTGACTGTGACTTGCAAGGTGTTCTCCCCAGAATATGTGATGACCAGGGAAGGTGCCTGTGCCGCTTGAAAGTAGAGGGCCTCCGATGTGACACCTGCAGTGCGGGCTTCTACTCTTTCCCTATTTGTCTACGTGAGTAAGCAACCTGTAGCATATGGATCCATCCTCTGAGTTAAATTCCTTCCCCAGGAGCTTCTGGGAACTTTTCTGGCAGATACACCTGGCTTTTAGTTTAGTAAGTTAGCTCCTGGCTTATACATGTATGTTACACCCGTCTGTCCTCCTGGGACCTGGTTGCCAGTTCCTCTCCCTTCTTCCCTCCCTTCCTCCTCCCCAGTATCTGAATTGTGGACTCAGCTGCCGGGTTCAAGCCCTGGCTCTAGAGAAGAGGATGTAGGAACCTGCCATGTAGAGATGAAGCAGATACCCAGGGAGAAGGAGCAGCACCTGCAAAGTCAGACACAGGAAACCATAATTACCTCTTTCCAGGTGCTTGGTGACCTAGGATTCCATCCTAGTAAGTGAAGAGAGGTGGGAGGAGCAGGGAGGATGCATCTGGCCGGTGTCTAGCACATCACCAGTACACAGTAGACAGTGGGGGCAGGATGGGAACTGTGAGTTTGATTTTCAGAAGCCTCAGCCCCAAGGGTGTAGGAGATAAAGGTTTCTTGTAGGGCAGACTAAGAAACACCTATGTCATTTTTGTTGTGCCTGAGCCAGACCTTCAAACCCTGGATGCTTTATTTTCTGTCCCTACTTTGTCCAACATAATTAGAAACAACCAGCCAGCTTCATTGTACTCATTAGGTTGACAGAAATGTTTTAAATTATCAAATACATAGCTATTCAGAACCTTGTTTCTTCTATTTGCCTAGGAGCATCTAATAATGATGTTTATCTATATTTCTGTTGTCTCATCCAGCCATGGATTATTACTACTCTCTCTGCTGCTGGAAATAGTCACTAATTCCTCTAAATCTAGTCAGCTTAGGAAATGCCAGAATCAACTCAGAATTCATCCTGAAGACCTTTGCTCTAGAAATTCTTCACATTGTGTCCAAGTATGTGTTAGAGTTCTCCAGAGAAACAGAACCAATAGGCTTGCATGTGTGGAAAGATAGACAAAGAAAGATTAAAGAATTGGCTCATAAAAATGAGGACTATCAGGTCCAAAAGTTGAAAAATAGGTGAGCATGCTGATGAGACAGGGAAGAATTTATTTTTGCAGCTCGAATCCAAAGTCTATGGATTCTTTCTTGTAGGATATCAGTCTTTTCCTCTTAAGGTCTTGACCTGATTAGAAAAGGCACACCCATATCGTGGCATATAATCTTGCTTACTCAAACTCTACTGCTTTAGATGTTAATCTCATCTCAAAAGTACCTCCACAGCCCAATCTGCCATTTGACTAAACATCTGAGTACCACAACCCCAGCATGGTGACTCAGAGAATTAACATCCCAGAGGCCAAAAACACTTGCTCAGAAATCCACCTCTTGGTAGGGACTTAACCTCGGCAGACAGGCCTGCTAGGGCCACAGGAGGACACTGACAGAGATGGCACTAGGGAATCAGCCCTTGTCCTACCTTGCCACAGCTGGTGAGCATCCTTAGTCCCATTCCTCATGCTTAGTTTCTTGCAGGGTAGGATGCGCTAGGCTACGTCAACAATTCTCTAGCTCTTCTTCCCGACCCGTAGTTCTTTGAGATCAGGAACCGTACTTCGGTGTTAACACCCATCATCCCGGCCAGCCCTGTGCCCCTGAACACATCAAGCCTCCAGTCTGTGTCCGGTGGATGCGTGGATGTAAAGTGGGAGGGCAGGAGGCAGTAAATTCTCTGGATCTGTCCTTAATTATGTTCCTATGAACACATTACATAGCTGTTGAACTCTGAGGTAATTTGTAATAAGAAAACTAACTCGGTTCCCCACCATCTGTGAGAATTTATTATTATTATTATTATTCCAAAAACAACTAGGGCTAACTCATTACAATTATTACTAAAACACATTTTCAGAATAAGTCATCACTAATAGGGTTAAATCCCATCAAAGAGAATAAAAACTGCATGGTCTTCTTGGCCTTAGGGTGCTGTGGTCCCAGGCTTAGCCGTGTAGGGCTTTTTAAAACCCCAGGAGACCTTAAATAAAACACCAGAAGTGAGACTTTGCTTTATGGTTCCACTAAGTGGAACATTTGAGATTTGTAAATAAAGCTCTCCTCCTCCTTCCATTCTTCCTCCTCCTCCTCCTCCTTTTAGCCAAGTACAATGTATTAATTTGGACCTCAGAAATACAACTGTGCTGTGTGATGGTGTAAAGAGCAGTTTCCCCAGCGGTGGGGAGTTGGGTGCTTAGGATAATAGCGTTAATGAGAGCAAACTCCGAGTGCTCTACCTCGCCAAGCCTTGTGCTCAGCACCTGTCACACCTCGATGCAGAGGCCCCTCCAGTGACCTCTGGGAGTGGATACTCTATCAGTTCCAGTTCGCAGAAGAGGACACTGAAGCTTAATGAGACTAAGCACCTTGTCCATGGTTGCATACTGTCATGGGGCACAGCTGGCACTCGCATCCTGATGTGTCTGACCCCAGAGGTTGAATTCTTTTGCTGGAGACCAACTGGATGACTCAGAAATTCCAGTTAGCTTCCGAATGTCACCGTGCAGTGCTGGACTCAATAGGACGTGCAGCTCTCTGGCTAAAGAATTTCCACAGCTCACCCCTTCCCAAGAGCAGGGTCCTTGCAGCGCCAATGACAGTGACACTCTGTAACGCTGGTCTTGCACAGAGACAGAGGATCCTGCGCGGGGTGACCAGAGTCTCCGCTTATGCTTTCACCCCTGAGACAAAGATGAAGTAAAGGCTTGGGGGGGGCACTTTTCAGGATTTTTTCAGGATTATTCAATTACAGTACCTCGGACCTTGAGAAAACAGATATAGAGAGAGGAGACATGGAATAACACGGCGACATGTCTATGCTGACTTGGACCTGAAAGGTTTACACTCAGTCCCTGGTAGGACCTGTCATAAGCGTGAAAGCTCTGATGATCCAGGTTTCCCATCAGCTGTCCCCTTCACTGTCCTCTTATGAGCACCACTACCGTGTGCCAGAGGCACCCCAAGGGCCCCACCCACCACCAGCCACTTGCTGAATACAAAATTAACAACAGCAAGAAGAACAAGCACTATGACAAGCACCTGTCACAGATCTTTCAAGTCCTGTCTTAGTCTTCACAGTGATCTTATCAAGCAGATGCTAGTGTCAGTCCCATACCAAAGAGGGGAGATTGAGGCTCGCATCTGTCGAGCGGTTAGTTTCGGGCTCCAGGTCTATTCAGAGGTAGAGCTGGAATTTGTGTTTGGATCTTTCTGGCCCCATCCCCAGTGTCTGACTCCCTCACCCTGCCTGTACTCTGGGTCTGATGGAGTTCTTTTCATCCAGCCTGCCAGTGCTCAGCCCTGGGGTCCTCCCGGAAGACATGTAACCTGGTGACCGGGCAGTGTAAATGCCTGCCATGGACAACAGGACGGCGGTGTGACAGGTGCCTCTCAGGAGCCTCCGACTTCCCCCATTGCCAAGGTAGGGAAGTCCGCAGAATGCTGCAGGGCTGGCTGCTCTGAGCGCATGCAGCTAGCCCGTTAATAAAGCCTGCAAAGCCCTGAAGATCCACCCTGGTCACCCCTAATGTTGACCCAGGCTGTCCCTCTTTAAGTCCATTAAACCACACATGTCAAATTTGTATCTTCAAAGAATGACAAAATGATGTGTTCTGAAATCAAGTTTAAATTTGCATGTGTGACGGATTTGGGCTTCTTGGTGGGCTTGGTGGACTTGTTGGCCCCCACACTGAGCACCGGCGGTCTCTCCTTGCTGGCTCTGGCGTTTGAGCGGCACTGGGCTCTTCCCTGTGGGGCCCTAGCTGTGGGCTGTTTCTGCTGCTCTCTGCTGGCTGCCTGTGCCCTCCTGGGCGTTGTGTCGTTACACTCAAGCGCAAGTGTAGGGAAGAGTCTGGACCCAGGGCGGCCCAAGCAGTGGGGAAAAAGTGGGCCAACGAGGAGATGGAAAGAGATGAGCATGAGTGGGCCATGTTCTGTGACTGAGGGGATGGAAATGAGATGCCACCATTCTCCCAAAGCCTCCTCTGTGGGCAGCCTCCAGGCAGCTAGAAGCTCCCACCTGGAGTCCAGAGCCTCTTGCCATTTGAGAAGGGGGATTTGTGCAAGCAGACCCACGCTTTCCAGCCAGAGAACACGGTCTTCTCAGGCTCATCTTGCTTCTGACTGATAGTCTGTGGATGTTAGTTGGAAGCTCGAATCCTAGAGCCAGGTTCTTGAAGGTGATAATTGGAGACAGGCGTCGGGGGTGCCCACCACTGAGAAGGCCTGAGGGTTCTAGAAGGTGATGGCACTGTAGGGTAAGATGCCCTGTGTGGGCCTCAAGAGTGGAAGGAAGTGTTGCAACAGAGGCTGAGCAGCAAGGGCCTTCCCAGTGTTGGACAATGCTGTGTACACACAGTGTGTATGCGTGGACGGTGCTGCATACGCACAGTATGTATGTGTGGACAGTGTTGTGTATGCACAATGTGGATGCATGGATGATGTTTTGTACACACAGTGTATATGCATGAATGGTGCTGTGTACGCACAAGTGTATGTGTGGATGGTGCTGTGTATGCATAGTATATATTATGCACAGTGCTGTATATACAAAGTGTGCTTGGACAGTGCTTCATACGCACAGTGTATATGGACAGTGTGTATATGTCAGCTGTATGTGCATGAGTATATATGGACAGTGTTGTATATGCACAGTGTGTATGGACCATGTCACATGCATGCAGTATGTATGACCAGTGCTGCATACATATGAGTGTGTATAGACAGTGGTATATAGCATGCTGGCCAATCCAGGGGGGAACCCAAAGCTGGGCGTAGCCACAGTGGAAAACAAGAGCAAGACAGTTGCATTGACTAATAAAGGAAGAGGAGGAGGACGAGGGGGAGGAGAGGAAGAGGAGAAACCAGAGGAAACTGAGCTGAACAGAGGCAGGGGACACTGGCAAAAAGCTAAGGAACAATTTATAAAAGAAACAGGATTCAATTATGGCTTGATATAAAACATCACTTGAAAACCAGGCTCTGAACAGGCTTACCCTACCTGTTTGCCAGTCTAAAGGCTGTATAATAGTCACACTGAGACAATAGTCCTGTTCCACTTGTTAAGAGAGATTTTATTAGGCTTGTTATGCTATGCTGACAAAGGCAGGAATGCAAATAAATTGTGTGTGTGTGTGTGTGTGTGTGTGTGTGCATGAGTATGTGTGTGTATGTGTGTTTGTGCATGTGTGTTGAGATTTAAACCCAGGGCCTTCACAATGAGCTGCACCCCCAGTCCTTTTTAATTGCTAAATTGCCCCCAAGTGCTGGCATTACAAGTATGTACCATCACACACTGGCACACAAATCGGTTTTATAAATGACTTTAGCACAGGTGAGGGACAAAATCTGGTAATAATTAAAGAATTAACTCTTGGGTAACTAAAAACTGAATTTAGAAATTCTTTAACTGGACAAATGAAAATCTCTTGGGACAATACTGCCCTCTTCTGGTCAACTCTGAAGATGCTCAAAATGTTGCGATCTAATCTCCAATTTTATTAGGAGTCAGGGAGTAGAGTTGTTCAGTGACAAAGAGAAGCAACTTGGGAATCAAGAATAATGGGCATTATTGAGTTTGAATCACACAAAAGTCTTTGCCATCCATTTATTTGAATATATAAATATAGGTGCACTATCTTTAAAGACTAGCAAAATTTTAAAAATTTGAAATAATCAAGACAAACCCAAATTTCCAACACTGACATTTCCAAATCGTATACAGATTTCAGCAGCACTTGTAACCCAGCCGGAACCATCAATGAAACCCCGGTAAGTAGAATTACAACTCTGTTCTTTGGGTGCTTATTCAGTACTAGCCTGGGGACCTTCCTAAAATTGAAAGTAAATTAACAGGAAGGCCCAAGAGCAAACTCCTTAAAGAGGTTAGTTGTTCTTTTTCCAAGTACATGTGCGATTCTGTGATGTTTTCATAAGCCAAAGAGTAGCAATTACTTAAACACTGTACTTTGGAGTCCTGGAGTTTAGATCTTCCTGTAGGTTACTCTGAGGCCCAGGCTCTGCCTGCGGCTGACGACCTTCATAACAAAGCTGGCTGCGGACACACACATGGCCATGACTTCTGCATTACTGCAGCACATGCTGTGGTTCTCTGAACAATTTTCTAAGACCTAGCTAGGTGCCTCCTGGGACTGGGCAGACAGTGGGAAAGAGGTCGTGCCACCTCTACTATGAGGCTCGATTATATGGAAGCCAGGCAGCGAATCTTGCTTTTCACCAAAGTGCTCTCAGATGTGCATCGTTCTTTACTGATTCCCAGTATGTTAGGACATTTGCATATTTATCTGTTTAAATGTATAGTCTATGCTGGAACAGCACGAACAGGCACATTATCATTATATGAATGGTATTTACATTTTTCTCTCTCTGTATTGTCCAGTGTCTTTTTAACAGTGGGGTAGATTAAGTCAATCAATAAAAGAAAAAGCAATTAGCAGACTTGTTGATATCGATCCCTGAATGTACTTGATTTATTCTTCATGGCCAGAATACATCTCCATGACAAGCCTTTGCTAGGAATGCACATTTGAAAACAGGTTTTAGAATTCCATGGTGTCAAATGTCAGTTTGGTTCTCGTTCAAAGGGGCATTGCCAGTGCAAGCGTCATGTCAAAGGTCCTACCTGCAGTGTCTGCAAACCGCTGTACTGGAATCTGGCCCGGGAAAACCCCAATGGGTGCTCAGGTAAAGATTCTTACACCCCACTACTGCTTCCCATATTGTAGCGTCCTCTGAATTTTCTCTATCTCAGATGACTAAACCCACAAAAGAAGTATTTGTTGAAGCAATTTGATTCATCTGAAATTCCATGGAATGTATTTTTTTTTCCTTCCACTTTTGATGGAACTTCTGTCATTTCCAAAATTGCAGCCGGGCACTGATACTCTGTTCCCATATGTGTGCTGTCATTGGTGAAGGCAGCTACTTGAGAAATGCTTTTTGCCTCTTTGTTTTGATCACCCACTCTTTTGGACTCAGTTTAAACTTTACGCCTGAATCGATGCCAGAGTAATAAATTACAGCCACTGAACTATGGGTGCGGAATGAAGTGGGTGTCTTTAAATAGACTCTATGGTCATGCCAGCCCACCGACCATCACCTTGACATTAGACTCACTATAAAAATCCTGCAATGTTGCAGCTTTTGTTTTGGAGTAGCCATAAATGTTACTCCTAGATGTATTGTATCGATTGACCTGCGGAAAGCCGGCCTGTTTCAGGTTCTGTGGCGGGCGGCAGGGCTGCTGACGTATGCAGGAGGGTGGCGTCCACTCTGAAACGTTGCTTCAAGAACACTTTCTTATCTCCACAGAATGCGGGTGTCACGAGGCAGGGACACTGAGTGGAATTCGAGAGTGTGGGCAGGTAATTTGGGTGGATTTGGGGGTGACAGTGGGAGGGTGTTTAGCCATCAGTTAGGGGGCTTCCGGGGCAGGGGATCAGTGACGATCATGATCGTCTCCTTTAGATCTAGCAGCCTTGCTTCCTGATATGCTGAGCCAGTTCTCGATCTTGAAGCTTGCAAATTCTGTAACTTGTATGAGCTTTTCTCACCAGGTTCATTGTTCTACAGGCTAATGGTAACTGTTACTGCAAGGCCCACGTGACGGGTGATACCTGTGACATCTGCCCAAATGAATTTTTTGGCTTGGAGAAGCAAAATTACTTTGGGTGTAAAGGTAAATCCACCAGGCAGATCCTGAGCCAAGCAGTGGTAAAGAACCAAACTGTCAGAGCCATCTTCTTGGGCCCGCTTTCCCGGATGGCGCTGCAATGTTCTGTCCAGGGAATTTGGCCAGATAGTCAGCAGACGTGAATCACAAATTGCTAACATAGCTGCTTCTGCTTCTCTCCTACCAGATCACCGTTGGCTTAATTATTAGGAAAATAGTTGGGATGGAGGGTCCTTCTCTCTCTCCCCTTTCTTCCCCTCCCCTCCTGCTTAGTAACTTTAAGGCTATATTTTGTTGTATCAGAAAAGCCAGAGCTTCAGAGATAGGATTGTATGAAATAATGAACTTGTAAGAGACGTTGACCTGAAAGGCCACTCTCAACCCCCCATCTCCTCATTAATATACGTCCTTTATACACTGACAGTAGTTTGCATGGGATACCGATGTCTGGCTGACCTGTGTCATGTACTCTAACTTAGGAGCAGACTTTTTGGAGATTCAGGCCATTTTCCCTTAGCAGGTTTTGGCGGATTCCCAGTCCCTGCCAGATGTGAGATAAGACAGAGGAAAGAGGGTCACTGGCATCTCCTTCTCTCCGTGGGAGGCAAACATTTGTGTGGAGATGGATAGATGGGTGACTGTGTCTGTTTCCTGACTTTTAGGGTGTCAGTGTCATCTCGGTGGGTCGTTCACCTCCAAGTGCTTTGAGCCCTTTGGGCTGTGCCTGTGCCTGAGGCATGTGTCAGGGGACAAGTGCCAGAGGTGAGTCTCTGGAGGCTGTCTCCGTGTTCACGTGGTGGGAAGTTATCTTAGAGCTTCCCATCTGCGCTAGGTTCTGTCCTAAGACCAAGTGCAGATGAAGCTGTGTCGCACCAATTGAAATCTGGACCTCTGTCCTGGAGTTAAGTAACACAGGAGACAAGGATGCTCATAAAACCTGTGGCCCTGTGTAAGCCACAGAGCACCCACACTCACAAGTTCCTGGGTTTGGACTGGACCCGTGCAGCAAGTCATGTGGGCAAGCTGGAAGCTGCGTCCCCATGCCCAAGTGACTGCACAAGGGAGCTGAGCACAAGGGCCAGCTCTGCCTTGGGGACACTTAGGAATAACAAGGGGGTGGGTCTCGCATGCTCAGGAGCGAGGCTGCTTCTGTCTGGGCCCCAGGAGTGAGGGAACATAGAGGGCAGTTGTGTTGCAATAGGAGACATAAAAAAACTTCTCAAGTGGAAAAGTGCTTCCTGTCCTAGGAGCACATGAAAATGAACTGTGAAAGTCAGGAGGCAAAGTGGAGAATGAGACCCTACGGCCACATACTGTGTCTTCCCATACCGTGTTCAGCTGTGTGTATATACACACGCTGGGGTACAAAACGCGGTGCACGCTGCTGCACAGTGCCACCTAGTGGAAAAGCAGGGACCTACACTACCGGAAGCTTTGCCTGGGACCTTAGGAACAACGGGTGACCAATTTCAGCGCATTCAGTGCAAACCATAGTGACCTAAGGTTGAGAGAAGGTGTGTTGTTGTGTGCTGCAAATCGTGGACTGCAGACCATGCGTTTCATCGGAGTAGTGCCGTAGTACCAGTTCCGATTCCAGCTTTTTAAGAAACTTGTCATCATGGGAGACGCAACATGGACTTGTGGTTTGAAAGCTGAGACCAAGGTTCAGAACTGTCAGTGGAAATCACTCAGTTCTCCTCCTATGGAGAAAAAAACCATGTCTGTCAAGCAAGAGCCAACATCAAGGTGATGCTGTGTTTTTTGAGCTGGATGGAATTGTATGAGCTGAGCTTGTTCCCAGGAAGACTATGGTGTGGTCTATGTAGATGTTTAGATGAATGAAAGCAATAATTTACAGAAATAGTGGGGAGCAGGCTACCTCATTATCCCTATTTAGTGTACTCAGCCAAGTTGGTGGAGTTCTTTTAACACTGATATAGCGTCTTCAGATGATTAATGAACCTGACTTGATATATCTGTGTTTATCTTTATGAAAGTCCTGAAGCAAACCACTATTTCCCGGATTTGCATCATATGAAGTATGAGATTGAAGATGGCACCGTACCTGATGGCAAGATCTTTCGGTTTGGATTTGATCCCTTGGAATTTCCTAAATTCAGCTGGCGCGGATATGCCCAGATGAGCGATATCCAGGTACTTGACAGGGAAGCTGTCCACACCCTCAGCCCCACCAGGGGCCCCCAGAGATGAGCTGTCCCCAAAACTGATTCCAGCATTGACTTTCTCCAGAGCAAAGACTGTGACTGGAGGTCAGATTAGGCTTGGCGTTGGGGGTAGGATGGGATTATAACTAATAAACATACATTTGGATTTCACAATCTATTACTGCTTTATTTTGGTCACCAAATCAGAAGACAAAAAGATAGAAGAAAATGGTGTTTATCTTTAGAGGGTTTTACAGGAAGAAGGAAGCTTCCTAAACAGTAGCAGGCTACACTATAGAATAAGGGACACATTTTTAAAAATAAAAAATGGAAAATAACAATGAGTTGGATTGGGGCTGGGGATTTAGCTCAGCGGCGTAAGCGTCTGCCCTACAAGCAGGCAGTCGTGAGTTCGATCCTTGGTACCAATAAAAAGGAAAAAGACAAAAAAAAAAATGAGTTGGATTAAATAGTTCCAGTAAAGCTAGTGCTGCTAATTTTTGACTGTTGCTTTGGGAGCCCTGAAGAACTATGTGAACAGAAAAAAAGATAAATGGTGGGTTTTAGTTAGTGCAATTGAATTTTTCTTTCTCATATTTCTTATTTCCTTTGCTCTTTGCTGCTGTATTCATCTATCTTGGCTCTGCATTAGAGTAAGGAGATTTAAATGTTGTTTACCTTTGGCATATGAACCAAAAATCCTGTACGATGTTAAATAATTTTGTGCTCATAGTTTCCCTTTGAGACTGGTCCCCTCCTGCTGTTTCTCAGTCGAGACACAGGATGGGGGTAAGCCGATGGCGCAGGACCCAACATCTGTCCTTAGCAGATGATCCTGCACAAGTAACGTTGGTTGAGAAACTGGGACAGGCCATAGTTCTCCTAGTCCCCATTGATTCTAATGCTGCCTTTTGCCTGGTCGGATTCTCCCAACCAAAGCTGCCTTTGACAAATACCAGGACCTTAAAACAAGGTCTTGCTACCTCAGTCGGGCTGGCTTTGAACTTCCATAGGATCTTGAGACAGCTGTCTTTTGTTTCTGCTCAATACAACAGTTTGGTCTCTTTAGTTTCCTTACCTTACTTTTTTTACTCAGAAAAACGTGGTAAGTTCATTGAGTCACAATAGCATGAGAATGGAATCCAGTGTAGGCTCTTTCATAGGTGATCACAGGTTTAGAGATGAGCTTGGTGACCTAGAGTGAATTTCGAAGGGTGAATTTTCTGAGGAAGATGTGATGGTGGCCTCTGAGTTACCATGTATCTGCTTTTAATACATCTTCGCTTCTTTGTTTCCCAGCATGGCACTAACACTGAAAGATGAATTCAGTCCAGAACGGGGGGGGGGGGGCCCGGGGAGTTCCTCAGTGTGGGTCACCTGCAGCTCTGGCTTCCAGAGTTTCCTGCCCCAACACGGCCATGACTGTCTCCAATGTCTCACTCCACAAATGTCCCCTTCACTGGAACCAAAGCAGCCGGGCGGGGGGGGGGGGGGGAGAACCATAAAGACCATCTGATTGAAAATATCCATGCTTTGTGAACTTTCCTGGACTGCAGACGGATTTGGACATGTAGTCTGTGGTTCGGAATTGAAACTGTCTACTCTTATCATCAGAATCATGCTTAGCACTGTGTTGGGCCCCAGGGTATGGGACCCTTCCTCAATATTAGGCTCAAAAGCTAACATTCTCCTTGGGTAAGGGCTTGAGATAAAACTTTATAAATAGGTATATTTTCTTTACGTGCTGATTTCACCACTGATGTGTCCAGGGTCTGTAACTGTTCCTCAGCTACCACTGGTTTCTGTGAACATTATTATTATTTTTTTTAACTCTGTGAACATTTTTTTTGTCTTTTTCATTTTTATCGGTACCAGGGATCAAACTCACGACTGCCTGCTTGCAAGGCAGGCACTTATGCCGCTGAGCTAAATCCCCAGCCCAACTCTGTGAACATTTAGATTGCATGGATGTGAAGTGGATCTTGGTTGAAGTCATCTCTCTTTGAGGGAGAGAAGTATGAAATAATACACTTTCCTTTCCTTTCCTTCTGCCTTTTTATCTTTTCTCAGCCAGTGGTGGTTGTCTTGTCACAGTGGCTTTCTTACTCTGACCCACCTAAAACTCTGCTCTGTCTGCCTGTTCACAAAATGGTCAGAAGAGGGTCTCAGTAGCAGGGGAATGCCCTTACACTGCAACTTCCATTGTAAGTGATTGCGATTCATTGTCAGGCTGGCTCATTACCAAGCTTGGTGCTTGCTGAGGCGTATGAATGTGCACTGTGTGTGTGTGTGTGTGTGTGTGTGTGTGTGCAAACACTTAAAGTTCAATGCTGAATGTGAGTAAAGTCACTGGTTAGCTAGCATTTCTTTGAACCAGGTTTCTCTTTCATGCTTTGTGGCTTTGGGTATTCTTTCAGAAAGAAATAACGATAAAGTTGGACGTGGGGAAGTCAAGTCTCTCCTTGTTTCGCATTATTCTGAGGTACATTAACCCTGGAACTGATGCAGTATCTGGACATATAACTGTGTATCCATCTGAGAAGAAAGCAGGTGAGTAAAATTTCAAGTCCCTTTTCAGTTGGAAAAATGATAAAGAAATAGTTCCAGCTTTCAGAGTTGACCAACCTTAGAAAATGTTAAGCCTGATACGTGTTCTCATTAGACAGGTCTCTAGGTACTCTCTTTACCTTTTCATTTTTTGAACTTCCTGCTTATTTAAATTCTGCATTAAATTACAATTAACCATCATTTTAAAAACTGATATAGCAGCTTTTGTCCCTTTGGCATTGAGAGACCTTGGCCTACTGCCCTTATCTTCCCATCAGTTAGTGCAGATCAGGTAGTTCAAGGAGAAATGGTCAGGACCGGGATTGAGACAAAGGCTGTAAGCACAAAGCCTGAGAGAGAGTTCCGGGAGGGACCTGGGAACCCCTTCAGGGTTGAGGCATTGTTGGGGGTCAGCAGAAGAGAATACAGCCTCATCACAACCAGAGACAAGGCCAAAAGTCTGCCCTGCAAGGGACTGGGACTCCCTCTAGTCTGGAAAAGGCATCCAGGAGGTATTTGGAATCCTACAGGAACACAAAATGGTGCTCATGGAAATCTAACTTGAGATCCTGATGTAAGAATCTTTGTTTAGCATCCACGGCAGCCCTGGGCTTAGGGGGAGAAATGACATCATTCTTGAGCTGTGTCAACCCAGCTTGCATGGCTGGAGGCCGATTAACCAGTGCCCGGTAGGAAGCACTGGCAGGCTGACTTCCTCCTGGGCAGGGTAGGCACTGGCTGTGCCCTCATGTGCTAAGTGCTTTGTGTGGAGGAGGGTGAAAGAGGGAACACTGAGAGGATCGGTAGTTGCTTGAGTGCGCAGGTGTCATTATGGATGAAGTCTCTGGACCCCAAACTCTTTGTGATTAGAGCCCTCTGCCTCCTGAGTGACACTGCCACCAGCAGCCTGCCCTTTGTTAACTCACAGCCTTGGAATATATTTTGGGTTGTTTCCTCCTCTTCTGGGACAGTGTTTTCCAAGCCTGGGTCAGGAGCCCGGTCATACATCCCCACAGTCACACCGGCCTCCTGTCCATGCTGCACCAGATTCTCCCGAGTTCTAGTCTGAGTCCCTCCTTGCCCTATCCCTTCATCCAGGAGCAGAGCCCATGCTTTCTGTGTTCACTGCCCCGTGCCCAGAACTCACTTCTGGTCTAGCACACAGTGCACCCCAGCGATGTCTGCAGAACCAAAGGGAGTGCAAGGGTTTGGAGCAAGCATTTCTTCTCAAGAAAAAATCTCAGCTGGACTCAGGGCCAGGATCATTCGTGGAAGGTCCTCCACTCATTTAATGCAGAAGAAACACATTGCATCCTGAAAACAAATAGAAAGCCAAAAGCTTTTAATTGTGAGAAGAGTGCATGCTCATTAATAAAAATAAGCATTTAAAAATCTCATATAAACCAAAAAAGAAAAGAGAATTCAATAGCTAGGATTAATATATTGAATGTATGCTGAATAATGTACAGATATTAATACATTAAAAAATTTAAAAAAAATTTTTTTGCAATTGTGGTATAGACAGCTACTGTTAACATCATATCAATATCTTTCTAGCCTATTTTATACATATGAAAATGCAGGCATACAATTTTTGAAAATAAGGCCAATACATCTGATGGGTCCTCATGATCAGTGAACCGCCTTAACCTTTTTTGTGTGTAAACCAAAGGTTGAACACTGAATTATCTAGAATCTTAACTATGGCTGCTAGAGAGCTGTGTTAATCAGTTCTCTATATGTCTGACAGATGTTGTTCAAAGCAAAGAGATCATATTCCTGCCAAGTAAGCAGCCAGCCTTCGTCACCATCCCCGGAAACGGCTCTGTACATCCGTTCTCAATCACACCTGGGACATGGTTTGCTACTATCAAGGCACAAGGAGTCCTCCTGGTAAGAGTCCTGAACGGTGGATTCTGCAGGGTGTTTCACCCCAGAGATGGTCTCATCCAACACTGTGACCCACAGGGACATGAGACCAGAAATCACAAGTAGTCCCTGTTACTACGCAGGAACGGAAGGTGATCTTTGTCCTCAAATGACGTAGGAACTTGCTTGAAGTTGTGATTATTATTATATCCTTCTAGCTCACTTTCTCTGGACCAAAAACCAAAACAAAATACAAAATAAAAACACCAGACTGTAATTCATAGGGACTCAAAGTTGTCAAATCAAATGCAAAATCTTTATGAGCCTGTGTGGTATTTGCTGTTAGGAATCAGCGCGGCACCTAGAAAAAGACCTCTCTGGTAATCAAGCGGAAGGTCCTTAAGGATGGTTAAAAACCCAGTATCACCGAGAGGTGAAAAGAGAAGGAAAAGGCCACCGGAGCCCCTTGCTCGCTCCCACCCACTCTCCCCACACCGATTGTCCACCCATGCCAGTAGAGTAGCCAGAGCAGCAGTGGGCTGGAGGCTGAAACCTGCTCTTAGGATCCCCACTTTGTTACCTGCGTTAGATCTGCTTTAGCTTATAGCTAGGTGTTTGCTGAAGCTCTGGCAAAAGCTTGCTTTCATGCACTTGGACTGGAGAAACCACCAATTGGCAAAGCTTAGGCTGGAGTCTGAAATCCAAGCCTCCTGTCTCACTTGCTTTTGCCAAGTTGTAGGATCAACACTGAACTTTATGGGTCCTTTCTAAATCTGGGATGTTACAGTGATAACATGAAGATTTGTGTGGTCCATCTAGTCCTTGTTTTTTTTTTTTTTGTTTATTTGGTTTGTTTTGCTTTGCTTCCTGCCTTCTTGGCAGGAAGCTTTACTGCTTTAGATGGATTTAGGAGTACTTTTCAGATGCAAGTAATGAGGAAAACCTCCTTGATAACAATAATGGACCTCAGGAAAATTACTAATACAACAATAATCATTTTTATGTTAAAAATCACTCAGATATGGCACACACACCTGTAATCTCAGCACTCTGGGAAGCTGAAGCAGGAAGATTGAAAGTTTGAGTCCAGTTTGGGCAGCTGAACAACTTAGGGAGACCCTGTCGCAAAATAAAAAGTGTTTAAAAGGGCTAAGAATATAGCTCAGTGCAAGGGTTCTGGGTTTAATTTCTAGTATTTTTAAAAGAGAAAAACCCCAGTTCTCAAGATCAGTAAGGCCACGAGTCTCCTCCAGTTTTCCTCCATCCAGATAGTTCTCCCTGAGGACAGAACATGTCTTGTGGACCATGCATGAGTCTCTTCTCAGTTAAGCAAAGGTCCCTTCTGCCTTCCCTCTGCAGACATGTGGAGAGGCCTCATATTTGGAGTTGCTGAAAGCTGTCAGGTGACCCAGATTTTCAGGCCCAGAGCTCTGCTCTTTCCTGGAGAGTTCCTGAGCAGAACTGAGAATATGCTGTTTCATCCCCCACAGGACAGACAGGGTCTAGCTCACCCTGCCTGGGTCATCAAGCTCATGATGTCCCCCATTGATACCAGGTCCCGTGAACCTCACTCCCTAGGGCAGCAGAAGCCGTCACCAGGACCCACACTGAGTGACTGCGCAGATGGAGCCTCAGAGGAACTTGCTATCAGTGGACAGCTGGTCAGCTTTGGTAGTTTGGAGATTTCTAAACAAGCCCAAAAAGACAGTAAAATTTCCTGAGATCTGAAAAGTACAGATGCTCTCTCTTGGCAGCTGGCCTCCAGTGTGAACAGAGCCGCAAGGAGTTGCCGTGTTCTGATGAGTCCGGGTGATGTGCTGAGAGGTTCACAGTGACCCCACTGGGCTATTATTAACTCAGCTGGTGTATTTGGTTATTTTATCACCAAGGTAGGGCTGCGAGCAAAGTGAGTAATTGTCCTGTGGTCTTCCTTTGCTAGGATTTCCTGGTGCTGCTCCCCAAGGACTACTATGAAGCATCCGCCCTAAAGGTTCGGGTCACACAGCCGTGCGTCACCGTAGGACATCCCCATGAAAAGTTAGTATGGCCAGAAGGTGCAGCCACAATGTCATCAGGGACTCTGAATTAGGAGCCTTTTATACAAGCGTTCATGGTAGCCCTCCAAATCACAGTCATGGGCAGGAGGATCCAGATATTTAATTGTGATTTTTCTTCTAGATCTTTCTTAGTGGTATCCTTCAAGCCTGAATCACAAAGCACCTTGCACCCTTGCAGCCTTTTAGGAGTGGTTCAGCTGGTAGCATGTGGCAACACTGTTGCATGTTGGAGGAGTAACCTTAAGGTCTAGGGGATACATTTGGTGAAGGCAAGAGCTGAAAGTGGGGTGCAAGTTTGTGGGCCTTTGTTTCATTTCATTCTGGTGCAGGTGAAAATTTACCGCTCAGTTTCTGCAGTAGGCACTGAAGAGTTTGTAGAAGCAATGGTGCGGCAATGACAGAATAAACTGTATGCCTTGATCCTCTCTTGGGGATGCACTGTGATATTCTGTTGCCATAATTGTAACTATTGTGTTTTGTTGTTGTTGAAGTTGCTTGCTTTACCAGAATTTGCCAGTGACCAGATTCACCTGTACTCCGGCTTCTGAGGCCAAGACCTTCCTGCTGGGTGGGATCCAGAGACCACCGGCCCTGAAGAAGCTCAGCCCAGAACACCCTTTCATGGTGCATCTCAACGGGGACCAGGTGAGGACAGCCCTTATTTCCAGTCAAAGCTACCACTCCCTTGCTGGTAGTTGTTTTTCAAATTCAGGATCAGCTGGAAGAGTTTCTCTGGGGTATTAATCAGCCTCTCCTGAATCCCCTGATTTGGTTTGGGGGCTGGATGGTAGCCAGCCCTGAGCTGGGGAAGGGTTGTTCCCGAGTACTTTCCAGACATGGCAGTGGAACTGGGCAACCACAGAATCCTTTCTTTTTGGCTATCTGGAGTTATGCAGGGCACCCTGTTCTGCTGATCTCAGGGCAAGATCTCCCTTAAAAGACGGATGAGACTTAGCCTGTACAAAAGGCCTCCAGAAACTTCCTGACCTACCCAAAAAGGATGCAATACTCACCTGCCGCTGTCCAACCCTGTAGGCTAAGCAATTTGTGACAGCCAAATTCCTGGAGCTCAGAACCAGGATCTGCTGCAACACAGGGCAGCCTCCTCATGGCCCGAGGCTGCATTAGCAGAGGTCTGGGCATGGCTTTCCTTCGAGCAGTCCTCTGAGCCTTCTAACGCCAAATGTAAGCTTGTCCTGATTTAAGATTTGAGTTCAAAGTACAGTTTATCAACAGTAACAGCAAGAACATATACTTCAAAATGAAGACACTGAAAACCAGCTTCCTCCACTTTATTTTCATCATTTACTTTCTAGAATATCCTGTTTTGTTATCTTTGAAGAAAATGTTTAAGTGGGGGATAAAATATGTGAAATTAAGATACTGTGGCCTTAATTCTTCCTGAACATAGAGATGTGTTTAGATGTGTTCCTCTTTTTTGGTGTTTTTGAGACAGGGTTTTGCTATGCAGTTCAGGCTAACCTTGAACTGACTTTGTAGCCCAGGCTGGCTTCAAACTCACAATGATCTTCCTGCTTCAGCCTCCTGAGTGCTGCGATAATAGGCATGTGCCATCATTCCTAGCCTTAGATGTGTGCATTTTTATAAGCAACAATCCTAACTTTTTTGTTTTTGGTACCAGAGATCGAACTTACAACCTCGTGCTTGCCAAGCAAGCGCCTGTGCCACTGAGATAAATTCCCAACTCTGATCCTAACGTTTTGAAGTTAGCAGCTAATGATTTTAAGTGTATTTCTTAAATATAGTTCCCATTCCATTTTGTTAGAATTTTTATTTTCACAAAAGAATATATGCCTGTCAAGTAAAACAGTGTAATATTAAAGAAAAAAGCTAAACGATCCTCCCTTTCCTACATTCTAACAGCAAATTCACCATATCCCCCATCTATACCGTATCCATCCAAACAAGTATAAATATGCATATGCATGTACACATATGTGTGTGCATTTGTGTGTGTGCTCCCAGAACCACCAGGAGGCCAGGCAGAGGAGCACCAGCCTCCGGGAAGGGAAGCTGATGATTCAGAAGCACCCTCATCTCCCGCTGATCCCAGAGACACAGCACTGAGCTATGTTAGCAGGACCATTTTGGGTTGATGGCCTAAGATATCCATTGTTTTGCCCCTGTATTTTTCCTGTTTTGTCTGAATGCCCACAGGCCAGTGCAGTCCCATACAGTAGCCTCTAGTTCCTTGTGAATACATAGACTTCATTCAACTTCTATAGACTCTGAATGAAAATTCAGCTCCTCAGTTGTGCCAGCTGCATTTCAGGGTCTCAACAATTAACTATGTTCAGTAGCCAACCTACAGGACAGGGCATAGCATAGATTATGATCTGTTATAGATTATTATGCTGAAATTCAAAGACTTACAGGGTTAAAAGAGGTCTTGAAAAATCCTGATTTCCTTTTCAGTGAAGAACGTCTTTTCAATGTTTTACTTGTTAGATTCATTCACTCTCTGGGTATGAAACAGATGAGTTTTGTGTTTAGACTTGAGTCCTAGTCCTAATCTATCTCGTTATGTATCTGTAAATATTCCACAATCTGCCAAAAATGCAGACTGAAACACCCCAGGTGCCAAGCCTGTTGGAGATGGGGTAGTCAGCCTGCACCATCATGTTTCACAAAGATCTCCTCAGTGTCTCCCTAATTAGCTCGCCTGCATCTGCATCTCCCAGTTCTCCTGTCGAACATTAGCCAGAGAGCTATCCTGATGCAAACATCTGATCATCAACCCACACACAATTGCAACACTGCAGTCATGTCTCATTAATCTTAGGATAAAGTCAAAATTTTAGCCTGTCCCGAGAGACTGGCCTTCCTACCTCCCAGTGGTGCCCTGCCACCACTCGCTCTCTGTTCCTTGAGCATCCATCATCCTTTGGTCTCTTTACCTCACATTGCATGTGGTCCTGCAGCATTTTATATTAGAGGGGACCTGCATGCTGCCTCCCTCCCCTGGTGACCCACCTCCTTCCGGGAAGCCTCCCCTCTCCCACATCTCCCTGACCAGCTCAGGCCTCTGTCGTAATTACATGCTCCTTAGCAGGTTACCTCTTCAGCGCATTTATCATGTGTGGTTCACAGTGGAACTGTCTTGTTACTGAATTATCTGACAGAGGACAGATCCCGTTTCCTGTGGAGCACCCAGTCCCTGGCTGGTGGGCTGGCCTAGAGAGCAGGCATGCAATGGTTGTTGATCAGATCACTGGATCCTACTTTAACATCAGGGCTGTTCATTATCTGGCAAAGCTTTGCTTAAACCCACCCTTTATCTCATTATCTTAAAGCACCAGTAATTAGGAGGGGGTAGTCTGTGCCACCAAATTGATGTGACATTGGTTGCATACAAGTTCCCTCTTGTGTAGATAACATAAAGTTTCTGTTGGTCACTTTAGTGTCTTTTATCTGAGTTCCTCAAATCCTGCTTTTGTCATCAAATGTATCTTAAACACTTCCCACAAGTCTTCTGAAAATCAATCCACAGGACTCAGAGCAAGGAAGGTAGCCGAGATTTGAAGCGGAGCGCAGTGACAGCACTTGCTGTCAGTATTAACTTCTGGGGAAAGCACGGCTCATCATCGACCTGTGTGGGTAGATGGCCGTTGTGTGGGTATGGTAAGGACGGATGAGCTTCTGTTCTGAGAGGCCCAGGGGAGAGGCGCTGGTGACGACCCCTCCACACCAGCTGGCACAGTGCCGACCTCTCCCTCTAACACAGTGAGAAGTGGTGTCGATAATCCACACTGTTTCCCCCGAGGGAAGGCTTTTTATTGTTTAAGTGGTAGAAAAATCACAGCCGTGTGACTCTGAGCTGTTGAGAAAGTAATAAATGTGAATCTCTGGAGGGCTGGAGAAGGAGGAGCATTTTAATGAAGTACAGTACAGCTGGCTGACGTGGGTTCCCCTGCTAAGGAGAATCATCCTCATGTTGGCTCAGACATTAAATATGCGGATGCACCTTAACCCACAGCCCTGTGCCCAGGAGGCTTACAGAAAGCCTAGGAGAAGGATACAGTGATGGTGCTCTGACATTGTACCTTGTAGGGAAAATTAGAGGCCACCTCCAGTGTCCAGGAGTAGGCTAGTAGTAAAATAATTTTATATCTGTATTATAGCATGAATAATGCAGTTTAGCTGTATGGACTCATAAAGACAGTTTGGGAGTGCCCAGGCTGTGAGAAATAAGGGACAGAGACCCCCTGGGTAATAGTGGGAGCCCCCCTAACTAGAACTGCTAGGTTCAGAAAACAAAGATGCAAGATGCCCTGGTATATTTGAAATGCAGATAAACAGCAACCAGTTATTCACTATTTGCCTGGACTTGCATTTCCATGGGGCCTCATGCACCTGCCTCACCTCGCGCTGCCCCCATAGGGCGATACTGATTGGGAAGACACCTGCAGAGCGTCTTCTCTGCTGTCATCCTCGGTAGGTAAGTGCGTCCAGTGCTCTGAGCATTGTGTGACAGGCTGTTTGTCTCTCTGGCAGATAGAGCTGCATCTGTGGCTGCGCATCACGAAGCCCGGCCGCTACGTGGTCACGCTGGAGTACGCCACCGAGACAGACCGACTGCTTGTGCTCGAAGTGCTTTTTAGGGCCTTGGCAAGCATAGGCCGCGTGAACATATACAGCTGCCAGTACAGGTGAACACTCCCAGCCCGGTGGCCTCTGGAGGAACAGATAGGAAGATTGCCTGGGAAGTCTGGTTTTGATTTGCATTGGAATCTTGCTTTCTGTTTTGAGACAGATCTTAAAAGCAAGCAGGGGCTGGTTATAGGACCCAAGGGCAACTGCAGCATCCTTTCTATGGGCAGCGACTGGAAAACAGTGCGTCTCCTTAAAGGGCTGCATGCTGTACCTAGCAGCTTGTTTCAGATTCATGTGAAATTACACATCTTTTTTTTTTTGGTTATACCGGGGATCAAATCATGACGGCACACTTGCAAGGCAGGCGCTTATGCTGCTGAGCTAAATCCCCAGCAAAATTGTACATCTTTATTTATTCTCCATCTCTCCCATGGGCTAGCATGGACTCAGAGTCCTCACCTCAAGGGCATGGTGCCCGGCAAAGGGAACAACTCACTTCTCAACGTTAGGAGGTGCACACTTGCCTTCGGGAGGGGCACAGTTAGGTTTACAACTGACAAAGGACTTTAAAATGCATCCTAATGAAGTGTCTGAGAGACTCATTGAGAAGGACTCATTACAATGGCTCCCCTTGCTTAATTGTTCAAAGACGCACGTTAATTAAAAAATGGTGCAGTGTGTTTCCACGTGAGTGGAATGGACGGCAGCTGTGGCCTGCAGGCCTCGAAACAGTGGGCAGAGAATGGCAGCAAACTCATCCAGTGCTCGCCCAGGATTTGACCATCGCGTTGCCCCCACTTTAATGTTGCTTTTTTAAAAACTAAGGTGGCCTCAAGTAGATAGACATCTCCCCTGATGTGAAAATGGAAGAACATGTGCAAAGGGTAACAATCAGTAGGCTAGAAGAGAACTTGGGCCAGAGTGGATGAAATGCCTGTTGAATTAACATCATGCCCTCCGCAACCCTAAACATGCAGCTGTGAAGGCTTTCTCTTTGGGTTGAAGAAAAAGAATTAAAAAATATAATTTGTGCGTGCGTGTGTGTGTGTGTGTGTGTGTGTGTGTGTGTGTTGCCGGGGATTGAACTCAGGGCTTGGTGCAGGCAAAGACAAGCACTGTCCCACTGAGCTACACCTCCAGATCCGCATTTGGATTTTAGCAGGAGATGGGCCTAAAAATACTTCCCCCAGAATGTTTTGTCCTTCTTTGAAGATGCGAGTTGTATCCATAGCTGAACCGTGCCCTCCCAAGTGAGCAGTGCCCATGTCACCTGAGTCCTGGGGACCATTAAACACAAGGCTAGGGCAGGGCTTCTCCACACCCCACCCACCCCAGCCTTCTCTCCAGTTGAGCTCCCAGGCTCCAGCCACTTCCCTGTCACCTGGCCTGGTTTGTGTTGCACAGGATTCCAAGCTAAGTGGACAGGAGGGAATATCCACGCTGGCTGTGGTGACTGAATCATCTCAGAAGAGCTCTGAGACTACCTCGGCCAACAGGGGATCGCAAAGCCATGTTTTCAGGGTCCCATGAAAGGCTGTTTCTTTATCAGGATGGACTTACTGTGGGGGGTCATCGTGATACCCTGCTGATCACTGGGGTCCTGGTCATGCCCACACCAAGGCTTGTTTTATGAGTCTCTGTGGTGAGAATTCAGAGCTGTATTATACCAGGAACCACTGCTTAATATATAACTGCTTTCAAGAAGGTTCTATTGCAATTTCCTTCCCACTTGGCTAAACTATTTCTCTTTTTCTCTACATCACCTGTCCTATGGACAAGTAAAAATGGATATGCTACAAGTATGGGATCCCCAAAAATGGTGCTATTAGAATACATGACCCATAAAAACCTATTTCAAATGTCAGGCCTGTTCAACATGCAGCATCTCCTGCTGAGGTCTGAATTTTCCCCAGTATTTCTCAATAATATTTCTAACTATGTTGTTAGAAAGATCATATCCTATTAGAGTAGCAGGGGTGCTAATAAGAACATTTTTCAAAAACAGTGCTGTGATAAATGAAGTCTGCTCTCCACAGACAGGGGATCTAATGAGTGAAAATCAATCCTGTTAACACCATGGTCTGTTTCTTAGTAAGAATTTAATAAAGGTTAAGGAGAAAACTAAATTTAAATGAATCACTAATTATACTTAACTCCCAGGGTTACACCTGAATCTAAAGGGGATGTGGTTTACTACACACACACACACACACACAGAGAGAGAGAGAGAGAGAGAGAGAGAGAGAGAGAGAGAGGGAGAGAGAACAGGAAATTACTATTAAGTTCCTAATGTAGTCACACAAACTCTGATTAAGTTCCTAATGTAGTCCCTGCTTGGCTCTTTGTATAGATTATCTCATTTTGTTCCTCACCAAAAAAGTCACTGTCTATAATATTATTTTTATGTATGTATGTATGTATGTATATGTGCGCTTACTTATTTTTACATTTTATTTAGAAGTATAGTACTAGAGGCTGAGACAGAGTCTTACTAAATTCCTAAGTTTCCCAGACTAGGTCTCAAACTTGCAATCCTCCTGCCTCAGCCTCCCGAAGTGCTGGGCCTTCAGGGATGCACTGTCACAGAATCAGAGATGATCTTTGTGTTTTAATACTCACTAGTTTCATATCATATTTACAGGCAAAAAGTAGCTACTTTTCTGTGAAATCAGTAATGTTTCTGAAAAAAATACTTCCTTTATGGGCTTTTGCTATGAGAGATGTGTGCTTTGGTGCAAATATGTGACATTTTAAATGTTCCTCCACTCTGTAGCTCACTGGATGGGATGCTGAGAAGGGAAAGCAGTGGGAGAAATGAGGAAGACAGAGGAGAGGAGCAGAGTTCTCTCTGTTGAGGAAGGGCAGCTGTGCTCACTGCCTGGGCGCTGGTGGTGGGCAGCTTGAACTGTAAATGGTCCCCAACACACGCGTCAGTCTCCAGGCAGGTGCTGCATGAGAGCTGCTTCACTGCCCGGCTCTGCGCCCAGCGCCTGAAACAAGCACTGTTTTCTGTTCTGCTGGGTGGAAAGCTGAGTGGACTGTTAGCTCCAAGGGCTACAGCACTGGCCACAGTCAGAAGATTCTTTTCCCTGCAGATAGAGTGGACTGTTCTTAGTCTATGCTACTAGACAGAAATATCTGATTGGATGTTTTATATAGAAAAGAAGGTCATTGGGTCAGGGGTACAGCTCTTACCTGCCCATGTTTAAGAATTTGGGTCCTACGCACAACACTGCGAAGAAGAAAAATATATATATATATATACACAAATATATATACAAAACCACTTCTGAGATAACTAACGCACTCCCATGGTTGCAAGGCTAATCTCTTCATGAAGGCTGGTCACCTTTTAAAGGACACTGTGGCACTTAAATTTCAAAATGAGTTTTGGGGGCCAGGGACTTAGCTCAGTGTCGTAAGCGCCTACCTGGCTGGCATGAGATTGCGAGTTCAATCCCCAGTACCAAAAAAAAAAAAAAAAAAAGAGTTTTGGCTGAGCATGACAGTGCTTGCCTATAATTGCAGCATCAGGAAGCTGAGGCAGGAGGACCCCTGAGACTTTGTACCCAGTCTGAGCTACACAGTGAGTTCAAAGCCAGCCTGGAATACATAGTGAGACCCCGTCTAAACCAAAACAACAAAAGCATTTTGGAGGGGACATTCAAACCACAGCAGGCTGCATCCCTCTTCAATTTCTCATGCAGGGAAATTCGCTATTGTTCATCTAGTTATCACCAGAAAAACCGAAGAGCAGCCAGCCACCACATAGGGAGGTGCTCAGTGAGGTGACTGCGGACTCAGGCTGAGGAAACCCTGTTCCCTTTTGCAGCTTTCTCTGCCGGAGCATCGTGACCGACAGCCGAGGCCGCATAGCTGTGTATGAGCTGTCAGCAGACACGGAGATGAGGCTCATGGTGCAGGGAGGCCAGTTCCTTCTGGTACGCTTCTGTTGTGCCCATTGAATGTTAGGGCATTGTGTGATGTCTGTGTGTTTAAACAGCTTAGTAAAATTGCTGCTGGGATTGCACAATGTCTATAAAACACACCAGGGAAGAACTGCCGGTTTACTGCTTCTCCTTCCAGCTAGGGCTTCCTTCTTCATTCATGTTTGAGCCTTTATTTTAGATCACCCGATAGAAAGTCTCATGGTGAAATTTGAACACATCTCACAAAATCTCATGTCATTAATTTTTATTTGCGAGTGAAATGTCCGTTGTTATAGTTCCTGTTTTACTATTATTGCCAAATAATAGAAATGGCTTTGGTTATTGTTTATTTCCTTTCCCATTTTATTATCTTATTATTTCTTAGCAAAGTTTATAATCAGCTAAGTTTTTAAAAATAGCTATTTCTAAAAGACAATTGCTCAGCAAATTGGATATATTAAGAGTTAAAATAACAACTGAGGCAGATTGAGCAATCTGCTTGTCCTCCATTGTAATGGTGCAAGTTGAACGCTGGGTTATGATAAACAGAAACGGTGGCTCTGTATAGGAAGGGGCGGCCGATTTATAATAGACATCTCTGCAAATATGAGATTATCTAAGTGTGACACAACTTCCTGTTACTGCCAGGGTTGAGCATGTCTCACACCTTGGGAAATGCCAGGCCAGCCTGGATGAATGAGTGTCCTTTAGGTATTTTTACCTGCTATTACTAAGAGTCTTAGAGCCTAAGGAATAGCTGGCATTCAGTTTTTAAAATTACTATAAGGAAAGCATTTTCGTTTTTATTGTACCAGGGATCGAACTCACGACTGCCTGCTTACAAGGCAGGCGCTTATGCCGCTGAGCTAAGTCCCCAGCCCCATAAGTAAAGCATTTTAAAAACATAACAATTCAAGTAAGTCTAAGTGCTTTATCTTTGGAAATTATCTTGGAGCAGATTCTTCATCTTTTAAGCATGAATTTCCCCTCTTTTTTTGATAGCCTAATTGAGAAGCTGAGGCAGGAGGGTCCCTGCAAGTTCAAGCCCAGTCTGGGCCACATAGTGAGTTCAAGGCCAGCTTGAACTACATAGCGAGACCCTGTCTTCAAAAAGCTAAAATACGTAAATAAATGAGTAGTACGATATCATTTGGAAGCAAAGCTGGCTAGAATAGACTCTCTTTTGGGGTAGATAACAGTCCCTGCAGGACTCTTAAGTCTCAGTAACGTTCAATAAAATTTTTATTGTCACTGAATAGTTTCGCAGTGAGGCTGGGTATATAGTTGTGATTTCAGATGAATAATGATGATGAATTGAGGACTGAGTTCCCATGTGACTCAAAAACCAGCTCTGGAGACAGATCCTTCCGCAGAGCCTGTGGGTGCCTGACATCCGAGGTGCCCTATGTGGAGAAGCCTTGTCCCAGCAGGCAGCCTGTCTGGGTAGCAGACTCTCTGGCTGCCACCTCACCCCTTCTTTTCCCCCAGGGGGTCTCAAAGTCATCACAGCCTCAGGCAGAAGAGGAAAACCAGACACCTGAGGTCACTGAAAGGAGTTGTTTTTGAATGTTTGTATGATACTCAGCTTTGTTTATAAAATTACTTCCTCAGCAGTCTAGAGAGTGATCCCTGTTTAAGAAGAATTTGCTGCCCACGGGCTCGCCTTCCTGTAATATTCACTGCTCCGACATAATCCCTTTATTTTTCTGGATGAATTCTTTACTTAGTAGCTTTCTCACTGGTTTGGCTGCTAACTGCTATGTGCCTTTTTATATATTGTGTATCCTCAACAGTATCAGGTCTGTGTCATTCCCGTCCAAGATTTCTCAACTGATTATCTGAAACCTCAAGTCCACTGTATTGCCAGCTATCGGCTGTTTGGAAATCCGAGGTAATGTGCGTCCCTCCCTTCTCCTGGTGATGTTCTCAATGATACTATAATGCTTATAAAGCTGGCATTCCACACACACTGATTATTACTTATCCAAAATGTTCAGGACCAGAGATACTTCAATTTCTTTTTTAAATTCTTTTTTGATTTAGGATATTTGTATGTATGTCGTGAGATATCTTAGGAGTAGAATGTAACTCTAAAAATCAGATTCACTTTTTTTCATGCATACTTTGCACACTTGGCCTGGAGTTACTTTTGGGCCTGTGACCTAGTATGCATGCGTGGAATTTTCGGCTTGTGGAAAAATGTCCAGTACTTAAACAGTTTCAGATTTTGGATTTTAGATGAGGGAGCCCACTGTGTACTTAACTTCAGAAGTGATCAAAGCCAAGGTGCTAAGTCTGGTGACAGAAGTTAATAAAAGAGAAACTGACTACATAATGCTCTGTAGCACTCAGTGTTTCTAGGATTCCGTAACATTGAGACACAGACAGAGTGACGGCTGGAGAAATCCTTAAGCCTGGCTCTCCAGGGTAGCATGCATGCTGGCTTCTATTCTGGGCTCTCACTTTGTGTCAGTCCTTTTTAATATCTTTGTCTGAGGCTCTTTTCTTGAAAAAGCACAAAAAATAGTGACCTATCTCACAACTATGTAATAAGAATTAGCTACCTGATGCTCATTGGGGTTTCAGTAGCGTTGTTTTTCATGGATTCAAAAATAATTTACTGACACAGTCCCGAAATCTCGTGTGTGTGGTTGGGACTGTGGAAGCCACCAGGACGATGCAGATCTGACGATGCAGATGTTAAAGAAAAGACGTGCATTTGTTTTTCCTGTTATGTCAGCACTTCTATATGTCTTAGTGCATTTATCACATTTTAATAGTTTTAGCTTGGCAAGGGAGGTTTCTTTCAGTAAGTTCCTGTCTAGCTTACTGTACTTCAAGATTAAGATTTTCTTGGAGCTGCAGATGTAGGTCAGTGGTAGAGCACTTGCTTGGCATATGTGAGATCCTGGGTTCAGTCCCCAGTACCAACAGAACAACCATCAGGTTTTCTCTCTGTTGTAACTAGCTGTATTGAGCTGGCAGCTGGAATAACCTTGGCGAATAGACTACACTGAGATTTGCTCTATACAGCTCTTCAGAGGGCTGGGGATGTGGCTCAGGGGTAAAGTGCTTGCCTAGCCTGCATGAGGCCCTGAGTTTGATCCCTAGCCTCACCTTCCCTAACAAACAAAGGTAACATAATAAAAGAGAAAGCTTCCCAGAATCCTGTGGTTCCCCAGCACAGGAACCTTTACATGGCCCCTCTGTTCAATGTTCAAAGTCTATGTCACCATTGCTAGAGAGTTCTGCAGGCTTCAGTTATGGTGAAATAAATTTTTAAATATTGTATATTTCAGTGTCACCTGTACTTGCATGGCCCAAGAGACACCTCCAACAGCCTTAGTTTTGAATGTCCCCACTCGGCAGCTTTCATCTTCTGCAGACAGTGTCTCTGGATTCACCTTGCAGGCGCCGCAGGTAGGACTCCCCCAGGTGGGCTACATCTAGACCTGTGATTCTCCACGTGTGGGAACTTGTTCCAAATACACCTGTCTGTATCGGAAGCTCTGGGGCAGGGCCCAGCAGCTTGCAGATGATCTGATGACCCTAAGAATCAAACATTTCTACTTTGGATTATGGGGAACCCTAGAAATGCAGGTGACTGATTAAACTGCCTGTGACCAGCCAGCCCCGCGCACACCATGTAGTTCTTTGGCATTTTTTTCATGGCCTTGTTCTGATGAGCCCATGTTGTGATTTATCTTATGTCTGGCCTGTTGCTCTTTCGGATTGTTGAGTATATTAGTTTTCCTCCCAGGTTGGATCACTGGACTGTTAGAATAGCAGCCGTACCTAATAAACTTATGTTTCCCCACACACTGGCATAGCACGTAGGAAATCGTGGATAAACATTCATTTGTTAATCATCTGGAGCACGGAGGTAAAGTAGAGCCAGGGAATGCATTTTTTTATCATAAACTATAAGATTATAGGCTGTTTAAATTCCAGATTATGGACGTGTACTTGCCATTCTGATTTTACTATGTCTTGTCATCCCAAAGATGGCTGTGTCAGTTCACACAGTTTGGAACTTAACAGCATCTGAGAGATGAGTTTAAACAAGATCCCATAGGAGAAATGTAGCTTAGTAATGGGGGCAAGAGATTAGAAAGCAAGGCAATAGAATTCTTATTTTGGTTTTATCGTTAAATTAACATACGCTCTGGTATCTTAGTTACTTTCTCTGCATGGTACGTCTCATCTGAAAGACGAGCGTAGTCTTTTGTTGTGGTGCTGCTGGAGCTGTTGGAGGAGTCGAAGGCTTACTGCACTCAGTGTTGTTTCGATGTGCGTCTCTCGAATGTTTGCCATTTGTGTTTCTTCGTCTGAGAAGTGCATATTTACCTCAGATGCCCATTTTTGGATTGGGTCTTTGAATTTAGGGGTGTCTGATTTTCTTCAGTTCTTTATATGTTCTAGATTAGAAGTCCTTTGTCTGAGGGACAACTGGTTAAAAATTTGTTTTCTACTTTGTATATTGTCTTTTCACTCTGTCTGTGGTTTCTTTTGCTGAGCAAAAGCTGTTTAAAAGATGAGATCCCAGTTGTTGATTCTTTATACTATTTCCCATGCAGTCTGAATTTTGTTCATAAACTCTAACTACACATAATAGCTTCAAGATTTCTGTTTATTTTATCTTCTAGTAGATTTAGGCTTTCTGTTTTAATATTTAGATCTTTTTTAATTTTATTTTAAGGAGTAAAAGAAAAAAAACAGAGAAAGGGTAAAGTAATACAGAATTTTTAAAAAATAAACTACAAAATCGCTACTTATTACATTACATATTGTCATCTTAGAAATAGTTGTTCAAATTACAAAATTAAAGCATACAAAGTGGACATTCAAACAGTGAGTCTGCAAACAGTTCTGCTCAATGATCCAACAAAAACTCAGTTACATGGTTATCTATCTTATACACTTAAATATACATGCAGTTATATCCTTTAGAGTACTTTCTTTTTCTCTCTTTTTTACAATGACAATTACACATTTTGGGTTTTATTAGTCCCACAGTTCTTATTACATTTTTTTGAAGAGAATAAAACCAAATGTGACATAACAAAACAGTCAGTCAAATCAAAAGGATGGACATAGTACATGCTGTAAAAACAGAATACAAGATGATCAACAATGGTCACCATAATGCCTCTTTCTATCTTAAAAAGAATTGCCTATATCATCAGTTACAATAAAATTGAACAAAACAGTACAGAACAAAACCAATAAAACCGAAACATTGGAGACATTATAGGACTTCAAAAGAAGATAATAATCAAACCAGAATGAGCATCATAGTGAATCTTATTGTCTTCAAAGTAGTTGCCTATACCCTCAAACTTGATACTATAAAGCAAAACAGAATAGAGTAAAATCAGTCCAAACAAGATGATGAGAGCAATATAGGGTTTCAAATCAAGCTAATAGGAAATCAAAGTGGGATACTATAATATATCCTGCTATTTTTAATTTATTTTTCCCTTAATTAAAAAGATAATAATAAAAAAGGAGATTGAGATAAAAAAAGACATAACAATACAACAGCACAGGTCAGAACATAACAATTTAGGCAACATAGTGTTTCACCACGAGGTATCCCAACATAACAGTAGTTACCATAGTGTCTCTTTCCTTGAAATATTTGAGTATAACTTCGTATACTGTAGCATCAAACATATCAAGACAATGTAAAACCATTCAAGAGAATGACAGTATTACAGGGTATTTAGAACCAACTAACAGAAAATGAACAATGGTTTCTATATTATCTCCTTGTCTATAAAAGTTTTTGTTTATACTATCACATATAATAAAATACATTAAGATGCAACATGTTAAGACCGATGGAGACAGAAGAACAAAAGCTTGATGGGACTTCAAAACAAGATGATATTAAATCAGCACTAGCTATTATGATGTCTTGTTTTCTCCAAAATAGCTGTTCATACCATCACAGACAATAAAATCAAACAGCCCAGAATAAAAACATTACAATTGCTGGGTGAAAACATTATGAGGCTTCAAAGCAATATAATGGGGAATCATGATTACCACATACTTTTATGTACTGTTATCATTTCTTACACTAGGGAAACTATTCGGTATTTATACATGTGGGTTTGATTTATTTCACTTATGAGTATGGTCTCAAGCTGCACCCATTTATTTATAAATATCTCAATGTGATCATCCTTTATAACTGATTATAACTCCATTGTATAAAAATACCACAACTTTTTAATCCATTCCTCAGTTGATGGACACTTAGGTTGTTTCCAAGATCTGGCGATTAACAAATTATGCTGCTATAAACGTAGGTGTACATATATCACTGTGGTTCGATGCTTTCAATTCTTCTGGGAATATGACTAGAAGTGGAATAGCTGGAACAAATGGGACTTCCAATCCTAGCTTTTTGAGAAATCTCCATACTGACATCCACAAAGGTTGCACCAGTCTACACTCCCACCAACAATGCAGGAGAGTTCCTTTTTCCCCACAGCCTCTCCAGCATTTGTTGTTGGTGGTTTTCTTGATCCTGGGCATTCTTTCAGGAGTGAGATGAAATCTCAGCATGGTTTTAATTTGCCTTTCTCTAATGAGTAATAATGATGAACATTTTTTCATGTATCTATTTGTCATTTGTATTTCTTCATCTGAGAATTGTTTATTCATCTCCGATGCCCATTTTTGGATTGGATCTTTGAATTTTGGGGGTCTGATTTTTTAAAATTCTTTGTTATGTTTTAGACAGAAATCCTTTGTCTGAGGGACAGTTCACTAAGATTTTTTTCCCAGTTTGTGGGTTTTCTTTTCACTATGCTGGAGATTTCTTTTTTGTTGTTTTGTCTTTTTCGTTTTTATCGGTACCAGGGATGGAACTCAGGACTGCCTGCTTGCAAGGCAGGCGCTTTATGCTGCTGAGCTAAATCCCCAGCCCTGGAGATTTCTTTTGACATGCAGAAACTTTTTAATAAGACGTGATCCCAGTTATTAATTCTGGGAAGTATTTCCCGTGCGGTTTGAGTCCTGTTCATAAATTTTCTACCTACCCTTATGTCTTCAAGGTTTTTACCCAATTTGTCTTCCAATAGATTTAGTGTTTCTGTTTTAATATTCAGATCTTTGATCCATTTAGATTTTAATTTAGTACATGGTGATAGGCATGGGTCTAGTTTTAGTTTTTGGCATTTGGAGAGCCAGTTTTTCCAACACCATTTATTAAAGAGACTGTCCTTCCAGTGAACATGTTTGACTCCTTTATCAAAGATAAGGTGGTTGAGTGTGTTTGTAGTTGTGGTTGTATCTTCTAATCTATTCCATTGATCTTCAGCTCTGTTTTGATTCCAGTACCATGTTGATTTTACTATGATTGCTTTGTAGTATAACTTCAAGTCAGGGATTGTGATGCCTCCTGCCTTGCCTTTGCTGCTTAGAACTCTCTTTGCTATTCTAGTGCTTCTCACTCCAGATGAATTTTAGGAATGGTCTATATCTATGAGGTATGTTGATGGTATTTTTATTGGAATTGCATTGAATCTGTATAACAGTTTTGGGAGAATGGCCATTTTCACAATATTTATTCTTCCTATCCATGAGCAAGGGATGTCTTCCCACTTTCTGAGATGATCTTCAATTTCTTTTTTCAATGTATCATAATTTTCCTTGTATACGTCTTTCACTTCTTTTGTGATAATATTTAGATCTTTGACCCATTTTGACTTTATCTTAGTGCATGGTGGTAGACATGGATTTAGTTTTAGTCTTCAGCATGTAGAAAGCCCATTTTTCCAGCATCATTTATTAAAGAGGCTATCCTACTTCCAGTGAATGTGTTTGGCCCTTTTGCCAAAGATAAGGTAGCTGAGTATGTTTGGAGTTGTTTCTGCATCTTCTAATCTGTTCCACTGATCCTCAGATCTGGTTTTTTGGTTTTTGCCAGTACTATGCTGATATTATCATTGTAGTTTTGTGGTAAAATCTCAAGTCAGGGATTGTGATGCCCCTGATTTGCCTTTGTTGCCCAGAATTGCTTTTACTATTCTAGGTCTTTTCAGCTTTCAAATGAATTTTAGAAATGTTTTCTATAGTTCTGTAAATATACTAATGGTATTTTGATCAGGATTGCATTAAATCTGTATAACACTTTTGGGGGTATGGCCATTTTCACTGTATTGATTCTTCCTATCCATGAGCAAAGGGTATCTTTCCATTTTCTGATATCCTCTTCAATCTCCTTTCTTAGAGTCCTATAATTTTAATGTATATATCTTTTATTTCCTTTGTTAGATTGATTCCTAAGTATTTATCAATCCAAAAAGTATGCCTATCATCAAGAAATCAACCAATAACAAATGATGGCAAAGCTGTGGGGTAGGGAACCTTTCTTTACTTGCAATAGGACTGTAGATAGTACAATCACCATGGGAATCAATATGGGTTCCTCAAAAAACTAAAATTAAAGGTCACATTTGAACCAGCTGTTCCCCTTCTGAATATCTTCCTAGAAAAATTTAAAACATCATACCACAATGATATATATGTACCTGTTTTTATGCAGCATAGTTTGTAATAACTAAATCTTGGAGACAGATGAAATGCCCACCAATTGAGGATTGGATTAAAAAGTGCCGATGTCTTATACTCTGAGTAATTACTTTAAGATAACAATACACAATGTATTAACTGTTGCTATTTCCTATTATTTTGTTATGAAATTTTGTTTTACTTTTTTCATAAAATATTTTTAAAACACCAAAAAAAAAAAAAAAAACCCTGGTGAGAATAAAAATAACCCAATGTTAAGGCATAGCAGTTTTCAAAATGTTGACATAATACAGTCAATGGTTTGTGTTTATGTTTTTCATTGGTTATTTAAAATAAATTTTTCTAACATATCATTAACAAAAAAACAAACAAAAAACCACCAAAGACTTATTGAACTCATGGTTGAAGCTTTCTCGGGAGACCAAGGCTTGCATTCGTGCGTTAGCAGGAGGAAGAGAGCTTTGAGTGGGTTTTGCCGTGGCGGGTGTTGTTTGCATATAGTCTGGGGTGAGGGCTTCCTCTCCTGCAGGCTGGAATTTGTGTGATTTGGACTTTACCCAAGCCAAGAGAGGGCGGGTGGCCCTCAGTCACCTCATGGGGTGATGTGACTTTGAGCTTCCTGGCTTATCCAGGTCTAAGGCAAAAGGCGCTAGGAAGTAGAGGATTCTGAAAACTGTCCATGGTCAGACACCCAAAACGGAGTCAGACTGTGTAGTCTGTGGGTGTAACAAGTAGTACTGTGTGAATATTCCGCTCCAGCCGTTTGGCAAACCTAGTATGTATTTCTGTTAGGTACGAACCTGGCACACAACTGCTGGGGCATGTGTTTGACTTTGGTAAACACTGTCAAAGAATTTTCCAATGTGATCTACCTGATGACACCCCTTTCCCACGAAATGCATGGTCATACCAGTTGGTCCACTGTGTAGGTAAGAGATGATTGGTTCATTCGCATTTTTTGTGTTTGCAAGGAAAGCTGCTTCAGACATTTGCAGGAAGTTTTTGGTGAGAATGAATGGAGATCGTCATTTCACTTGGATAAACTCCTCAGTGGTTCTGGTCTTTATGCTCTGGCGTAGTTGATTTTCTGTTGCTGTAACAGAACACCCGAAACTGGGTAATTTGTGATGAGAAGCAGTTGGTTTGCTTCTGGAGGGTTTAGGAAGCTGACGTGTTCAAGGCGCAGTGGTCCCATGTGTGGAGGGTGTCCTGCTGTGCTGCAGTGTGGCAGAAGGACTGTGCGGCAGGGATAGATGTGACAGGGACACGTGAGCAGCTGTGGAAGAGAAGGGGGCTGAGAGGGCCATGACTTTGTAACAGCTCACTGATGGTGACATGGGGCAGCTTTAGATTACTCGTGAGAGCTGTGTCCATATCCGAATACCTGCAGGCACTGCCACACTGAGAACTAAGATCCCCCGTAGGTTTCGGTGAGGACAAAACATGCTTAAACCACAACAGTGTCCGCTTGTTTTGATTCCAGTGCTAATTTGAAAGATGCTTGCTTTTCCCTCCCTCTCAGTGCCAGCTGACCCTCAGAGGCATCCTGCCAAAGCCCGGCCAGTACGTCTTCATCGTCCACTTTTCTCAAGCATCACACCCGTCATATCCTGCACAGGTGTCTGTGGACGGAAAAGAACAGTGGACAGGTGAGCCGCCACCAGCGATGTTCACCACCGTGACCAGCGCCCCGCCGCTGGTGGTGTCCTTACAGTCACGTGACAGGAGCTCTTCCCTCCCTCCCCAGGTTCCTTCCAAGCCTCCTTCTGCCCCAATTTGCTCGGCTGCCTGGACAAAGTAGTCGCCCAAGGCCAGACTGAGTTTGACAGCTCAAATCGTGAGGTGACGGTGACCGTGAAGATCCCGCAGGACAAGTCCTTAGAGCTGGTGCGTTTGCAACTCCGCCCCGCTTGCTTCCCATGTAGCTGCCTTGGTTGGCCATTCTGTGTGTCTGTCGGCTCACAACAAGCATTCTTCCAAGGGCCTGAAGTCATATTTATGGGACAGTGTGACATTTTACAGCTTTTACCCCAGTGGGGAAAAAAGTGCATGACAATTACAATCCCAGGTGTGATGGAGCGTATACATCTTACTGCCCGCCAGAACTTGCTGGCTCCTGGTCTGACCACTCCCTCCGCGCAGCATTTCACACCCCTTCCTCCTTTTAGCTCCAGCTCCCTCACCACCTCTCACAATCCCACTGTGGCTCTTTCTCCATACAGAGCCCCCAGCATCATTCCTGTCTAGAAAACAGCAGCCATGCCTGTTGATTCTGCTGTCTGCCTTGTGGGAAGGGCACCCACATCTCTGAATTCACCCCTGATCCTTCCTGAGGACCAGGAGACATTTCCCAAGCCCTGTTCTGTGGCCTCCCGTGCTCCTCTCACCGAGGGTGCCCACCCTCTAGGCAAGCAGCAGACCTTATTCGTGTGACCTCCCTGTCCCCAGAACCTGATGCTCCACGAATGTTTACTGAGCCAGAAAACACAAACATAGAGACAATGTGCACTCCCCAGCCTGTGAGCTGTAAGAGCATTTGAGTCTCATACAGCATTTGTCAAGGGCATGGTCTGATCTGAGCATGTGTACAGAGGGGGGAGCAGTGCTTTAAAGACTGGGGCTACAGCTCCTCATTATTGAGCATTAAGCAAACTCTATGGCGGCTATGGTATTGGGGTCTTATTTCCTCCACTTCTCCACACTTACCTTTAGAAACACAGAGCAACAGTCCCTGCAGACTTGGGGGCCTCCCAGGCCCAGCCGCTTGGGCCCCTGCTCACCTGCAGGGCAGCATCCGAGGTCACTGCTGCTCTGGGCAGGTGTTCTGAGGGGGCTGCGCAGCTCCCATTGTTCCCTAGCAACAGAGATGCAGCCTTTAACCCTGCCATAGCTTTGCTCCTGTGATTCTTTTTTGATAAATTCCATTTCATCTAGCCTTGGGCTCAATGATAAAGCACACTAATCTTGTTGTAGGTCCAAACGTTCATTGATGGGTTTCTCTTAGGTCCGAGTCCTAGTGGTGCCTGCCAAGAATTACAGTGACCAAATGCTGGACAAAACTGTAATGGACAAGTCCTCTGAGTTCATCACCAAATGTGGAGGCAACAGCTTTTATATTGAGTAAGTGTCATGTTATGGGGAAGTGCCGTCTTCCATGGGGCAGGCCCACGTTCCCAGCAGGTGAGGGAAAGGGTGGCCCTGGATCTTCCTGCTTCCCCCACCCCACCAAGGAAGCCACCGTGAGTCTTGGGTCCAAGGAAAGCAATGCTCTTCCTCTGCACTCTGCAGCAGACCTCATAGGCACCCTCTTGGTGAGGTGACTAGCCAGCTGAGATTCACCCTCTGAGCAACTTGGGGCCGTCTCCCTTTTTGCTGCTTCCTGTTTGCCCTGTCAGCTGTACATGACTGGTCAGCCACGCCGTGCGCTCAGTCTTAGGAATTTCACTTAACTTTTGGGAGCCTCAGGCTTTGTATCTGTATCTTTTTTTTTTTTTTGTATCTGTATCTTATGCCTAATTGGTTAGGTGGTTGTGAGGCTAAATGAGATGCAGCTAGTTTCTAGTACACAACATTGAGTAGGTGCTAGTGAAGCCAGATATTTCTCTGTACTCCCAGCATTAGGAGGCTAAGGCAGGAAGATTACAAGTTCAAGCCCAGTTTGAGCAATTTAGCCACATCGCAACACCCTGTCTCAAAATTTTAAGGGATGTAGCTCTGGGTGAAAGCCCTGGGTACAATCTCCAGTTCTATAAAGACCAAGACAGAAGTCCTGCTTCCTCCTTGTTACCCTTCATTACTTGTAAATGACTGCACTATTGACGCACAGCTCACAGACCGTCTAGTTCAGCCCAATGTGTGTATTTTCCTCCTTTGGTTTTAGCTGCCCAAAGCTCCCACTGGCCACCCCTGTGATAACTTCTCCTAGACTGGATGGCTAGAGGAAAGGGTGACTGTTGCCAACTGAGTCCCCTTTTTTCCCAGAAGCCAGGGCCCAGAGTCCCTGCTTGGTGAAACAAATGGGAAAGGCAAATTTGGGGGCATTTTGGGGCACACATTCAGGGGCATCAGCCTGCTCTGCTTTTTGTCTCTTCAGCCCCGATCGAGTCTCTTGGTTTTGTAAGGGTTCCGCCAGGTCGCTGGTGGCCTTTTACCATGACGGTGCCCTGCCTTGTGGGTGTCACCCTGCTGGATCCACCGGACAGAACTGCAGCCCTGATGGTGGGCAGTGCCCATGCCAGCCCAATGTCATCGGGCGGCAGTGTACCCTCTGTGCTGTGGGCTACTACGGATTCCCACACTGCAGGCGTAAGTGAACATTCCCAGGCCTTGGGGGCTTCTCTGGTCCCTGCGAGTGTTGCTCAGGGCTTCCAGATTTCACTGTGCTAAAGACATTCCAGGAAGTTCTGTGAAACACTGCTTTCAATTCAGGGGACCTGGGCTGGGGCCAGCTGACTCCCATTGCTGCTGGTCAATAGACCCCATTTCGAGTAGCACGGCTTGAGAAGACAAATCTGGCCAAGCCATGAGGAAAGTCTTCCTGGTAGAGTCTTGGACAGTTCACTGTTATCATTGGCAGAAGTGCCTTCAGTTTTTGTACCCAACATAAGTCAGTTAAGACAGGAGAGCCAGGATCACATGGGCTTAATACAAGAAGAGAAATCTTTGCACTTGTATCTAACCCCGTCCTGTGCCTGTAGGTGTAGTGCCAGCTCGTGTCATAAGGTGGCAGTGAGGAGCCTTTGCCTGGGTGGTGTCACTACTGATCTGGGGTGGAGAACCTGTAGGGCTCTGTGAGCCTGTGAGCAGCCCCTCCCTGGTTCTTTCTAGAACCTTCTGAGGAACAGGCTCCACACTAATTGTGGTACCAACCTTGAACCCAGGGTGTGCACACCAGATCTGCCAGGGGCACTTGATATACATGGTCTTGGCCACAAGAAATGGGGCTGTTAGATCAACCAGAGTCAAAATGTCATAATAACATTTCGGGAGAGCCCTTGGAAGCTTCTGAAAATCATGGCAGTTGGTGCAGTTTGGCTCCAGGTCACGCAGTACCTGACCCTCACAGTGTTTCTTTCTGTCTCCTGGCTAGCGTGCAACTGCAGGGGGTACCCTTGTGAAGAGACAACGGGGCGGTGCCAGTGTCCCCCACACACGATGCAGCCCCAGTGTGAGGCCTGTGAGCCGCACTTCTACAACTTCCACCCTGTGGCCGGCTGCGAAAGCTGCAACTGCTCCCTGATGGGCACCCACCCTTCCATGAAGTGTGACCCGATCACTGGGCAGTGCAGGTGAGCCAGGGTGGGCTCCATGTGCAGTCCTGCAAGGGGAAGATGGTGGGGGGGCGCCATGCGGACATCTACTTGCTGGTCCTTATTGCTCCTTGCTTCCCACCTGCCAAGAAGCAGTGTTCAGCCCTGGCAGACCTTCAGGCAAAATGGATCACAGCAGGTGGACCGAGTGGTCCCACAGTCAGGGCAGAGCCCAGGTGCTGGATCCCTGCAGACTCAGGGCCGAACAGCCTTGCCTGCCTACTCCAGTATGCTGCCACTGGCACATATGCAAGCAGAGGAGAGCTGTGTGTGTGCAGTGCAGTGAGCAGCATCGTCGTGTACCGCGCAGCAAGCTCCAGTTCTGCCGTCTCTGGTCCAGTCTCCAGCCCTTGCTCCAGTGGGGAGCAGAGCCGAGCACCTGGCCCGGCTGCCCTAACTGATCCACAGCAAGACTTGCTTGGAAGTGGAAAGAGGCAGGGAGGCAGGAGGCTCCAGGGGAGCCTGGCCACCAAGCTGTCCCCCGCAGAGTGACAAGCATCTGAACCAGCAGAGCCCAGAGGCCAGTGTTCAGCAGACCTGGCTCTGAGCATATCAGGGCAGGACAGTGGCAGGAGGGGTGGAAATCAGCATGTGGTCTCTCAGAAGAGGCTGCACAGCAGGAAGCCACAGGCAGAGCCCAGGACCCACAAAGGAGTGTGCCCTGGGGTTGTGTGTGATGGGAGGCGGAAGGCCACTGTGCACCCTGCACCACACACAGTGTGTGGATGTGGGTGAGAAACAAGGAGCAGTGGCTGCTGGTGACGGCCACAGTGACTGCAGCTGCCTTCTTGGTCTGTGGCTGCTGGGATGCACGGGCACAGGATGGGTGTCTCGAAACAGTAAGTTTTCAGGGTGGGAGGCCGAAGTCCGCAGGGCTGGTTCTGTCTGCAGGCTCTGAGGGAATCTGTGCTGTGCCTCGCTCTTAGTTCTGTGTCACCAGGAATCCTCCGGTTCCTTGGCTCGTAGCCACATCCCTCCAGTCTCCGCTCCGTCGTTGCGCGCAGTTCTGGCTCTGTCTTCACATGGTGTTCCTGTCTCTCTGTGTGTCTGTGTCTTGTCACTTAAAAAGATGGCTGTCATATCAGCTTAGGACCCACCTTACTCCAGGATGACAGCTCGATCACACTGCAAAGGCTGTATTTCACATAAAGTCACACTCCCTGGGATGCGAGTTAGAACGTCGAGATGCCTTTCGTAGGGGATGTGATTCAACATTGTCTTGACGATGCTTGCTTTCTAAGGAAGAACCCTTCACTACTCCTGGCTTCCAGGACCTTGTAAGGAAGTGCATTGCAAAATTTGAGTCATGGAATATTCCAGGTCTTTAAACCCAGGTGTGAGTCTGGCCTGAGTCAACTTGGTCACCCACAAACCAGGGCTAGGCCCCAGGTATATCTGTGCTTAATCAGAAGAAGCAAAGCTGTGGAGGAGAAGGAGCATGACTGAGTTTGTACTCAGTCTAGAGCAGCACAGAATACTAAATGAGAGGAGACAACTAGAAAGGAAAAGAGTTTAATGAGGGCACGGAGGGAGTCACCACAGAGGAGGCTGTCTGCAGACAAAAGGGCAGGCTCTGCCTGATAAGGCTCTGATGAGGGAAGGGCTCTGGGTACTGATGTGAGCTGATTAATCTTTACACACATGAGCTTCGGCAAAGACTTTTGGGAGGAAGAAGCCACAGGGGCTTCTGGGAAGAAGGAGTTACGCATTATCATGACATAGTTTTGAACCATCTCCATGATGATCGTCCTGTCTCTCAGATGGCAGAGGGATCTACCAGAGCAGTTTTCAGGCAGGGAGGGGAGCTTGAGAATTCACTGTATGAGAAGTAGTGGGGAGAGTTTTCGAAAAGAAACACTTGGTCAACAAAATGAATCCCTGCAAACCGAACTTCACACAGTGTCTCAGTGATGCTATTGGGAGGGAGAAAAAAGAATTACCAGAAAAGTTTAAAATAAAATGAGTCACAGTGGCATGCACTTTCCTGCTACTGGAGGATCACAAATCAGAGACTAGCCTCTGCAACATAGCAAGACCTTGTCTGAAAATAGAATAAAAATGGCTGGGGATGTAGCTCATGGTAAAACACTTACCTGTCATGCACAAGGCCCTAGGTTCATTCTCCATCACTGCATAGAAAATAGTTTAAATAGTTTAAGATGGAAGAATGTGGTAAGTGGATTTACTGTAGCATTCACTTTAGGAAAAATCCTGAGAATGTTTAACAAGCCTTGCCTAGCTAATAACAGTTTCATGGATTGGAAGATTCCTAACTCCAGGACCATAGCATGTCACGCCGTTCTACCCAACCTGAAAACATCAACAGGAGTGGGACCTTAGTTCCTCCAGTATGCCATTTCACCTTGCAGTTTTTTAAAAAGTTCTACTTACTGACAACAGCCTCTCCTTAGTCCTCCAACTCTGAAAGCTTATTTTCTCTCCAGCCAGTCAGGTGGCAAGGGATATATTGTCACCCTTCCTTCCATGGATGTATTTGACTAACACCTCTTGTCACCTGTGTTCAGGTGATATTAATGCTCTCCTAACTTGGCCTTCCTCTTCCTGGTTTACTTATTTAATCATACTTTTTTTGTTCCTTTAATCTAAGAGGACAATATACTAGGATTTTAAATTCTGCTTTCCCCTTAATTTTGTTACTAATATGTACATGGCATCATTAGTGTATACAGCTGGAGCAGTGTTGATATATGCATATGTTTGTGATTTTATCTTTTTCATGTGTGGATTTTTTAATCTTTTACCATCTTTTGAAATTTTTATTAACACATAATTGTACACATGGGCACAGTGTAGTGTTTTAATTCATGTATACATTCCATAATTATCAAATCAGAGTAATTAGCATATATATTATATTTTTATAATTTCTTTATGGTAAATACATTCAAAGTCTCTCCTGGCTATTTTGAGATGTGTAATGCATCATTGTTGTTAACTATACCCATTGTGCTGTGCAGTAGCACATGAGGATTTATTCCTCCTACTCTAACATTGTACCCACTGACCAGACTCTCTACTCCTTCCCACTGCTCTCTCCTTCTCCCCACTCTCTCTAGCCTCTGGTAATCTGTTCTACTTTTAACTTCTACCTGATCAACTTTTTTCAATTCTACATGTGAGTGGGATCGTATGGTACTTGTCCTTCTATGCCCAGCTTATTTCTCTTAACACTTTGCCATCCAGGTTCTTCCATGTTGGTTGAGAATGACAAGATTTTGTCTTTGTTTATAGCTGAATAGTATTCCACCATGCACATGTACTGCATTTTCCTTATTTGTGCATCCATTGATGGGCATTAGATTGAATACATAACTTGGCTGTGGTGAATAGTGTTTCAGTAAACACAGGAGTACATCTCTCTCTTTGATCTACCAATTTCATTTCCTTTGGCTATGTACCCCAGGAGGGGAATTGCTAGATTATTTGGGAGTTCTATTTTTAACTTTTTGAGCAGCTTCCATATTATTTTCCATAATGGCTGTACATTTTTTGGCATCTCTATGTGTTTTAATGAGAATGAAATGTCTCTCAGTTCTTTGTGAGGTTTTTGGTTTGTCTTTGAATTTGTCTTCAATTCTGGCAGGAATCAGTACATTTTATCTCTCAGCCATGGGCAGAAGTCGTGTGTGTCTGGGAGCTAGTGGGGAACCTGTACTAACAGATGTCAGCGCAGTGCAGCAAGTGCTATATTGTATGCAGGGTGCCATGGTGGCGTGGTCCACATCAGTCCACATCCACTATACCATTCTTTGCTCAAGAACCTTCCTCAGTTCCCTATTGCCTACTCATCGAAGGCCATTGTTCTGTGGCAATCTGGCCCCCACCTACCCTAATTTGAGTCTCACTTTCTCTAACACTTTTTGCATCAGAAGAAAGACTCAAAGAAGTCTCTAAGCCTTCCACTAGCAAAAAGATTCTAAGCATTTCCTGCCTAGGGCAGACTTGGTGCTTAGTCATCCCATCTTTGACGCAGTTACTTGACTTTCCATATTTCTAGGTCCGGTATCCTTAGTCACAATGTGCTGAGGTCAGTGTTGACTTAGACTTCCGTCTTCTCCCTTGCGTGTCCCTCGACATAGAAATGTGTGTGTCCAAGATGTATATAATTTTCAAATGCACAAGCAAATGGACCAGGTAGACTTGGGTTCTAAGTTAAAACTGAACTTTGAGGCCTGGGCTATAGCTAAGTGGCACAAGCGCCTGCTTGACAAGCACTGGGTTGTGAGTTTGATCCCTGTTACCAAAAACAACACAACAAAACTGGACTTTAATATGAATGTACTATGAAGGGACCCACAATATTTAACAGCAGAAAGATGGAGTTCAGCCCAATGCATCTGTGCCCACACACGGATAGATGTTGTTTCATAATGTGTAAGCCCATGGACTTGGAGATGACTTTATGGGCCATTCTGCAGCCCCAGGCAACAGCAACTAATGAAATCTTCTTGCTCTTGTGGCATAGGCAGCTTTTATGGGTAGTAAAATGTCTCCCTGGAGAAATGTGCAAGGTCAGGCTGACATCAGATCACTTTCAGCCAGACTTTGAAGAGGAAGTCTCCTTTTTTCCCCTGTTGTCATGGCACTATCCAAAGCACCTTTGCTTGCTGATTTTTGTACAGGATTCAGAAGCACAAGGATCTAAACACTGTGTGACTGAGGTTGTGGGTATCAGTTCTGTGATGTCTCCCAACTGCCACTTGTATGCCTCGAGGCCCAGAGCCGGGCCCTGCAGGGTTGGGGTGGTTGCACCCTCTCCACCCCTCTTTTCCACCGTATCAGCTGGAATGAATGGCACACGGAGTGACTGCTTCCCTCCCACACGCATAGCTTCAGAGCTGCCTCGCCACTGCATACTCCCCATTCCTTCCTTTTCCAGTGAAGTGAGCACATAGAAACTCTGAACAGAACAAAACAAAAAACAAGCTCCTCTCTGCGTCTCCACCTTCAAAGTCCAGGTGCAGATCCCTTGCTCAGGGGCACTCAGCCACACCCAGTAAATACCAGATTGTACTAGCATTAAAGTGCGTACCCTCGGACCATAAATCCTTCGTGTTGCCAGAAGACATGGGCCAGACCTTGGGATGAGTGTCTGGTTGGCATTTCATGCCTGTCCCTCCACGCCCACTGTCTTTTTCTTCATTGCCAGGCCAAGTCAGTTGTGTCAGTCGAAGTGAGCTTTCCATTCCTGTGACAAAATACCTGAGAAAATCAACCTAAAAAGGGGGAAACATTGATTTGGCTCACTGAGGATATAGTCCATGGTCACTGGGCCCAGTGGGTTTTAGATCTGTAGCAGTGCTGCCCATCATAGCAGAAGCATGTGGCAGGGAAAAGCTATTTCCCTCCTGAGATGAAGGAACAACGACCTACTCCCTCCACAAGGTATCACTTCCTCAAGTTGCTGCTGCTTCCAACAGTGCCACTGCCAGCTGGAAACACATCCTTCACCGGTGGGCCAAGACTCTGAAGATCAGATCGTAGCTCAGGTCCTCTCCTGAGCCAATCTTCTGTTTTAAGCTTCCTCTTCCTACTGCTGTTTACTTGGAAGGGTTTAATTATCTTCTCTTCTTTCCATCTCTTGGTCACCAGTGTTCTTTGTTCTATGCTTGGTGTCCCTCCTGAAACAGAGTGTCATCTGAGAACAGGCTCCATTTTTCTGTTGTTCTTTTCTGTTCTGTTTTTGAGTTGCTTGATCACATTTAGTCTAAGAATCACAAGAATAGTATAGGTGTTATTCACCTGGGCCCCGGAGCCCTCTCACAGTGACACAGATGATGTATATGTGAGAAGAGCAAGTGTGTGTACACAGCAGGAGTGGTTCTCTGAGGTGATGGCCCGTAGTTTATTCAGCCTGCAAGACGTCTTGTTTACAGTCCACTGCTGTAGAGCAAATCCTTCAAGCTGAGCATTTACACTTTATACCTGCCCTGCTCTAGGTGTGGCTCACTCTACACGTTACACTTAGATCGCTTTGGGTGTGACTTTGAGAATGTTTTCTTCCTTACAAAGCAGTTTCTGCAGTTTTAGCCAAGGAAGAGGGTGAGGGGGGTGGATGGGCCTGGAGAAACTGACCTGACATTGAACTTGTCAGCAGGTCTTGCGGCTTTCATCTTTTTAGGTGTGCTGGGTCGATAAAGAGGCAGTCATCTGCTTCCCCCAGCCAAGATCACAACAAAGATCCTTGCAGAAATATATGTAGCATGATGCTAAGGTTTTCACCTGTGTCACCTGGTAACCCTCACAGCAATCCTATGAAGTGGGCACTGGATTAATAATGTCTGCATGTTCACAGGTGAGGAGACCTGGTTGCTCAATGTCTCATATCCCAGAAGTAATAGACCTTAGAGCTGACTTCCAGCTAGGTTGCCTGTTCCAAGTTTGCTATTCCTCATCAGGTGTGAACTCCTCTGTCTGGCTATGTGTGGGTGTTGGTGCAGACTGCACCAGGACTGCACCCCTGCAGGCTTACACGGTTCTGCCTCCGTCTCTCATCCTGAGAGCGGCTGCAGATCCCTACTCTCCATCTGCTCGGCATTTTCTTGTCCACTCCATGCTTGGGTTGCTGCTAATGGTGACTCTAGCCCCCAGCGGAGCTTTCTGCTGAGCTCTGGTGCCAGCAGGTTCCTGCCTGCTGCACTCCTCCCCGAGGCCGTGTCTCCCTCCCTACATTGCCCGCCTAACAGGGTCCCAGGATCCACTCCACCACTGAGCCGGAAACCTGGGGGTCCTCCTTGCCTTCTCTTTTTTCTCCCGTCATGCACAGTCATACAAGTCTCGATAACCTCACCACAAAACAATTTTGAAACCCATTCAGCCCTGTGTCTCTGCTGGAGTCCATCTCCTCATCTTCATCCTTCATACAAGTCCACCCGCATCCTTTCCTCCTCCAAGATACCGCCTGAGCCCACCACATGCCAGGCATCATGCTGAAATTTTGCAGGCATTACCTCTTCTCTGCAATTATCCAGATAGGTTGCAAAGATAGTAAACCTCGCATGTCAGTGCTGGGTGAGAGCCCTGACCAGTCTGCCTCTGAGATAGCCATCTCTACCTCTGTGCTCTGCAGCAGGAGCCAGGGGCCAGCCCTCAGCTGTGTAAGAGTTTGCACCTTCCTCTGCAGACCTATGGTTCAGCAGTCCTGTGTAGTGTTCTGGCCCAGCAGCACCACACTGTTCTCTGCACGAGCTGGGTGCTCTCCTGGCTCTGTTCTCTGTCCAGAACATCTGGCCCACCTCAACTGCCTGCACTGTCCTTTGAGGCTAACCCCCTTTGAAGCTAACTTCCCTGGTGAAGTGGTGACTGTCCTGGGTTGTAATACCAGCTGCTCCTTTGAACCCGTGTGTGTGTGTGTGTGTGTGTGTGTGTGTGTGTGTGTGTGTGTGTTTCTCATTTCCACTCATGGACCACCTGCAGGAGCCCTCCAGGCTCAGCTCCAAATCTGTCCTTCACCCCCAGCACCAGCACTGAGCCTGATCAGGGGTCATGCTACCCACAATAGTTGTCTTTGGCTGCTTTCTGTCAGCCCCTCTGTCTGTGTCTCTCCTCCGCCTTGGATATAAGCACCCCACAGGCAGCTGCTGTATCATTCAGCTGGCTTCATGCAGCACCTCCTGGGCCCCAGCACAGAGGACCCTCGGGACTGTGTGCAGACAGATGATGAATGGTATTTTGTTTTGCTTGGCTACAGCTGCAAGTTTGCCAGCATCACAGGGCGACAGTGTGACCACTGTGCTGATGGATACTACATGTTTCCTGAGTGCCAGCCCTGTGACTGTAACCATGCTGGGACTGAGCCAAAAGTGTGTGATAAGGAAACTGGGGCTTGCTTCTGTAAGGTAAGATGATGTCATGCTTGGGACACCACCACCACCCCGGGAGAAGTTCTTCGTGTTGAGTCAGTGAGTGAAAATGTGGGAAGTGAGACCGACCCATCACAGATCTCTATCACATGTGTAGCACTGTACAGTCCTCCTCACACTTCCCAGAAATAGAAGGAAACCCCTCTCATCTTCTGGACAGACCCCCGACCCCTTGAGGGTCTGATCTCAGGGTAGACCCTCTCCAGAAAAATCAACGCAAATGCTAAACTAAAATGTCAAGAGCTTCACAGATTCCCTAATGCCTTTCCCTGTCCCCTGCATACCAAGTTTTCCTCTCTGTTGCAAGGGGTCCTGCCAGATACAGGTAGATTCCATTCCCAGCAGACACACAGGTGGCGCTGAGTGGGGTGAATTGGTTTCTTCTCTTTGTGAACCCTCATACTGCTATTACTGTTTAATCTGTGCAGTTACTTGCAGCCAGGGAACTTTTGGAAGGAATGGTGTCTCCTTCATCATGTTTTTTTTTTCAACAGGAAAATGTGAAAGGTAAAAAATGTAACGAGTGTCAAGAAAATTCGTTCAATTTAGAATCAGACAATCCCCAGGGCTGTGTTGATTGCTTCTGTTTTGGAGCGACTAATCTTTGTAAGATGACACAGGACTGTCACACTGAGGTATGCATAGAGTTAGAGTCTTGGGAATTTTGTTTAGTCTGATTCTGAATGAAGAAGGAAATAAATCGGCACAAAATGTTCTGGGGCTTTTTGTATACTGAGTGGTTGAGATAGAGATTGTTGCCTTTCCTGTTCCCTGGCCTGCAGCATTTCCCCCATAGATGTCCTTGTGATTGTTTCTTGAATGATCAGGTCTCTGATCAAATGTCACATGCCCTCCTCCCCACTCCTTATAAAATATCTCACACAGATCACTCCATGCTATTCCCCTTAGGTTCTCTGCAACATTTATCACTCTCTGACATACTCTGTATTTCGTTTTAAAAGTTCTATGTTTCACGTAAAAAGTTACACTTTAAAAGTTAAAATAACTTTTTCCATCATCAGATTGTGAGTTTTCCTAGGATAGAAAATGGGACCTAATAGATATCCCTTAAAAACTTTTTAAATGAATAGAGTTTGTTGTTACGCTATTCAACATTCTGTTACCATAACAAAATACCTGAAGTAACCAAATTAAAAAGAAGAAAAGTTTAACTGGCTCATGTCAGGTCAGAGTCTGTTAGCTCCATACCTCTGGAGCCTGTAATGGGGAGTTTGTCATAGTGGGGATGTATGGCAGAGAGAGAGTGCTCACTTTGTGGTGGTAGCTAGGACTAGAACAGGTGGAAGAGGAAAGGGCTAGGCTCCCAATATGTCCTCAAGAGCACGCTGCCCTGGCTGGGGATTTAGCTCAGCGGCATAAGCACCTGCCTTGCAAGCAGGCGGTCGTGAGTTCGATCCCTGGTACCGATAAAAATGAAAAAGACAAAAAAAAAAAAAAAAAAAAAAAAAAAAAGAGCACGCTGCCCCTATAACCTGCTTTCTTTCCATTAGGGTCCATCTCTTAGAGGTTCCACCACATCCCATTAATGATAAGCTGGGGGTCAAGTCTACCACATGGGCCTTGTGGGGACAGTGAAGGCCAAAATTATAGCAGCTGTTCTCCCCTTAAGAGGAAGCTGTTTTTGTCTTCCCCACATGTCTGGCACCAAGTGTTTAGAATGTTTCCCTCCAAGAAACTCTCCAGTCTCCTCTTCAGATGTCTTAGACATTGATTCTGTCCACGTTCTCCCTAGAGGTAGTATTGGGGCCACAGGTTATGGGGTCAGGCCCACAGGACTGCCCCCACTTCAAATGCCAAATGCAAGTGCTGGACCTCTCCTATTTTTGAGCAATGTGGTTATAAATCAAGAATTCTCACCGTTCCTTCTTCAGGGCTGGAGCTTTGCTACACTGGCTAACAGAACTCAGGGAAGCACTTTACTTGGTATTATCAGTTTATTATAAAGGATACAGATGCATAGGTGCTCAGGGTGATGTCCAGAGAGTCCGTAGCATAGGCGCTTCTGTCCTGATACAGCTGGGGTGTGCCACCCTCACCCCCAACACCTGTATGCTCCCCAAATAGCCTTTTAAGGTTTATGGAGATCCTATCATGAAATCATCAGCCATTGGTTCATAACTCAGTCTTGGGTCTGTCCCCTCTCTCCAGAGGTTGAGATGGGACTGAGAGTTTCAGCTTCTAATCATGTCTTGGTCTTTCTGGCCACTGGTTCCTATTCTGAAACTTTCTGGTGGTCATGACCAGCCACCTCATTAACATACAAAATGACACTCATCACTGTGGGGATCCACGGTTTTAGAAGATAAGGTGGAAGAGGTGTCTTCTGCGATGGTACAAGATCCCATCCTTCTGTTCTCTTTTCTTCTTCCTGTCTGCCTTTCCGCCTCCCCTATTTAACACATTTTAGGGCCTACTTTTGAAATTAACTTCATAAAATTAAAACTTTTGTTAACTTCCTTATTCCAGGAACAGGCAGTCTCATGCTTGCTTTCTTTGTGTGAATAATGTCCTAGAACCGACAAGCATCCAAGGAGAATTATTTTGTCTCTTTTACTGCCTATCCCTTAAAAGAGGTACAGACTGGAAATGTAAAGAAAATTAGTTTGTAAATCTTCCCTGAAGCCTCCTCTCTATACCCCTCAGGGAGCCAGGAAGCATTTTTCCTAAACTAGGCCTTGTCAGTTCTCTTCTCTTCCCTCAAAACGAAACAGGCTTCTTTTGTGACCAGAAACATATGTAACTTTGATACTCCATTTAGAGAAAAATAATGACAGCAGGCCATGGTATTATACATTGGTTTTTCTCTCTAGGGAGCTCACTTTTTAAATGTACCCGCCATTCTAGTTATTATTCATACACTTATTTATTGTTCAAACCCTTGTTGAACAAATCCTAAATGTTAAGGACCCAGTTGTGGTCTGGGGTACAAAGGTAAATCTCACATGTGTCTTTTCACTGCCACTGAAAGCCCCTGGTCACTTTGGGTGAAACAGGAGCATTGGAGGGTAAGGCCTTGGTCATGACAGGCCAGGGGGGCTCAAGGACAGACACTCAGGGCCAGGGGTATAGCCCAGTGGTAAACCACATGCTTTGGGTATGCGGGGCCCTGGGTACAACCCACCTCCCACTTCCAAAGACACACAGAAGCCTCTGAAGCTAGCAGCCACTCCACAGCCCTTCCTGTGATGAGATGCTGCCTTCACCCAGAAGGCTTAGCACACCTGCTTATGTCTTGCTTTTGTTTCCAGTTTACAGATATGAATGGCTGGTACCTGGAGACAGCTGATGGTTTCCCCATCCACACCAAGTACCTCTGGTTCAGCTCCAGTGTGGCTACAGATATCCAGACGATGTCGGACATCCACAGTGCATACTGGGTTGCACCTGCAAGCTACCTGGGGGACAGGGTAATGACAGTCTATTCTTCTGAGCCCTCTTTGGGCCTCCTCTGTGACTGTGTGATCAATATTGACAGGGGCTCTGGAAGCAAGTATCAGGAAGATGTTTAGGAAATGAGGTTAAAGCTGAGCACATTGACACACACCTGCAATTCCAGGTACTCTGAAGGCTGAGGCAGGAAAAATCCCAAGTTCCTGGCCAGCCTGGTAGACTTAACGAGACCTTGTGTCACAATAAAAAATAAAAAGGGCAGGGAGTGTAGCTTAGTGGTAGAACATTTGTCTCGCATGCACAAGGCCCTGGGCTCAAAGCCCAGTACCACATGGTAAAAAAGCAAACAAGAAAGAAAGAAAGAGAAAAGAAAAAGAATGAAGTAAGCCAAAATTTAGAGGATCCCCTGCTTACCTCTGGTCAGAGACTGAGTTAGCACTTTGTATGCCCCTCATGCACGAGCACCCCAGCAAAAGAAATCAAGTAGTGTTTTTCTCAGTTTTTAGACTGCTAAAGAATATTCCTCTAGAAAGATATAGAGCCATTTATATAATGTCTGTTGCAAATGGGACTTTTAAGGGTATGGAGGATCTGCTTCCCAGTCTGTTCACCTTGTTAGCAGGCTCCTGTTCCTTGCTTGTTGTTGGCTGATACTTCAGGTCCTCCTCACTCGAGGTCCTCCTGGGCTACCTGAGTGTCCTCATGACATGGCAGCCAAGCTCCCCCAAGGGAGGCTTTTAAATGCCAAACCTGAGAATTCTTTGTTACAGAGCAGAAGAAAGGCTTCTTGTCAGGAAACAAAGGCTGGAAAGTGACTCATGAGCTTATTAAAGAAACGCAAACCTGTGGCAGGCTCGGTCTCATGAGCATGGTCACGTGTGTTTACTTACACGCTCCTCAGGGAGCTAATAAATGAGCCGCTCTTCCTTTGCTGCTTGAATTATTATTCAAGAACTCAGCCCACTCTACTCACTTTATGAGGACAGAAATGCAGGCTTTGTGTGACACATGCTTTGAGCTTGGCAGGGGAGAGGTTTTGAGAAAGGGTGGCTTTCACAGGCCCCAGCTTGGGTGGTGCCATAATTTCACATGGAGTATGACTTTTAGGGTCTTCCTGGCTCAAGGTCTTCAGTTCTGTCTTCCATTAAAGGCCTATGACTTTTGATGCCTGAGTGTAGAGAAGTGTTGGCTCTCTCCTGTGACCCAGCTGTCCCTTTCATATTCCTCTTTATGTGCTGTGACCTGTTACGAATTGCCCCCAAATACTTTGCAGTACAGTCAACAAACTATTATGCTGCACAGTTCCATGGATCAGGGTTCCAGGAGACAATGGGCCAGAGTCTCCGCTGAGGTTGTGGTCACGGTGTCACCCAGAGCTGTGGTCACTGGGACTGGAAGATCTGCTTCCAAGTCCGTTCACCTCATTAGCAGGTTCCTGTTCCTTGTTTGTTGTTGGCTGACACTTCAGGTCCTCCTCACTCGAGATCCTCCTGGGCTACCTGAGTGCCCTCATGACATGGCAGTCAAGCTCCCCCAAGGCAACAGATCATATAGACAGAGAGAAAGAGAGAATAAGCAAAACAACTCCAGACAGAAGCCACCATCTTTTTATGACCTAATACAGGAAACGACATAGTCTCACTCCTGCATTATTCTATTGTTACCTGGTTAGAAGGGAGTCCTTAGTCCAGCCATGTTCAAGGGAGGGGAATTCAGCTCTACTTTCTGTAGAAGGCAGTGTCAAGGAATTTGGGAGCATATTTTTTGAAATTATAGCCCATCAGAAAGGCAGTATTTACTTGCAAAAGATGAGTTAGGACATTACCTGGAATATTTCCAGATTTGAGAACACAACTCCACGAGACATTGTTAATCTGCAAATCCCAGGAGGAGCTGCTGTGGACCGGGACCAGACAAGTGGCTGCTTTTCCACTGCTCCAAGTCACTTTTATTTTCCTGGAAGAGTACTTTGTTCTAACCTGAAACCCTCTTGTCTCTGACTTCCATCCTTTGTTACTCCTTTTTTCTTGATTAGTTTCTACATCAAAGCAGAGAGGGGTCAAGTACAGAGGTGAAGGAGCTGTCAGAAAACTATGGCCATTCACATCCATGTCATCAGCGTGACCCTAGGCTTATGTGGCACTTAGAGCTGGTCCGCTTCCCTATTGGAGAAGTCAGTCCTGGCCTCAGTGCTCAGTGAAATTCAGTACAATAGTCTCATGCTTCCAGGGGAACTTCTAAAATTTTATTTTTAGAGTTTTGTTTTGGGACTGCTAGATAAAACCCAAGAGTCTCAGTTTAAATAAGAAACCAGTGGCCTAAATATCCTAGAATTGTTATGGGTTAAATTCTTTGGTTTAATAATTAATTAATGCTTGATGCTGTCAATGCTGTTGATTCAATTTTAGGTTACCTCATATGGCGGCTACCTCTCTTACCAAATCAAGTCCCACGGCTCACCTGAAGACATGGTTCTTCTGGAAAGGGGGCCAACTGTGAAGCTCAGCGTAGGTATCAAAGCAGGACCCAAGTAGCAGGAAATAACGTTACAGTTGGTAGTGAGCTGAACTGGGGACCTCTTGGTAGGTGACCTCTGAAGAGTTTGGATTAAATTATTTCCAATGTTTGGAAGAGTCTGGAAAGTAAGTTTAGAGCCCAGAGCATCTGTTCAAGATCTAGCTTCCTCTGACCAAAATGCTTTTCCTCTTCTCCCCTCCCCAAGTACTGAACTGCAGGTAGCCCTTGCTGGCCATGACCCACTGCCTTATGTTTTATGTTTCTGTCTTCGGTTGGGTCTTATACATGCCTTTGAGCCCTTCCCATGTGCAAGGCCACATTTCTGGGCTCTGTAAAGGAGGCTTCTGTCCTGCAAAGCAGCGGGGACTGGAGAAACAGGCAAACGCTTCCATCTGAGCAGCAGGTGGCTGGGAATAAGAGTAAGCTGGGTGCTGGGTGAATGCGAGTTGTGCAGTCCCTTAGAAGGCTGGGAGTGGGGGGTACCCTTAAGAATGGGCACAGGAGGAGAGATGCCCATTTTTCCAGAACTCAGGGAAACCCAGGCACTCGGCAGTGCAGGGCAGCAGGTTGTAGCCAAGGCTGGTCCATCCAACATGGCTGGACGTCAGTATGCTGAGTCATCAAGAAGGATCCTGGGAGGGTGGAAAACTCTCGTGCTGTGCTGGGAATTTAACTTGTTACTGATAGTAAGGCGCACCTCGGGATTTTTGAGAAGCAATATCCGTACACTATGTGCCTGGCACAGAATCCAGGCTGCAATCTTGAAAATTACTTGAGGCCTGGATGACATCACACCCGTGTAAGGCACAATCCCCAGAATGTAGGGTGCAGTGCCATCTCCCGAAGGTGACTTTATTTCTAGTTTGTGTGCTGTGATGAATGCAATGCAGCTCCCGCTTCCTGAAGGATCTCCTCATGTCATTCAGTATCCCATAGAGACCAGCCAATCTCAGGTACTTTGTCACCACTGAGGGCTCCCACGCTTTGTATTTGGGCATTGCTGTGCTGTGCCGTTTCCACTCACATACATATCTACTGAATTGCTTAAAAACTCCGAAGAACCTTTTCACAGCATCTTGAAGATAAAGCACTAACATTAAAGTCTGGAAAAAATAGCTGCACAATAAAAACACTGCCTCAGCTGCACTATTTTTGAGCTCCATGTTTTTGCAGAGCCCGTCACAGATCAGGCTGTTGGTGTGCTTATTTTCCATTGCCGAGGAGTTTACTATGCAAACTATTGAAACTCGGTGAGACATTAATGACTGAAACATCTCTTTAATTTTACCTTCAAACATAAAAATAATTTAGGCACATGAAACGTTTACTTTGCTGCTTTGTCCTAAGCCAGTATAATTAAGAGCCTTGGAGCATGTTTCTCAGCTTAAGGTTTTCAGTGATTTGTGATTCCAGATAATGCTCAGCTTTCTGCAAGCCCAGCCCTCATCAGCAGAGCTGCTGCAGGAAAGCTGCTCTGTTGCATGCATGCTTGTGCTGGGGTTGCTGATGGAGGGCACTTAGCACCCCATTCTGTCCCATCAAGAGCCACCCTTGATCCCCACACTGGGAGATTGAGAGTGAGCAAGGACAGATGTCCTGGGCAGGGCTGCCAGCTAACTCTTCCCTCCCCACGAAAGCTCTGGGGATCCCCAGCTCTGCAGCTGCACTGCTGTGCTCCCTAAACCTCTGCCCTCTCCAGCTACCCACCCACCGAAGCCCTTTCTAGCCACCACAGTCTTCTCTGTAGGCAGTAATAAGAACAGCACTTCTCGTATTTATTGCAAAGCGTAATTTATTTTTTAAATTCTTCTTTCCCCATCTTTTTAGTCACTTTCATTCAAGGCAATTTTCCAGGGTTTCTATTTGTGAAAATACACCACATTAGCTGTTATGATTCCATTTCCATGTCACTAATCCTTTAACTAATCAGTTAATTCTGAAGTATGTTTTAAAGACAGACATTTCATGTAATGTAGAGACTCACTGAAGTTTGTTCTTAGATCGGTGATAAACCTCAAAGCAGTGTGGAAGAGGTGCTGATATATTCACATTCTTCTCTAAACAGGGTTATACCATGACCATCGTGTGTGAGGACCACTTTGTGCCACACCCCGACCAGCTGTACCGTGGGCAGATACAGCTGTTGGCGGTAAGGGACCGGCACCGGGAATGGTGCCTGATGAACCTTTTTGTTCTGCTTTAATTATTTCAGATAATCATGATTTCTGATTTACTTCAAGAATTTAAAAATGTAAATTACATTTGTGTAGATACAAGTTTATTTATAGGTAGATTTGTGATATAAATTATATAAAGTATAATGTTTGGTAGTCACACGGCTACTATCATCTTTCTGGCACTTTAACACCCTGTCTCTCATTTCACGATTCCTTTTGTGTGGTACACCTGGGGGGCTATCCATGCTCCTTGCATTAGGTCTCCCCCAGCGACTGGAACGTGATCAGTGTCCCACAGTTTCTTGGTATGGGTGGCTAGAAAAGTCAAAAAACTGCCTTACATCAAAATAAATAAAAGTTATATAGCTACACAGAGAAACACTCACTGGCTCATAAAAAAATCTCATTATGCTTACTTGATTGTTATTCCTTAAAAATAGTAGTCTGTTTCTACAACTCAATATATCCAATACCTCAAGGGTAACAAATTTCCAAAAATTCTCCCCTCCATAAAAGCATTAAGAAAACTGGCAACATGGTCAGAAGTAGCATTTTTAGGACTTTGGGCTTGCAAACATCTGGGAAGCGTTTCTTTGAGAAGAACTGCCTGACTCTCAGTTGGAACACTGACTTTGTGGTGTTCTCCTTTCTCCAATTCCACAGGAACAGTGATCAGAGCTCCTTCCATACCTCCCTCTCAGAGAACTATCACAGCTTGACATGTCTGGGTGTATTTTGGAAGGTCCTGCTTGCAAGGCTGTTTTTATTTTCCCTGGGACTATTGTTGGAAATACTTAGAGGCAATTGTTTAACTTCGTGGCTTCCTAAAATAGCTAGGGTAACCAATAAGGTAATCACAGATCTTAAAGTAAAATAACTGGGGGATGAGATGTCCACAGGGGCCTTTCAAAAGCACCAACCTACTCTTGAAGATTACAGCTTCAGATCTTCCGCACACATGAGACGAGGACAGATCTGAGACAGCCCAAACTCTGCCTCTGGCTGACCTTGAACCTCTATGGCAGCAGGAAGTGAAGATTACGGCAGAGTTGTCAACTACCTGGCCAAGAGTGTAAGGAGTTTCCCAATAACCACCCAGAGCCAATTTGCAAATAATAGGAGACAAAGAATAGCTCCAGGCAATTCAGGATATCTTAGTCCAAACCTTAGCTGCTCACTACAAGCTAACAAAGCAGAGAGTTTAGTGGCCATACCTGACAATGAATACAGGCTTTACAGAATTAGTTCGGAAAAGGCAGCAAGCAACAACAATAAATCTTTGGAAGCAAGAGGAATATGATTTTTTAGAGTTGCCACATTATATTATTTTAAGAATCTTTTTTTTTTTTTTTTTGTATCAGGGATCAAATAACTGCATGTTTGCCGGGCACTGAGCTAAATCCCTGGCCCCACATTGCATATTTTAAATGCTTAGCTTTCAACAATTTTGGGACATGTGAAGAAACAGATGTGGTTCATACAATGGTGGGTGGTAAGCAAATAAGTACATTGCTAACAAGGAAGACCAGATGTTAGACTTAATAGAGATGTTTAACCAATGTTTCAAATATGCTCAAAAAACTAAAAGGCACCATGTGTAAAGTTCTAAAGGAAAATATGAACATTGTCTCATCAAATAAAGTAAAAAACCCAGAAATTATAGAAAAGGACCAAATAGAATTTCTGAAGTTGAAAAACACAGTAAATAAATGAAGAATTCCCTAGAAAGTTCACTGTGCACTGAATTGTACACCTCCAGAGCCCTATTTGTATGTGAGTTCCTTGACCTCTAATGTGGTGGTATTTGGAGAAAAGAAGTAAATGGGGTTAACTGAAGTCCTGGAAGTGACACTCTGGTAGGATTAGTCCTTTAAGAGGAGACACAAAGTGCTCACTCTCTTCCTTCCCTGTGAAGAGGAAATGAGAATACACTGCAAACCAGGAAGAGGTCCCACCACGGACCCAGGCAGCCAGTGCCTTGATCTGACGCTTCCAGGCTCTAGAACCATGAGAAAATAAATTTCTTGGGTCTAAGTCACTTAGGATATAGTGAATTGTTACAGCAAGCGTTCCAACATGTGCATAGTGGGGTTAGCAGAAGGATGGGGAGAGCATTGGAAGAAGTAGTTGCTGGAAATGTCCCAGATTTGAAAAAAGTCATTAAAGTAGACATCCCAAAAGTACAACAAGCTCCACATAGGCTAAATGCAAGAAATCCACAAACAGTCGTAGTAAAGATGCTGGAAAACAGAGAATCTTGAAAGCTTTGATTCATCACATACAAGTGGTCCTTGTGGAGATTAACGGTTGATTTGTTAGAAGACCATGGATGATTTTGACATATTCAGAATGCTGAACACTGTCAACAAAGTTATAGGGGAATGAAACTCCCAACCTAGTATGTCTTGTAATCCACAAATGAGCCCCCAACTCAAGTTTAAAAAATGAGGCAAAAACATATTTTAAAAAGCAGTGCTGATTTATTTTATCCTGGGCCCAGCGATACAGTGCAGTTGAAGTTGCAAAAGCTGTGTGTCGCTCCTCCTTACTTGCAGCCTTTATGTACATATCACAGTTTACAAAGTAAGTGGATCAGGAAATCTGCTAATGAGGAAGACCTTTGTTTTCCTTAGCAGAGGATAGAGTAGTCTAGCAGTAATTAACAATTCTTTGTCAACTTATTTTAGCACCACATCTGTTATTTGTAGAGGGCAACAATGGTTAACATATCAATTAGGTTAGGTTCCCAGGGATTCACAATTCTTTACAGAGGAGAGCATTGATTAACATATCAATTAGGTCACCCAGAGGCAGGCAAAAAACTCATACAGAACAGTATGGCCACCTTACAGGTATTTGGGTATAATGAAGCTCTTTTTGCTAGTGTACACCAGTATGTCTGTAAGTTCATGTTCTCTAAAATTGAAGAATGAATTTTAGGAACAATGGAGGTGAAGAGTAGAATATATTTATTGAGAGAAAGAAAGCTTCTGTCTGAGAGAGAGACAGAAGGGGACCTGAGTGGGATGCCCAGGTCTGTCTTTTCCAAGGACTTTCATAGGGTAAAACCATGGGTTCAAGGTGGAGGGTAGAGGGAGGGGGGAGACTGGGAACTCACAAAGCAGATGGGCATAAGGTGGGACATAACTATATTTAGCCAATAAGATTAATAGTTCAGGTAAAATTGATTAAACTGGGGACAAATGGGGAAGCAAGTCACATGGGAAGTGGGCATTCTTGGAGCTGTGACCTTTCCCCTAGGGGGATGAGATAGTGACTCCAGGGTGATAGAAAACTAATTAGAATATCAGTCTTTAGGATGTAGATGCATTTGTTTAATCCTTTGTCTTGAGGCCTAGCCCACAGCGGGAAGTGTCTGTCTCCCCACAGTTGTAAAGTATCTGCACTGGCTCCTTTGAGGATCTAGCCCTGTCTCACTGCCTATAGTATTTCTAACTAACTGGGCTGCTTGGAACAAAAGGACTCTGTATCCAACAAGATATCCGTCAGTCCTTCAGAAGGAAGAGAGAGAGAGAGAAGGAGGAAAAAAGAAAAAGAACTAGAGAATTCATTGCTAGCCGGCTTTCTTTGACAAGAAACATTAAAGGAAATCCTTCTGACTGAAAGGAATGAACACTAGAGGGTAACTGAAATCCATGTGGAGGAACAGAGTGCTGGAAAAGGCAGCCACGTAGGTGCATATGAAGGACAGTATATCTCTCGTTTGTAATTGTTTTTTTCCCTGCCTGTCTAATTTAGAGGACAGCTGCATAAAGCAGTAATTATAATCCTGTGTTGATGGGTACACAATGTACAAAGATGTGATTTCCATGACAATAAAAACACAAAGGAGCCAAGAGGGAATGAATGAGGTTCTTGGTAGAAGCAAAGTTTTGTGCACTATTGAGATGCAATTGGTGTTTATGTGCAGCATGGGCAAATCCACAGAGACAAAGTAGAGAGGTTGCCTGGGACCACAGGTGACAGAGAGGCCCAAGGACGCTCTTTGAAGTAATGGGAATATTCTAAAATTACGTTATGGTCATAGTTGTATGCTTTTGTATGTTTACTAAAATTTACGCTTAAAATGAGATAATATTGTTACATGTATATAAATTAGACCTCAAGCTATTAAAAACAAATTAAAATTACATATTACCATATTTTAATCAATAGCTAATATTGACTATGTACTACATGCTGTGCACTGTGCTTAATATTTATATACATTATATTAATTTATTTTAATTTTAAAGCCTTAAGGGATTAGACATTACCATGCCCATTCAAGAGATGTAGAAACTGAGTTCAAGGGAGACAACAGAATATAATGGTTAAAATGCAGGCTTGGATGTGAAAAGATGCTTAGATCAGTAACCATAAGAGAAAAGCAAATCAAACCCATAATGAGATATCACCTCCCAAATATTAGGATGCTTACTATAAAAAACAAAAAGTGTTGGCAAGTGTGTGGAGAAACGAGAACCCTTTTGCAATGCAGGTGGGAATATAAAATGATGCATCTGCTGTGGAAAATAGTTTAGGACTAGTAAAATAGAACCAGCAAATGATGTAACAGTGGCACTTCAGGGTGCAGATCTAAAAGAAGTGCAAATAGGATGTGGAAGAGCCATCCAGACACCCGTTCATTGCAGTATCACAATAGCCAAGCGATGATCTATGGATGGAGGAAGAGATAAAGGAAAGACATTATTCCAACCTTACATAGGAAGGAGATACCGTTGTCCCATAGATAAACTTGAGGGCAGTATAATAAGCCAGTCACAGAAAGACAAGTCCCAGGTGATTCCACTGATGAAAATATCTCAAGTATTCAAAATTCTTAGCAGGTAGCATAGTGGTTGCAAGAGAGTAGATGGGAGAAAGAAGGGGAGCTATGGTGTAGAGGATCTGGAGTTTCCATTTTGCAAGGTGAATAAGTTCTAGAGACCTCTCCCACAACAGTGTTTAGAGCTTTTAATGCCCTGGACATGACTATAAACTGTTAAAATGGATAAGACAGTAAGTTTTATGCTATGTGTTTTTACCACAATAAAAACTTAAAATTAAATGAGTGTACATGTGCAGGGAGAGATTGTGCTCCCTGTCACTATTATACATATGTGATCAGTGCTGCTTGTCTCTATTGGTTTCTACTTCCCTTTGTCTCTCCCACAGTCATGTTATATTTGCCCAGACAAAAGTCACTTTAACATAGGACACTGGGGCACTTTATTTCATTCTATTGCTGCTTATTGTGGGGCTTTTCTCCCCTTCTCCTGGTGCTCACCTTTCCTGGGAATAATCCAGAGCATCTGACTTCAGAATGTGAATGTCCCAGGAGGGACTTCTCCCACCTTACTCTGATTTTTCCTTGTGCCTCTGGAATGTCTTCTCTTTGGTTTGTCCTGGTGGTGGTGGTGGTGGGGGTAGCCTGTCTACTCCCTGGAAGTGAACTGGAAAGTCACTCGGTGAACTAAGGGAGCACCCCCTGACTCTCTGCTTGCCCACACAGAGAAACTTCAGACACGCTGAGACCGGTGCTCCAGTGGTCAAGGAGAACATGATGGTCCTGCTGTCTCAACTGCGGAAGCTGAGCATCCGGGCCCTCTACTTCACGAAGACACAGCGGCTCAGCCTGAGCATGGTGGAGCTGGATGTGCTCCAAGATGGATACGGAGAGCCGGCGTCTCATGTGGAGAAGTGTGACTGTCCTCCAGGGTACGCGGGTGACTCTTGTCAGGTAGGACATTTCCCCATCCATGGCGTCCCAGAAGCAACATGTGTGGCTTGTCCAACACCATGTGAAACCATGTGGCCCCTGGTCCATCATGCAGGTTTCTACTGGACTAGTGCTTCTATCTCGCCTAGACTCCCTTCAGGGATTAAATATGAGAAGGCATCACCAGTGACTTAATATGAGTCATATGAGCGCATGACAATCACAGGAAACCACAGGAGCCCAAAGATACTGTGGGCTGCAGAAATCACAAGTGAAAAGGAGCCTGCAGGTCAGCACCCCAGTGTCGGTGCCCCTACTGTCCCAGAAGCTGAACAAGGGCAATCATGGCCCTCTCTTATCCAGGGTCTCCCTCCAGCCTCCTCCCCCGGTTCCCAGCAGAGCTGAACTCCAGGGACTTTCCTGGGTTCTGCTTGGAGAAATCATATTCCAATTTTCTAGCTCTTAGTGCATCTTCATTGTATAAAGTCCAGCTGACCAAAGACATCTTGAGATTATCAGAACGTGCCACACAATGAAGCTGTTCAGTGTCTCGAGCTGTGTGTATGTTCTTTTCCACATTAGTATGATTAGTAGCAAACAACAAATCTCATCATTCTGTGTATTCCATAGATGCAATGTCCACTGCTTCCACTGCCTGGACATTAATAACAGGGACCCAAGGCCATCTGCGCAAGAGAGTTTCCACTGTTTAAGCTTGCAGTGCCTCCCCTGCCATGGTGTTTTGGGGATTTCCGACTTGTGAAAGCCTCTTAAATTGCCTACATTCATCTCCTTGCCCTCCATGTCTTCACTGCTGGCCTGATTAAAATAGATAGCCAGAGGGAAGGAGAGGACCGTAGATTACCACCCTCATGCCCAGGGTGTGTTACTTGTGGTGACTCAGCCTGTGATTTATGGCTGCTCTAATGGTCTAGAGCCGTCTAAGGCGAGGCAGGTAGAAGGCCAGGGCTGCCCCACCTCATAGGAATTACATAGCGGCGCACTCACCTGCTGGACTGCGCCGGCACAGGCTGACTCATGTGTGAAGTTTAAAGGTGGGGCCTCCTGCCGCAGACAGCTTTGCTTACCTGAGTCAGGCAGGCCTGGGCACTGAGCAGGAAGGGCAGGTATAAGAGGAAGAGAGACACGGAGGTTTCTGAGCTCAGCCAGCAGGACACGGCCGCAGGGAATCAGGATGCCCCCCGTAGAGAGGCGGGCAGCCCTGGGTGCAGGATGGCTGTGGATTTTCGGGGTAGCCCTGAGTCAGTGTCTGGGGTATAGTTCACAGCAGCAGCAGAAACTAGCATTTCTTAAGCCTCCAGGTCAAAGTCAGCTGCAAGCAAGTTTTACGGAGTTGAGATCCAACCAGGTAAAGTCCATTTTCAGTTTTGGCTTGGGGTGGGAAAGGATTCCCAGTTTGGTGACATTTTAAGTTAGAGAGATTAAGGAGTCAATGGGTGGGCTGGGGGAGGGTGGGGGCTTACTTCATGTTAACTGACAGTGCTTATTACAGTCCCTGGCAGACTGTTCTCCGGAGCTATTTAACCGCAAACCCCATAAACGTCAGCCCACCTGGAAAAGCTGAGACAGTTAACAGCTTGAATGCTTGTGGGATGTTAATAGGCTATGAAACTTTGTGCCCTTTTGAGTAACTCAGGCCTCAGGACAAAAGAATCCATTGCCTATGGGTTTCCAAATTCTGCTGAGAAGAAAATTTGCCCATAGAGTAAAACTGGAGAGAAAAAACAATCCTTGCCTGAGAAAAGTATTCAAAGTTTGCATAATGTCTAACAGATATGTTTCGATTTGCCATGCATGAAACATTATAAACTCTGCTTTTCTTTAAACTTCCTGGGTGTTACATTATGGTTACAGAGAAATAGATCCTCATGGCTGCTGAAATGGTCCTGAAATCTGGGTAGGGTCATGGTCTTATCATTTAGAGTATAAAAGTTTATCACTTGATGAAACCTAGCTAGGTACAAAGTTGTTCTATTGAAAATAATGTATTAGGATGCATGCATTTTCACTGAAAGTAATTCTTCAATACAGTGTGAACATTTGAACTGCATTTTATGTAGAATATGAGTCTGCTTGTTTTATGGAGGTGGGAAAATGATTATATTTCAATAATTAACAAGTGTTCTGAGAATCACATGGAACGGTTCTTGAAGAGTATTTTCCTGCACTGAATCAAAAGAAATTATGGTGGATAATTTAACTTTAATCCTGATAGACTATCCTTCCCCAAAGCATATTTAATTAAGGTTTTCCACTCAAGTACCTTGTCATAAACTAACCAGATCCATTTATTGATTGGAGTAACTTGTCCTTTACCAAATATAATTATTTTGCAAACACAGTGATGCGATGGATGGTGTTAACCATAACATACTTGCCACTGAAGTGGAGCTTGTTTGTCCTAACTGGATAGATTTCATTAAAAGAACATTCCATTCATACTTTATCTGCTTTAGGCAAGCCTATTCACAGAGCACAAAATCTAATTTTTTAGCTTATGGAACATTATACTGGAAATTGTGCTCTGTTTTCCTGTATGATCAGTAGTCACTGCTGATTTCAGACAGTACTCTGGTTAGCAACTGCAAAGTTCCACCCTGAGGAGCTCATGACTCATCCTCGCTTCAGGGCTTTCTTCCTGTCTTCTACTGGACCACGTAGAGTCCTTTCTGGCCTTGGATGAATAAGAATGGAGCAGTAATTTCAAGATTTCCACTGGCTGAGTTTCAGAGTCTAATAGATATGCGTACTCTTTAAAGAGAATCAGATAAATGACATTCTTTTACTTGTTATACTAATTATATTATATTATGTTATATTAATTTTAAGGCCTTAAAATTAGGACGTGCATGGGATCAGTGTAACACGGTAGGGGCAATGTCCAGTTTTAATCCATGCACAGATTAGCTCTGCCAAAATAAAGAACATGTCTTAGTCTTCTCTATAGCTAGACCCCTAAAGGATTTTACTGGGTGCTACAAATTTGTTCAAGTTATTGGAGGCACTCTTTACTAGAACCTATTAAAAAGTCACCAGTTCAGCAAATATACACTATAATTTTTCATCCCGATGGAGCACAGTAACTTGTATTGTCATCTAGAAGGAGATAATATACTGAAAATAGAAACGACCAAAGCAGTAGTGAAGCAGAAAGAGCAGCTTCTGCTTCTTGGTGTGTTGGGCACAGACCAAACTTTGGTGATCAGTTCTGGACACCACCCAAGCGCCTCTTTCCCCACAGGCCACCTGCTGCTCACAGACTAGTTCAGTGGTAACAAGGTGATTCCAATAATTCCACTAGTGCTGTGCAGACCCTGAGAAAGACTCTTTCCCTGACCCCTGGTCTACTGCACCTTCTACCAGCCCCAAACCATATTTGAGCTGTTGGAAGAGAATCTGAACTTGAGGAGGTTTGTCTAGGTACCTCCATGCTAACGACTGGGGCCTGGTCCTCTTTCCTGTATGGGGAGCGGTCCTTTTACTTCACACCCCGAGCTTGCTCTCACTTCCCCACCAAGCCCTGCATATTCTTGCCAAGATGTGGAAACAGAACTCAACCTGACAAAAAAGAAGAAAAAGCAAGTGGCTGAAATTAGAAACCCACATACTACCCAAGGAAAGTGAACCCTTCATAGTCAGAGTTGTCATAGGCTGTGGAGAGTGAATGTTCTCGTTCTTTGTATTGATGAAGCGCTTTGTTTTAAAAACCAGACTTGCGCCCCTGGATACTATCGGGATTTCAGAGGCTTGTATACCGGAACCTGCATGCCCTGCAATTGCCATGGACATTCAGATCGATGCCTGGATTTGCTTGGAACATGTATTGTGAGTAAATTGATATTTTGATACTATCATCAATCAGTTTCTCTTCCCCAGCCCCTTGCCCCAAGATATTAATGTCGCAGTTTAAACAAACCCTAAGTAGAGGACTAGGTGGCCCCAGCACCCTCAGGCCAAATCATGTATGTTACCTGGCACATTTTTCCCTATTCTGACATGCACTATCAGAAGTTGTTCTCTTCTGATAGTGCACTTTGCAGTTGCTAACCGGAGCACCTGTCTGCACAATTGCACATCCCCTCAGCTTCTGCATCTCTGCCTCATTAAATGGTGTTTCTAGGTGCTTATGGCATTTAACTCTTGCCAGGATGTGATAAACCAGAGCCGTTACTTTGGGCTCCAGTTCTGTTGGGGTAGTAGGTTGCAGGAGGGGGGACTCACTGTTGTCAGTGACCAGTGACAATAATAATAAAACAACAAACAAACAAAAAAATACTCAAGAGAGTGGATGGGTGGGGGGGAGTGCGCCAAGAAAGGCGGCTGCTTTCAAAACACAAAGCCTTCAGATGGGGTTATGGGAAAGGGGTGGGGATGTTGGGCAGGGGAAGAACAACCTCACAACCCCTTTCATATAACATCTGCCCATACCCCATTTTGACTCATTTTCAAGACCTCTGGGGTAACCTTTGATGTCTGTAGCTTATCTGCTGGAAAATTATCTGATTTTTTTGAAGCTTTTATAAACTTCTACTTACATTAGAAACTTTTCTTCTACACCTTGCAGCAGAACCTTTTTTAAAATTCTGCTTCCTTTTTCCCTTTGATCAGAATTCTTCCTGAGAGCCATGACCTCTCCAGTCCGGTGCTCCCAGGAATCCTGGGCCTATTTGGGTTGAGCTCCTTTGGAAATGCGCGTTGCTGGTGTGGGCTTCCGGTGCATTGCATAAAGCAACCAGTGTTTCACCTACTTGAGTTCCTAGACTATATGAGCCAATTCAGCACATCCCATTTCCTCTGCAAGATGGGACAGGCCACAGCAAGAGAGTGCTGTAAAGGGCCGCCTGGCAGAATATTTTGTTGAATTATAACCTTATAAGCTCAACAAGAATAAAAGATTTTAAGAGAGATTGTTTTCCAGCTCCTAAGCCTTCCTACATAACAGTTAATGTTTAATATTGAGTGTTCAAAAGAATAAAAAAGTGGAGAACCATGGTTTCCCAGCTCCTAGTGTTCCTGTGCAACAGTTTATGTTTTATACTGTATGTTGTGTGTATCACAGGTGAATGCTTTAATTAAAAATAAATTTTTTATCATTAAACCATTGCTAGGTGTCGAATTCACCTTCTAAAAGCTGCCAAAGAACAAAAGGACTTTCCTCTGCAGTCCATTATTCACCTCATGAAAGGATAACTTGTGAGAATCATAATTCATATTTCAGTCAAATAAGATATTTTTCCCCATCTCATCTCTTTACACCTCTGTCTTCATTTGTCTTTAATGGCCACGTGAAAATCAATATTGCACCAGTGCTACGGTGGCAGGTACTGAGCTGGGTTTAAAAAACGCCAGATACCATCCTTTTGTCAAGAGGCTTGCTGTCTAGTGGAGAACATGCATGTACGCACACACATGCACACACATACATATTTACATGCACATGTACAACCATGTCTGGTGCGCACACACGGAGCCCGCGTCTGCATTCAGTAAACTGCTCTGTTGTGGTTCCATGAAAGCTGAAGACACCACTGTTGTTCCCGACCAGGGGCAATGGGACTCCAAGTGCCTTTGGATATCGCAGGGACTGTTTGGCCACTCCTACCAAGCTACAATATAAATTTCTAAAATCAAAAGACCTTCGCACATGTGCAAATGCCATGTCATTTCAAGAATAAACTTCAAAAAAGAATAAACTTTGAAGTTTGAGAGTGTGGCCAGAGGGCCCTGTGGGATGGGCTTCCTTCTCCACAAGGCCCCTGGGTCTCCCTTCTCTCCTGGCTGCTCTCTCCTCTCTCCCTGTATTTTCTCACTTCCTAGTTCCCCTGCCTCCTACTCTCTGTCACTTCTACCACCATGGCTGATTTCCTTCTCTTCCCACATCACCTCCCTTTTTCTCTTTCTTTTTCCTTTTTGGCTTTTTGGAATAAACTCTTCCCCTGTATCCCTGACTGGCCTTGAACTCACAGCGATCCTCCTGCCTTAGTCTGCTCAATGCTGGGATTACAAGCCTGCGTTACCCTGTCTTTTTTTCCCTTTAATTTCCAACTGTTTATTCCTTTGCCATGCCTGAATGACTTACTTGAAACTCACAGCTGACACGAGGCTCTGGTGGGGCTGGAGCTGGCGAAGGAAGCACTCCTGCAACAAGCCAGTCCATGTGCCTGGGCCTCTGTGAGGTCTCAGGAATGCTCTCCCTCTCCTTCCTCGCACGTGGGCCTCCGTATCCCCATTGTACCTCGCTTGCTGCTCCACCCACTACCATACCATCACAGGACTGAGGTTCTGCGTGCTTTGTTCCCTGTGTCTGCAATGCCCCTCCTTGGCTTCTGCACCCAGGTAATCCCCCCACCCCGCAGTGGGCAGCACTTCCTGTGTAGCCCTGCCCTGGGCTCTGGAAGAGCCAACCGCCCCTCTCTGTTCCTAGGGATGCTGCCCCTCCTGGGGTGTCTTCCTGGACATATTGACTGTCTATTTACAGGGGCGTTTGTCCTCCTGCGATGGTACCAGCCCATCTTTGTGTCTGTAGTACCAGATGTAGTTGGGCATATAGCAAGCGCATAGTAAATGTTTGTTGCTGAGTAAGGCTATTGAACTCATCCTGAAGAGTGGATGTGAGCCTCTGTGGCATTCACTCTCTCACTCATTCATTCACTCCTTCATTCCCTAATTCATTCATTTACAGCAAAGCACAAGGAAACTTGACAGGCAGAGGTCTCCAGCTTGCAGGACTGATGACAACAGATCCTAGGAGAGGTGCCCGCCCCCAAGGGCAGGGGTACTCCAGACATTCTGGTGGGAATGACCCCCACTCACAGTACCCTCCCTACACCACTGGGCAGTGTTTTTTAGCAGGATGCGCACACCCTTGGTGCAATCCTTGTCTCTCCAGCTGTTTTCAATCGCAGATGTAAGTAGAGCACGAAACTATAGCTATCACAGAATGTTCTCCTTTAAAGTTGTCATTTATTTTAAGAAAGAAAACTAAAACAGGAAGGTAAATGATTTGTTTAAAATGAGGATGTTTCATGAGCAAGACAGATCAGCTGAGCAAAAAAATCCTTTATCATCCTTGTCTCATGAGACCCGGATACCTGACTGCAGCATTTGAGAGAACTCCTGTGGAGTGGATAAGCCGCAGGGTGGTTCTCTCCTAGGGTTCAAACATAAAGGAGAAACCCTCACTGTGGAGAGATCTGGAGAGGAAGGAAAATTCCAGACAGGGTCAGCTTTCTTGTGATGATCCAGTAGAAAAATGTAAGCAATATCCCAAAGACCCTCATTGCTTTAAAAAAATATGTACTAGTTTCTTATGTTCATAGTACTTGGCGGGGGGGGGGGGATCAGGAATCAAACTCAGGACCTTGCACTTGCCAGGTAGGTGCTTGTGTCACTAAGCTATATCCCTGGCCCTAAAAGCACAATTCTATATCTAGGGGGGGGGAAGGATATTTAACAGCTCCATTTTCTGTCTGTTCTTTAAATAATTTAAATTGGCAGAATGGTACCTAGTTACAGGGCACAGTGTGATATTTTGATGCACGTATTCTGCATATAATCCCCACAATCAGGGTAATCGGCATATCCACCGCTTCATGTGTATTGTTTCCTATACAGAATCAGAGAACTTGAGTTACAGTCATGTAAGATTGCAATGACTTAAAAAGTAGGAAGTGTGAGAGGTGCATTCACTGTCCTGTTCCTCTGTCCCAAGAACTGTCAGCACAACACGGCCGGCAAGCACTGCGAGCGCTGCAAGGAGGGTCACTATGGAAACGCTGCCCACGGATCCTGCAGCGTCTGCCCCTGTCCTCACACCAACAGGTAATCAAAGGTTTCAGTGTAACCTGCAGAGACAGGAAGCAGTCTGCTGGTGGCCTGGACCCCAGGGTGGGCAGAAGGGTGGGAGGAGGAAAGTGGCTGCCTAGGGGTCCCTAGGATTTCTCTTTGGGGTGATGAAACATTACGAACGTAACCACAGGAATGGTGGGACAATGCTGTGGCCATACTGAGCCACTGAATCATGTACGTTATGTAAATAAATTGCATGGTATGCAAATTGTATCTCGATAAAGGTTTAAAAATGAACAGAAACAACATGCAAGATAAATCAAAACCAATCAGAGAGTTGCAGTCTTACTATGTCGCATATTTTCTGACTTTTCCTCTTTTTTTCTTTTGCTGTGCACTCAGTGGTTAAACATTTACTTCCTGAGCACTCAGTATGAGGCCAGGACTGGGCCTTGGCTACTTGCTGGGGAGCCAAAGGTGGATGGCGGAGGGAGAGAGGAGAGGCCTATCGCACACCATTCTCTGTGCGTGCTGGTGTGTGTGTGTGTGTGTGTGACACACGAGTATATCTGAAGTAGAATTTCAGATGGCATTGGGAACTCTGAGAGTTACATGATTGACAGTGACTGAGTGACAGTATTAAAGGCTGGCCAGGAGGCCTGGGGCTGTTGAACATGGACTGAAATTCATCTACTCCACTGAGTAGATTAAGCCATGGCACCACCTTTGCCACGTGGCCCCAGCAGGGAAAGCCCTCTGAAGATGTGTTCAGGGACAGGCAGGAGAGAGTGTGACCCAGCCAGGCTCTTTTGCCCACCACATGATAATGCCAGTTATTGAAATGAGGAGTCTGGCAAAGCTGATCTGTTCATAAGCAGCCGTGCTTGGAGACAGGAAAAGTCTCAAATTCTCTTCCCTGAGGACAGGATTTAGGAATACTTATGAGATAAAAAAAAAAGGAAGGTGATATAATGCATGGGAAAGGTGATTGGAGGTGAGGGAAGGAGAGTCATTAGTGAACGTGTGTATATAATTTGGAAATGGCAGCACAGTGCCACATGATGTAAGGGTGAAGTTTTTAGCCCCTGATGTTAACAGAGTCACTCAAAGAGGACATTTGCACAGGCTGACGAACTGGTGGTTTCAGCATAAGTGGCCTTCAAGTCTCTGTAAGTAATTGAGACAACCAGAATCATCAAGACCTACATGTCCGAGAGGTTTAGCTTCCAGCAAAACAAGTGGGAGACTAATGATAATCACTCAGTGGTGAGACCTCCAAAGTCAGTGATTTTAAAAATAAGCCAAAAGAAAGCTAAAGGTTTTGTTTGGCTTTTCCCTCAGTCTCTGGGGCACTAGAGCAGAGATGAGAGGCTCGGCCTGGGCTCAGATCCCATGCAACCTAGCAGGAGGAACCTGGGTCTCAGCCTCAGCATGACAGAAGCCTTGGCACAGTTCTGAGCCTGAGTGAGGTGGCCTGATCTGCCACCGAGGCTCCAGTGTGGCCAGCAGTCTATGAACACAGATTGACACCCACCGGCCAAGATGGTCCCCACCTGGGCACCTTGTCACATCCTGAGGGAACCTCATGACATGTTCATCACGCAGTCCGAGCAGAAAATGGTGTAACAGAAAGCTAAAGGGAGCAGGAGTTAGTTTGAAAATCAAGAGACAATGGGCTCAGAAGCAAGAATGGAGCACAAGGCAGACTGCCATCAGCCCCATGTCAGACAAATTGGCCAGCTCATAACAGTGCCACAAGTTACGTGTCCGAGCCCGGCTTTATCTGGAGCTCCAAGTTGGATATGTTCGCCCTATTTTGCTGTGTATACATTTGCTGCCTGCTTGGCTTGCCTGGTCCTGCTGTTCTATTTGTTCAGGGATCTAACCCTCCGCGCCTGCCCAGGCTTGCTCCCAACAGAAGCTGGCACGAATAGAAAGCAGCAAGATTTCCACTGGGGTGCTTGGAAAGTTTTCATGTGCTCTGACATCATTAAGGTTGGCTTCCAGCTTTGATGAAGTTGGAGTGACAGTTTATTGGATTTATTAGGAAAACTCTTCATCAAATTGTCCTTCCAGCAATGCAATGCTGCTGGCTAATTTCTAACTGACCCTGTACAAATATAGTACCTAAAACAATAAGGGTGACCTCCCAAGTATGAATTCTCTTACTTGCAAATAATAAATGGAGCCATTTCCCTCCTGATTTATGTCACTGTTATGTTCACCCCACAGACCTGACACTGCGTGAGGCAGCTGGGCTATCTTTCTTTGGGGTTGGAGAAATTCTCTTTTCAATATGTCAACAGAATCATGACTTGGTTTGAAAAAATGTGAAAATGGCTAAGGATTGTGTCCACAGAAATGCCAGGGCAGGTGGCCTGGCTCTGGACTCCTCTGAGCTCCTTGGGCCTGGCCTCCCTGCTGGCAGTGTGTTCTATGTAAAAGAACTTTAAAAAAAAATGTAAAGAGAATCAGAACTCTGTTCTTTTTTCTTGCCTGGACTTGTATTCCTGGAAAAATGCTGTTGTAATCATCTTTTCCCGAGTGCGTTCCTTCACTCTATCTCAAGGGAAAGTATGCATTTCTCCAAGCCAGAAGTACAACAAATGCCTTCAGTCATTTTTCTCTACATCCTGCCCCTGTGTCAGCTGAAATATTTCACTGTGAGTTCGGCCAAATCTTGAGGGGCAAGGTTTTCTTCACATAAAATTTTCCTCATGATTTTCACTTAATGCAAACCAGTCCTTTGAGGTAAAAAGAACAAAAAAAGAAAGAAAAGATGAACGAAAAGCCTGTGGATTTGTGTTTTGACTATAGCGTTTTCCTGTCTCCCTTTAAGCTTTGCCACTGGCTGTGTGGTGAACGGCGGACGCGTGAGGTGTATCTGCAAACCCGGGTACACGGGGACACAATGCGAGAGGTGGGTGCTGCCTCCTGAAGGGGGGGTGAAAGGCAGGGGCCAGGGGAGGGGGCTGACTGTTCCTTTCCTGAGGGCTGGGAAAAGGTCTCCTTGGGAAAAATACAAGACTGCTCTCTTCATAAGTCATTAACATCCTCCTCTTTCTTCCTTTGTACATGTTTCAGAAATCTGAGAACAAGGTTCTGCACACACACAGAGCACTATGTACCCCAGCACACACCTTAAGGCACCCCAGTCCCGTCCTCAGTCCTACGTGCTCCATCCCCAACTACTGCTGCATACCCTGTCCCTGTCTTTGCGTCTCTTTCCCTCCCACAGATATCCCCCTCCATGTCCCTATTACTTGTGCTGCCCCACACCCTTAAATTCCTGCAACCCCCATCCCTCTACCATGTGTTCTGGGGGATCCTTCCCCCCGTGAATTTTTTCTGCATGCTCCAGGTCCCCTGCAGAGATGTGAATTTTTAACCTCACCCCCATACAGCCTCATTTGTACACACATACTGTATATACTCTTGCTTATGGACACATTTCTATGGACATGGACACACACACACACACACACACACACCCCTCTATCTTTGTGCTGTGTCCTGAACACTCGGGATGATCTGTGGCTTGTTCATTTCTGAATCCCTGATACCAGGGTGATGTCCTTCTCATAGTAGGTGTTCAGTAATCTTTGTGGAGCGAAAGGATAAAGGTTGTGGAAAGCAAAGTGTAAAATTAATTATAAGCAGCCGTAGAGTTATGCTTTAGTGATTCATGAACAGATTTCCCATGCTTAGCTTCTGGTACCTGGGAACTGTCAATATGTAAGGTAAAAAAATTGCCCAGGTTCAAGTAACCTTGAATACCCTGACATCCCATCCCTCAGGTATCAAAGGGCCACCTTGCACAACATAGATCAGGTGTTTGGTTACTGTCCCTGACTGAGCTCAGAGACACTCAGGTAGCCAGGTGGCCTGGAGGACTGAGGACCCTCCCTATCCCCCACTGCAGGATGTGAGCTGGCTGTGTAAGCAGGCGCAGACCTCCCACTGCCTTCCACTCTCCAGTATACTCCTCTATCGCCTTGCTCAGCTCACTCCATCAGCTGAATTCACTAAAGCTATGTGTATGTACAAAACTGCACGGAACTGGATTTGTTTCTGTTCGTTGTATGTGGCTCATGTGTCCTGCTCACTTAGGTGTCCTCTCTGAAAGTAGAAGATGTCTCTGGATATTTGGTTGAGTAAGACTCCCTTTATTGCCTTTGCTTCCTTTGTCATTCTGGCATAGAGAGTTTGAGCAAATTTTTAAAAAACAGTTAATTCCACCAAATTTCTTAGTAGCGCATGGGGTTTTTGAAACTGTGTTGTAGACCAGGCAGGACTTTGGTAGGTCTGAGGGATGATTAGAACCTGGTGGCAACAGAAGAGGGAAGTGGCAGGTACAAGAAACCCCCAGAGCTGAGGGCATCTGCCTGGTGTGGAAGGTAGGTGGGGACCACCTGACTCATGGGGACACTGGGCAGCTACTCAAAACAAGTCCAGACACTGTCCTTTGGTAAAAGGGACCAAGGTGGGGTTCTTTATTTTCTATTTTGGCAGTAAGGGACATTTCCCATTTTTATTTGCTACTTCAATGACAATCCTAGATTATGCCTGGCACTGGGCTGAGCACTAAGGACACATTAGCAAACGGAGCAGGGACTCTGCCCTTGGGGGCCCACAGGCCAGAGGAAGATGCACAGAAAACGGCTGAATCAGGCCTAAGTGCAGGGATAGCCGCCCAGCCTTGCAGGGTGAGGGAGAGAGGGATAGGGCAAGGACAGTCACGGTGGGGACAGGGACCAGGCAGGAATTCAGACCTTGAGCATTAAAGCCTACAGGGCTTCCCCTGGCTGAGGCTTATTCTGACTTCTCCAAAAACAACAAACAACAAAGCCACAAACAGCAACAGGCTTGGCAAGGCATCCAGTGATTTCGCAGACAGCTCATTTGAGGAGAAAATTTTAATGAACTGTTTTTCTCTGTGTTTGCTACATTTGATGCCTCAAGAAATTGAGCTGTTTCTTAAAAATTTCTTTTAAAAAATACATCTTCACAAGTAGATGCCAGGTTGGCATCGACATTTTCATTTGTTCAAACACAGACCAAGCATGCAAGCAAGCGTCACTCCTGGCACTAGGAGTTCAGCCCAAAATGTCAAATTCGAGGACTGTCAGGGTGAACAGTAGGACCCTAGCTGGGTGGAGGAGGAGCAGTCTGGAGTGGGGGAGCTTCCAGCGTTACACCACGCTCAGCTGACCTCTGTCTCTCAGCACACAGATCCACAGGTGACAAATGTGTTCTCTGCTCGTTTGTTGTATCAGTGTGATACGTGAAGTCAGGAACTTTTAATTCATTGTTGTTAGCCATAAAACAAAATTAAAAGAATCACTTATTCTTATAATCAGTCACTAATGCTTTACCAGGGTAAGAAAGAGAACTCAAACTTCTTGACTACCTGTGTGATTTTAATATGTTATATGTACTTTTGTGACTTTTATATGTAAAGTTTAGATATAGATGAGACATTGCAAAAAAGAGTATTCTAGAACATACATCTTCTGCATAGCATACTATGAGGCAGATCATAAAGTCCTATGATTAGTATTTTTCCCACCCAGCTTAATAGACTTAGATAAGCACCTCAACCTAGCTAGTTTCTTGATAAATAGGGAATACATGGATTTTCTGCTTCCCATCTACTTTAAGAAATGCAGTAGTCCAATATCAATAATAAAGTAAAATATCACTATGTCATAATCATAGCTATTGACTATTATGTACAGGAATTGTACTAGATTCCTTACTACATTGTCTCTTACACCCATTGACAAAATAGATATTAGTACTCCATTCATTCCTCTATCTATCCATCCATTCAATGAATAAGTATAAGTAGTACTTGCTTAGCTTTTAAAGTATGCCAGACACTAACCTAGATGGTAGGGATGTGTTAGTATGGAAAAGAGCCCCCCCTCCCCCAAAAATACCAAGAATTCATGGAGCTTATGAAGGGAATGGATGAAGAATCAGAAGTTCAGAGAATTGGGACAAAATCTCAAGACCCCAATAGCAAAAGGGTGAAGGCAGGGGTCCAAAAGTTAGATCTTCCTGACCCAAAACCCATATCCTTTGAATCGTATCACTACATAGCCATTGGTAATGTATATTGAATTTGCCCAACAGTTTTTTGATGCAAAGCTTACAATGTAGGGAAAGAATTATCGTATTTCCTTGATTCTATCAATCCCATTGAGGGTTAGACACCACATAGCAATGTCATGTGAATTTGGGCACAGTGGGCAGAGAGTGGAACTTTTCTAAATGGAAATATTCTAATTGACATCCCAGTTTCAGAAACATTAACATGCATTTGTTTTGCTTCTTTAAAAAACAGAATCTAACCATCAAGGACATCTGATCCTTAAATGTGTAAGTCGGGAATTGAGTCCTCATCACTGACAGTGGCAGTGAATCTGGGGCATGTATGCCATCATAGGCCTTGGTTATCACTGAGGCTCTAAAGCTTTGCCATCACTGGTCTAGAATACTAATGGTGCGTGGCCCGAGGCAGCACCTGTAACTGCTCTCAGCTGCTTAAGCTCATTATAAACAGCACTGCAGCAATTAGCGCCAGTGTGAGTTATGCAGCCTAGAAATAATACATTAGGAAGTTAGACATCTTCCTCCATGCACAAGTCTGAAGTTCATGAATCTTTCTTTATACATATTTTGTGAGGTAATTAACCCTAAGTGAAGCAATATTTAATTGTAGGGTATCTCCAGGAACATGAATCTTAGAATTCAGCCATCCCTGGTTTGTGTAAGGTCAAACCATTTTTTCATGTGTGTATTTTGCTCGTCTGCTATTCAGCCGTGTGGGTGTTTGAGGAGTTGGGAGTTCTGGGAGCAGGAAAGGAACATCCCCGCCTGCCTTCTCTTGCCAGTCTCACTCAAGGGGTGAATATCCTTGCATGGAGAAATATGCGCTCCTGCAAATCCATGTCATCTTTCCTTCCACAGAGGCACAATATCCCAAGCGTGGAGCTAGAGCTTGAGAAAATTAAATGGAATGAATGCTGAATTATTTAAGCATCTCTCAGCCTCTCTCTGTTTTGTGTAGGTGTGCAGCAGGGTATTTTGGGAATCCCCAGAAGTTTGGAGGTAGCTGCCAACCATGCAACTGTAATGGCAATGGCCAGTTGGGTACTTGTGACCCCTTAACTGGAGGTAAGATCTATGTACATCCTCTGCCAACCTGCGCTGATAAAACTGATTTAAAATAACAGCCTAAGGGCCCAAGCAGAAATTTCCAGGAATCAAAATACACAGTTCTAGCTAGCAAATAGTCCCCTTGCTTTGCCAACTGGAGATAATATCTGAGAATAAATTAGGTGTAATTTACAGTTTGGGTGAATAAATTACATCAATTAGTTTTTTTAATAAATTGTTTTAAAAACTCAGTTAACCCATTTCAACTCTGGTGGTTTTGCTGAGGTCTCCCTTTGACATGGTAAGATAATATTCACATCAGCTTTCTTCACGTGTACATCTGAAGAAGTCAAAGTAGTCTTTCTCTTATAGCTATATATGTTCTGAGATGTGGGCAGGTAATGGTGGTAGATCTTACCAAAGAAAAAGTCATTTTAAAAGTTAGTATGCGTTATTAGGAGTAACTCAGAACAAAAAAGATGACTATCCTCTTCCTTCTGTTAGAGCAAATATTAACATGACTTACCAAGAAAATACCATCACTTAGTGTAAATCACTTAGATAAAAGCTCTCATAGCAGCGAGCAATGTGAAAAACTAAAACCCTAGACATGTACTGGCTCGGATCAAGGATCTATTCCCAAAAGAAGATGGAGTAACTAGTATAGGAATATTGATTGCTGTGCCTCTGGATTTAATTTCTGGCTCCATCTCATTCCATATCTCTGACACAGATGTGAGTATACCCAAATGTAAATATACCCTATTATCAGATGACCACAAAGAGGGCCTAAACAAATGCCAATTCTGACACATTTAGGAGAACTTCCAGCTTAGAGATTTAGTGTGAGGACGTTGAGTTGTTTTTCAGAGGCCATTTCTTCAGAATTCATGGCATGGGGAAAAGAAAGTGGAAGGAGTAAGGAAAGTTCAAGGGTGACAACAAGGCTTTTCCTGAACTGGAGTTGGGAATCTCAAAACTGAGCTTGCACATGAGGTCATCTACAGCATGGCCCAGCAACACTGTGTGCCAATCTCTGTTACAGTTTCTGTCACACTGTTTTGCCATTTGTCCACCTCTCCCAGACTGTTAAACCACAAGACGCCAGGGCTTTTGTCTTGATGTCTCTATTTCCTGCCCCTAGCACAGGGCTAGGGCACGTGGTGGAAACTCAAAGGTGCTGGATGAATGTTTGTGCAGTGACCTCGAATGGTGTTGGAAGTGGTGTGAACACAGAGGAGCTATACAAAGGAGAAAGCCTTGACCTACACAATAGGGGGTTCTCATTGGTGGGAAAGGCATGGCCCTCCAGGGAGACAGTGCTGCAGAGAGATGAAACAGAAGGTGTATCATCAAGGGAAGCTCCTGCGGTGGCCCAGCTGGGAGATGGCTTAGGGGTTGGAGGTTTGGAGATAGGCAAACAAGGACCAAATGATGCTGTGTAGTGTAGTAACTAAAAGCTCCCCAAACTCACTTTTCTGGTAATCAAGTTAAAATGCAGATGAAGAGTAAGTTTAATAACAGTGTCTTCTTTGGTTTTTACCTGTTTGCAGACTGCATGAACCAAGAACCCAAAGACAGCATTCCTGCAGAAGAATGTGACGGTAAGTTTCGAAAGCTTCCTGCCTTTCCAAATGTGAGCTATAGTTTAAGGCGTATGAGCCCCCTGGTGGGACATGCAATGCTGGGAGGAGAAGGAGGTGTCCCATGCAGCCCCTGTTGACTGCTAGCTATGTGACCTTCCAGAGGTACCTGACTTTTCCAGGCCTAGTTTCATCATTTGTAGAATGAACACAATAACTACACTTACCTCTTAGAGCTTTTGAGGAAGTGCTCGGAAAATCCCTTAGCACAATACCTAGTCAGTAGCAAGCACTTCATAAATCAAAGCTATTCTTGATTTATTTTCCCACACACAAAATAAACATGGAATCACCCACCATTTGTATTTCAAGTGCTCCTCTTCGTCAGAGCTCATGTCCCTCTGAGAAGGGCTGGGACTTCTGCCCATGATGACCAGGAAGCATGTGAATTGGATTGTATAGTACTGTGTTCTCTCCACATTCCCTTGGCTCCAGCCCACAGCTTTCTTGCCTGTGATTGTGATCCCTGCAGACTGTGACAGCTGCGTGGTGACACTCCTAAATGACCTGGTCACCATGAGTGAGGAGCTCCGCCTGGTCAAGTCTCAACTGCAGGGCTTGAGTGCCAGCTCAGGCGCCCTGGAACAGATCTGGCACCTGGAAACCCAGGCCAAGGACCTGAGAGTAAGCTGCCCCTGGGGGTGGGGGAAGAGTAGATGCTCAGCGAATACAGCTGTGCTTTGGTATCTGCAGGGTTCTGTTCCAAGAACCCTTGTGAATACCAAAGCCTACAAAAGCTGAACTCCTTTATATACAGTGTGGTATTTGCATCTAATCTGTGCGCATCCTTTTATGTACTTTAAACCACTTCTAGTTCACTGATAATGTCGAATGCAGTCTAAATGCCATGCAAATGCCTGTTACACTGTATGGCTTAGGGAATAATAGGAAACACATTTCTGCAGCATACAGTGCAGATGCAGTGTGGTTTTCGAGTATTTCCAGTCCTCGGGTGAATCCGTGAATAACAGAGCCCTCGGATGGCAAGGGAGGAGTGTGTGAGTGAATTCCTCCCTGGGGGGGGAAGGAGGAGAGGCTGAGTCCCCTGAATGCTTACCCTGTTCCTCGATTCCTCGTTCCTCTCATCTAAACGAAGCTTAGGTTTTCACTGGTGGGAAGTGTTCATGAACATAGGAAATTATCACTTCATTGTGCACCTTTTTTTATTACTCAGTGTTTTCAGCCTATTTTCATAGAGGTTTTAGCTCAGTCTCTTGTATTCAGATAATCCAAACAAAGGTTTGTATAAATTAGTATAATTTCTCTGCCCAAATAAGCCTGAGGATTTCTTTGTGAGATGTTTTTAACCATCATTTTAATTTTTAGAAAGCGGGTAAGAGTCTACTCCGTTATCTGTTTCCTTTTGGTGATATTTGGTAATCTGTGCTTTTCACATGATATGTCCATTTCATCTCCATGATCACATTTATTGACATAAAATTGTTCATAATGTTCTTTTGCTAACCTTTAAGTGTCTGCACAATCTGTGGTTATGTCCTCACTTACATTGCTGATATTGATAATTTATACTTATCTCTTTCTGTTGATTATTGTAGCTAGACATCGATCAACTTTATTGCTCTAATTGATTGATTTTTATTGTTTTTCTTTTCCAATTTCACTGGTTTCTGTTCTCATCCATATTTTTTTCTTCCTCTTTATGGTTTTGGTGTAATTTGCAACTTATTTTCTAGTTTAGGATTGAAAACTTGAGTTTACCTACTCAAATTATTGCTTGTTGCTAACATAAGCATTTGATTTTATAAACTATTCTCCTAAGTGCTTCTTCTGCTGTATCCCATAGATTTTGAAATATTTTTTCATTCTAATTATTCTTTGCATTCTAATTTCCTTTGGGACATCTCTTTAACTCTTGAGTGCTTTGCTAGTGTAGGGTTTAACGTACTAATTGGACAGTCCCCCGATAACCTGGTACTATTGATTTTTAATTTAACTGCTGTGGTGGGAGAATGAACCTTTATGATTTCATTTCTTTTAAGTGTATTAAGTTTTGTTCCATAGTTCAAAATACGGGTCCTCAGGATGACTGTTCTCTGTGTACTTGACTGGTGGAGAAATGGGTCTAATGGATCCCACAGTGCCCCATCAGGTTCTCTGGGGGAAACTGAGAGCTACTCTGCCCATCCAGGCAGGTTGAAAATACATGCTCTTCACTGCCTAATGCTCATTATTGGAAAATGGCTATATGCAAATGTAGGAAAGATACAGAAATCACAGCCTTCCATCAGGACCTGGAAAAATCCACAAACATGGGTTTGTTGGAATACAACTTCCTCTCCCCATAGCAAACACTGCCAATAGGAGACCTGAGCCTGGACTTGTGGATCCAAAATGGGGACCATAACAACAGGATCTCCAGACAGGACCTGAGGAGTGCAGGGAGAGAGAGGGGCTTTTAACATTTTACAGATAGGTAACAGCAGGAGAGACAGTCAGCTGAAGCAACACTTGAGAGATACGTGGACTTAAGATAAATGGAAACTGTAGGACAAACAGAAAATTAAATAGTACTACCTAATAGAAGGAGTAAGAAACCAGGAGATTCAAGGGGAAAGGACTAGCAATTAAACGAGAGAGGTAAAGATGAACAGATCCAATTGAAAATAAGGGCAATAAATAATACATGTTCATTTATGTGAAAGAATTCAGTAAATGAGGTAAACCCAAGACTAGACACTGTAAAAGGGGCTTTGGAGAAATACTAATCTGTGCTTTTGGAAGAAGGGCTGAGGTTTAGTGCCTTTGGAAGAGTGTGTATAGCCAAATTAATTCCAGAAAAATGACTCCTTTTCATCCCTCAGAGTAATTTTAGTTTAGTTAAATAAAGGCTTAATCTGGGAGAAAATAACCTTTAGGTTGTAAGCAATATGGAAGCTGTCTGAGTTAACTTTGGACTCTTTGACATAGCCGCACACATTTTCCCTTTCCTGTTCACACACTATGTGCTAGGATGTGTCAACTGCTTGACTCAAGTGTCACCACATCTCCATCAGAAAAATAGCGATCTTTTCCTTTAACAGGCCTGGGATGCTCCCTAAAATCACATAGCTAGTACCGGGAGCCTCCAAAAGAATTCAAATCAAGACCAAAGTCTAAAGACCGGGCTTTACCTGTTATACCTCTTATCCAGGTGTCCTCCTCTTGCCCATGTAGCAATGTGCCCCAGATTTCCCATTATAAAACTAAAACAGAGCCATTTTCTTGCTATGTCAACACACTCTGCCACGGTACTTTGTGGAAGTATTATGAACTTATCACCCAAACTAAACCTGCAGATTAAATATTAAAATTCACAGATGGCTGATGAAGAGAGGATAAGACTTGATGAGACTCCTCTACTAAGCAGTAGACCTAGGGTTTAGACCTATAGACTTAAGCATGTATTCTCTTACCCAGCTCTGGCTCTGATGAACAAATAGAAGCAGTAGATCATTTCTTCTTGTTGATTTTTTAAAGTTGTTACTTTTTTAAAAATCGAAAATAATCACTAATCTGCAAACCACAGAAATCATAATCTATACATTATGTACAGCTTAGTCACCCTTTAAAAGGAATAAGGCAGGGCTGGGGATGTAGCTCAGTGGTACAGTGCCTGCCTGGCAAGTGAGAGGCCCTGGGTTCAATAATAATAATAATAAAGGCATTTTAACACTAAGAAAGACCAGGGACCTGGATAATACCCTGAAGCAATCATTAATAAGTGATAAAGCTGGTGACTAGTTACTCACTTTCTATAAGTTTCCATTTTCTCATTAGTAATATGAGCTCTGAATTCCCTGAATTCTGAATCTAATGGTTCATCCAATAAAGTCACCATATAAATTACTTTTTTATGTTACTTTTTAATGTTACCTTTAATGTTAGCAGATTAATCCCTTAAAGTTCACTCCAGTGCCTCTCGGGAAGCACATTTGCTTACATACTGACTGTTCCCAGGTCCTTCCAGTAGGTCTCACTTTAACCAGCCGATTCTTGTTTGTGTGAGATACACTCATACATCTATTTGTTTTACATCATTGTTCTGCATACTTTTAAATTTAAAACACTATATTCACCTTTAATGTGTGTTCCTAATGAAATCTAATAAGTCCTGGTTGTTTTCTTTTACTAATTTATGTTTATTTGTGAAAAATAACCTGTAATTTTATGTTATGACCTATAAAGCTCTTTTCGTAAGAACATTAGATGTAACTTTTTTTTTTTTGAACTGGGAATCAAACTGAGGACCTCATGCTTACCAGGCCATGTAGCTGAGGCATAACTTTTATACTTCTCCAGAACTCAGTTTTATTCTTTTTCAATATAAAATGGACACATTTAGGACCCTGAAACTGAACAGGAAGTGCCAAAAGATTTAATAAAGAAAAAACTGAAAAAGAGAGAAATGATGGCCCATCAGAAAGGAAAAGTCTGTTATGAAATGGAAAGACAAAAAAGATGTCCCCTATTATCAGTTATTCATAATACAAAAATGATGGAACTTGAAAGAAGAAACAAAACTAAAAAACTATTTCAATAGTGGTCAGTGATTATAATAATTCTATGGGTGATATGGACAGAGTTGACCAATATCTAATAAGCTATCCTATAATCAAAAAGTGAGGAAAAATATTACTATAAAATATTTATGCACCTTCCGAACCAGACAATATGTAATTTGTTTGCTATGTATTTAAAACAAGGGGGTTCAAAAAGTGATTTACAATTTAGATTGTGATGGACCACATAATTAGAAAATACAGGTTAGTGAAACACCAACCAGCATGTCCATCATCAGTGTCTTCACCTTACATTAGTGGATAGACATTTTATTGAAATTGTATCACCGCAGAAGAAAAAGAAAGACCAACACAACAATTTAAAACGTGTTGTTTATAGGAAGAAAATAATAAAAAAAGAATTTGGAAAGAGACTAGCTACTATTGTCTAGATTGTAATGTTGTGTATTGAATGTTCTAAGATACACCATACAAAATAATTGTTGAATAAATTTGATAAAGTTGTTGCTTTTGTATTTCCCAGTTAAGGTTTGGACCCTAACTGTCCCCCAAAGGCCCATTCGTGTATCAAAGCTTCCTTCCCTGGAATTGTGCTGTTGGGAGGTGGTAGACATTTTAAGAGGCGAGGCCTAGTGGGCGGTCTTCAGGATGGTGGGGGCAGGACCTCGAAAGAGGATTATAGGACTTCAGTCTTTACTTCCACTCTATTCGAAGTAAAGTAAACTCTATCGCTCACCTCACAGTGAGCAACTTTGCTCAGCCACATGTTCCTACCATGATGTGCTCTCTCACCACAGGTCCAAGCAATGGGACCAAACAGTCATGGACTTAAACCTCTGAAATCATCAGCCAAAGTCGATTTTTTATATTAGTTATTTTGGGTCTTTGTTATAGTGATAGAAAACTAACTAGCACTGCTACTTAATTTTAGAGTTATAATACAATATATATCAGGAAGTAGATTCTTCATGGTATCTATTTCAAAGAACCACATTTTCTGCCTGTGGAGTTGACATTACTCTTGTTAAATGAGTCTTTGCAGCTTTATCACATTTACCAGGCTGATAGTCTAAATTTCTGCTCCAAAATGAGATTGGCTTTGTGTTTCCCTTTCAGAATCAATTGCTCCACTATCGTTCTACTATTTCAAATCACGGATCAAAAATGAATGGTCTGGAAAAAGAATTGAATAGTTTGAATCAAGAGTTTGAAACTTTGCAAGAAAAGGTAATTCATTGACATCATTAACCTTTACCAATTTTTTTTTTTTTTTTGCTTTCAAAACATTTTTAGTTTTTCCCCATCAACTGAATCTGTTGCTAATCAACTTATTTTTTGTACAGGTTCAAATAAATTCGAGAAAAGCACAGACATTGTATAACAATGTTGACCGTACAATCCAGAGCACAAAAGAGCTGGACATGAAGATTAAAACTGTCATCCAGAATGTGCACAGTAAGAAAAATTCCTCAGGCCTTTGTCACACACTGAAAGAATTCCCTTTCGAGTGGCCAATATGATGAAAAAGATCCTATAGTGAGACTAAAAACCAAATAGGAAGCCTCTAACAAAGTTTCTGCTTTTAAAAAAAAATAGCTCTTTGATGTCCCGAATTCCTAGTTTAATAAACCGCTCAATGTTTTCCAGCTCTCTTGAAGCAGATCTCTGGGACAGGTGGCGGAGGAAACAACCTGCCCTCAGGTGACTTCTCCAGGGAGCTGGCCGAAGCTGAGCGCAAGCTGAGGGAGCTGCGAAACCGATCCTTTGGGAAGTACCTGAGAGAGGCAGAAGCTGAGAAAACAGAAGCACAGCTCTGTAAGACCCTCTCCCCCTCGCGCATCCAGACCATTTTAGTTGCTTTGAAGCACTCTGTGCAGAGTTCCAAAGAGAGACCCTGGAGGGTGTCAGGTCTTCTCATTTCCAAGAATGTTATTACTGCTAGTGTCATGCGGGTGGAATTGGGGGCTTTCTCCCACCACCCTCCCTGCCAGGGCACCAAGTATCTTTTCTCCAAGTTACCAGGTCTGTAGAATATAACATCCCACCATCATGCAAAACAAAAACAAAACAAAAGAACCAAGCAACCAAAGGAAGTTCTCCTAAAGCTTAGAGACATTCATACCTCATTTTCCCTTTTAAACTACATTTTCGTGCTTCTGATCCTCATTCATCTCTTTGCAAATTTCTAATTATATCACCTTTAATGATCTCCTCACCACTACTAGATTTTTGAATCACAAATTGATATTAATGCTATAATTATGAAAACAAAAATGGATATTCTATTGGATATATCGAAAGCTTTTGACTACCTCAGAACTAAAAAAGGTGCATACTTTGTTCAAACACTTGTTTGTTGTCTGGTAAAACAGTGTGTCTGGGGTTAATATACAGATAGTAGCTATTTTCTTGCAGCATTCCTGGCATTCAAATGTAGTATTAGTCTTGGCTTTTAACTATACAAAGACAGTGTTAGCAGTAAGAGGAGCCTGCACCTTATACCCCACAGCTCTGGTTCAAGGCCAGAGTGGCTGTATGACCTTGGGCTGACCCCCCAATTTCTCAGCCCTGCATTTCTTTATCAGTAACATCCAAATGACAGTTAACCGGTTTGGTGTGATTATCATGGATGCTAAGTGAACCAGTGAACCTAACCATTGACTTTGATTTGTTTCTTACCCAGTTTGATTTGTGACCAGAATCGTGGGAAGAATTAAGTTCATGAACGAAGTAGCATTGTAATAGATTTGCATAAATATTAGTGTCCTATCCCATTCCCTCTAAAGTTCAAAGAAATCCAGAAAATGAGCAGGAACTTGATTCTCCTTCTGTAGTCTTTATAACCTAACATCTGTCCAGTGGAAAACATAAAGTGATGTATTACAGTGCTGAACCGGATAAAAAGCTGGCAGCAAACCCACCAGGTGGAGAACAACGGACTTGTTAAGAATGTACGCGATTCTTTGAATGATTATGAAGCCAGACTCCACAACCTGCGTGCCATGATCCAGAAGGCAGCCGCCCAGGCAAAGCAGGCTGCTGGCCTCAACCATGAAAACGAGAGAGTGTTGGGAACCATCAAGGTGAGCTTCGCAGCTAGAAGCCTCTTACTGTCCTTAAAGGTAGGATGAGGGAGCAGGGAGCTTTGCTATGAACAAAGTGGCACAGCCTGGTGTCCCTCTGGTTGCAACTCAAACTCTGACCCAACAGGACCAAGGCTTAAATGCAAAACCAAAACTATTTCTACTCCTCAGCTACCAGCAAAGATTCTGAACTTAACTCATGCACAAAGCCTCCCAAAGTGCCTCAGCCTGCCCCTGGCTGAGTGTTGGAGGAATAACATTGCCAAGTAGAGGAGAAATGAATCACATTAGAGCTAATTTAGAGCTCAGAGTTTCTAGTTTGTATCTTTGATAGTGAACAACATGCATTGAAACAACAACAAAAACATGAGGGGTTAAAAAAATGGCAGGAAGATCAGAAGCAGGGAACACAGGACCGATGCTCAGCCCCTTGGCATGCACTGGTCCTGTGTCCTCTGTCATTCAGGTGCCCATCACAGCTTCATTGGGATTGATCTGCAGGGTAGTGGGTGGTCCTGGTTTGTTCAGTTAATATCTCTCATTCTTTTCCTCAAACTGGAGCTTAGCATGTGGTCCACGAGCTGAGCTGACCTAGAATTTAGTCAAATATCACTGGTTGACTTGTGTAGAAAACTTCTTCAATGGGAGTATTGACTTTTATTAGCATACAGTATAGTAGATCATGACAGCGGCCAGTACTGCCAAGAGCACTGCAGACCCAGCTCTTTCTAGTTGCCCAGACCACCTTCTGCTGCTGATGTGTCTCGGAGCTCTGGCAGACGTTCTTTTTATTCTCTCCAGAGACAGGTGAAAGAAATGAGTTCCCTGCAGAGTGAATTCGCCAAGTACCTGAGCATGGCAGACTCCGCTCTGATACAGACCAACTCCATGCTGGAGCTGATGGACAAAGACTGGAAGGTAGAGATCTTGAATTCCCTAGAAAATCTAGAATCATTTCGATCATGTTGCCAAGAGTCTATGAAATAGGTTCGCCTGTTTCTTTCTTAGAGTATTTTCGATAGAAGCAAAAATCCCAAAGTTCACAGTGGTTTTCCTGAGGGCAGGTTGTAAAAGATGTACCCACTCTTAGTCTATCTGTGTTACCTGATTTGTCTGTAGTAAGTACGTCACTTCTGGGATTTTAAAAAATGCAATGCTTATTTTCAAAATCTCAAATATCTTATTAACAGAAAACATTCAAGATTTGATTAAAAGATTGGCAAAATTTCCTAACAGCCTAGTGGGCGTTTTTGAAAATATGTTCTATGATAACTATTTCTATATCATAAAAACTGTTGATTTAGTAGAACTTTGATGATGACACTGTAATTTTTATAAAACTTACTAAAGTTACTTTTATCAAACTTTCTCAAGGGGCTACCTTCCAGAAGAAAATTGCTCAAAGTGATGCTGACAGTAGGGGGGGCTATCATTTATGGTACTATCTGAAATAACCAAAATTCACTAATGTGCCAAATGGGCTGAAAATATATGACTTCTCACTGGAAACATTATTTATGGCAGAGTTTGAGAAAATGGCCCATGCATTGTTTGCTTGAATTTATATTGTCTCTGTTCACTTGGGAAAAAACAGGAATATGAAAAATTAGCAGCCACTTTAAATGAAGCAAGACAGAAACTAAATGACAAAGTGAGAGAACTTTCCAGATCTTCAAGCCACACGTCCCTGGTGGTGGACGCTGAAAAATATGCACAGTCTTTACAAGAAGTGGCAAAGCAGCTGGAAGAGTAAGTGTGGGGCCCGTGGAGACCTACATGCCCCAGGCCACTTAACACCAAGCCAAACCCTCCGCTGGGCTAGCTGGGTACCCAGAACAGGGCGGGAGACCTTGCCCAACCAAAACCCCACCCAGGATCCACAGGGCTCAGCCAGCCCTGCAGCAGGGAGTTGATTTCCAGCCACAGCCATGGGGCAGATCAGCAGAGACCACTGCTCCTGGGGTCCACTGGTAAGATGGCAACCACGGGCGGGGAAGGCACGGGAGGACCTGACCCTCTGTACCGCGTTACCATCTTCCAGAATAAAGAGAAATGCTAGTGCGGATGAGCTGGTACGCCGTGCCATGGATGCTGCCACTGCCTACGAGAACATCCTCGGTGCTATCCAAGCAGCAGAGGATGCAGCCAACAAAGCCACCAGCGCATCCCAGTCCGCCCTTCAGGTGGGCACCAGCACCAGCAGCTTTTTCAGATTCACTCCGGAAGCAGCTCTTTCTCTTTCTCTGTTCCTGAAGGAATGGCAAAAAGTGCATTTATTTTAAATCAGAAGTTACTATACAGAATAGACTCGAGTTTTCTCTAGAGAGAGGTCTTTTCTGTGCTTACAAGGCTATTTGAAGCTTACCTAGAAAGCCAGAGAGAAATTATGCTGATTACTGATTTTGAACCTAAACAAATGGTTTATCCTGCTCCTTACCAGGTGCTTTTACACTGTGAATAAATATTAACATTTACCTTGAAGGGATTTATAGGATGAAAAATCATATTCTATATTACCAAATGGGTAGCATGTAGCTGAGACTGATAAACACTTTGCTTTCAGACCGTGATAAAAGAAGATCTTCCAAGAAAAGCTAAGTCCCTGAGTTCTGACAGCAATAAACTGTTAAACGAAGCCAAGAGAACACAGAAAAAATTACAGCAAGGTATGGATGTGCAGAGGTGGCAGGGATAATCAGGCTTTAAAGGCCCTGTGGGACCAGGAAGACCGGTGCCGGGAGCAAGTGTTGTTTCTAAGTGTCAGTGTCGAGGTGGAAGAAAGTTTTTGAATGCATGCTTTATTTTACCCAATATCATGAATCCGCCCAGTATTATAAATGACTAGAGCCCTATAAACGAAGTCTTCTGGCCTGATTTTGGGGAGACTCTTTTGATTTACTCTCCTATGATCATGGCAGTGAAAACCAACATATCCAGATCCTTCACTGCAAGTTGTTAGAGAAACTGCTTTGAAATTTCTTATATCTTAAAACCTTGGTAACTAAAACACCATAGCTCATTACCACTCTAAAGAATGGACATTTTTTAAAAGTCTAAATTTTATTTGTAGAATTTTTTCTTTTATTTGGGTTTTTTTGTTGTTGTTGTTGTTTAGAATTAAGAATTAAGCTGCCTTAAACTTACCAAGTCTCTGTGTTCTGAAAATGCTGTCTTTTGAGTTTCTCTGATCTTACGTGAGCAGCCATGGCTGAGCAGGCATCTGAGCCCCTGGTCCTCTTTGAGCTTCTTAGTCCATTCAGAGGGATTAGATGATGCCTTTGTAAATTTATTTAGCATTTTAAAGAACTGAACACATGAAAAATAAAAGGCGGAAAAAATATATGCTAGTACACAATCACTCACCTTGCAAATTTTAAGAATTAAGGTTTAATGGTGTGATATCTGCTGTCTTTTTAAAATTTCCACTTGAAAGTCATGTTGTAGATGGGTTTTATTTTGTTTTGGTTTGGTTTTTGAAGTGCTGGGGATTAAACCGAGGGCCCAGAAGGTGCTAAGCATGCTCTCTGCCACAGCCACATGCCCAGGCCACTATCAGTGTTTTTAATAGGTTGGAGTATTAAGTATGTTGGTGAATAATCAGCCATGAGATCATAATGTAAATTATTTGTATGGTTTTACAGCGTCCGCTGATCATTTTTTGTGGCCCAAAAATGGCAACATTAGCAACTAGGATGGTCTGCTAATGCCTGGCCTCTCATGGAATTATTTTAATGTGTCATCTGGAAGTGAACAGAAGCAAACAATGTCTACTTTGTGTCCTTAGGATGAGTCTCTCTCAAAAGCATTGCTTCTTGTCCTTTGGCTGAAAAGGCATTCTTTTTGCATTACTCATTTATTTTTTTCATATATTCCTTCATTCAGCAAGTAGGTACTAACAGTAGGCTCTGACTAGTGCCAGACACTGCACTGCATAGGGCGCAGCAGTGAATAAAACAGATACTTCCTTCACTGAGCAGGCTCTTCTGCCCCCATAAGTTGTTCAGCCTGTCCCTTTTTTGTATGTATTTCCTAGGAGCTTGTCACTACAAGGCTCTGTTGTGCTTCTGGGTGCCTCAGAGCTGCAGATCTCCCAGGTCTAGGCACACACAATAGGCATCGTAAAATGATCCCAAAGACAGGTCTGCTCAGTGTTGGGCAGATATACTTCTGGGGCTACAGACAGCAATGGATAGTCAAAATGGATAGTCATTGCCTCCTTGTGTTTATTTTCTTGCAGAAATTAGTCCAGCTCTCAACAACCTACAGCAAACCTTGAATATTATGATGGTTCAGAGAGAACTAATAGACAGCAACCTCACTTCTGTCCGTGTTGACCTTCGTGGGATACAGAGAGGTCAGCATCTTCCTGAACCCATGTGTTTGGCCTCTTCTGTTAACATTTCAGATCCTTATGCCTCTTTGTTTGTGTGTGCTTTAGGTGACATTGACGGTACAATCAATGGTGCAAAGAGCTTGGTCAGAAAGGCCAATGACATCACGAGTGAGGTTCTGGATGGACTCAGCCCCATTCAGACAGACTTGGAAAGGATTAAAGAGAACTATGGGAGCGCACAGAGTGAAGACTTCAACAGGGCTCTGACCAGTGCCAACAAGTCAGGTATCAGGCGGTCTTTGGTCAGGATGTCTTAGCCATTTCCTCCAATGTTATGGCCTTGGTTCGTTTCAGTTCTCTATAAAGTCTGATCTCAGACATAAAAATGTCAGTAAAGTTTCATAAAATACATGTAAATAATATAGATATTATATCAGGTGAACTGGGTGAGATGTTTTAATTTTGAGCCCATTGGTAGCACTATTGGCTTTCTTTCTTGTAGAGTTCTAAGGTTGTGAATCATGAACAACACTAAGGACCAAAAAACAGACTTCTTCTCCTATGGTAGGAAGAGGATTTGGTGTCTATATCACAGAATGAACCCATAATGCATTTAGAAAGAAAGTTTTCTGACTATAATCTATCTTTTCAACATTTATGACCCAAGCATGTCACTAAATGAATACTATTAGGAATAACATCTGTATTTAACCTTTAGTCAGTGCATAATTTAAAGTTCTGTTTTCTAATCTCACCCTCAGTAAAGAAATTATCCAAGAAACTGCCTGATGTTTTGAGCAAGATCGAAAGTATCAACCAACAACTGCTGCCCCTGGGGAACATCTCTGACAATGTGGACCGAATTCGGGAACTAATTCAGCAGGCCAGAGATGCTGCAAATAAGGTGGGCGTTACCCCATGTTGTCATAGCCATGTTGTCATAGCCAAGGCTACTTCTTACCTCATTCATGGAAAACTGGTCCTCTTTCCTCGTCCTGATTTTTTGGTGGTTTGAAATATGAAGGCTGATTTCTTCCTGCTACTCTATGAAAGTGCGCATGACTTTCAATCCATGAATTTTCCAGCATATCCGGGTCCTGATGCAGTTTCCTCCCACTGAGTATATGCAGGCGGGAAGAGGGTTCCACTTCTTAAACTGATGCTTCAAGCTCCAGTGAGGGATCTATGGGCAGTGTGTCAACAAGATTTTGCACAGGACCTACTCTCTTATATCTTGAAAGTGATAGAGTCCATCCTTGTTGAGGATGGAGGATGTAAGATTTCAGCAGCTTTCTTTCACCAGAGAGCCAATTCATCAGGGTTTCTTATTTTCACTTGGCATTGTTTGTTTGTATTCCTGACACTCTTTTCTTCTGATATGTTTTGGTTTAAAATAATGTACAGTGGTCCTCCTTCATTCATGGAGGATACATGCCTCAAGCATCAGACAATATTGAACCACACATAGCTACCTATGATAAAGTGTAACTTGTAAATTAGTCCCAGTAAGAAATTAGTAAGTCTGATTATGATGATGCACACCTATAATCATAGCACTGGGACACTGAGGCCTTGAATCATCATGAGTTTGAGGGCAACCTCTGTCTCAAAGAATCAGAAGAAACTAATAATAACTAACAATAAAATAAAGCAATTATAGTAATAGTCTCTAAACCATTATGCAGTTTGTAGTCCCTATATATCAAAATACCTTAGTGTATTATATTCACCCTTTTTAGGACGATGTGGGATGATACAGTGCCTACTTGATGAGATAATGAAGTCTGTAAAGTAGGCTTTGTGATGTAGCCATATGCTTCTATGTAAGGATTACTAGAATACAAGTACTTCAGTACTGCAGTAGTCAGTCTTATTAGACTGAAGCCCCTATAGATTAATTATCAGGAGGGTGGCATATACAGCATGGAAACTGTGACAAAAGTACTGTAACAGTGCAAGAGTTTATCCCTCTACTCAGAGTAGTATGCAATGCAAAGCTTATGAGTTAGTTATTTCTAGAATTTTCCATTTAATAATTTGGGACAAGAGTTGACTGTGTGTAACTGAAACCTCAGGAAACAAAACAAAAAAAGAAAACACTGCTGTAAATGAAATGCTTTGCATTTTTCAGTAGTTCCTAGCCAGGTTTGTGTGAGATGTTTGTGGGGGAGCCATGTCAGAATACCACTGTCCTGAAGACACCATGGTCGATATAACTTCTTTTGAGCCTCAAAATCTGCCCTTGCTTATAGGAAAGAGAAGTGCTCCTAATGTAAAACCTTTAGCAAAAAACCCAAGAGCATCAGACAAAGTTTAGAAGACTAGCCTCCTCACATCAATAAGAACTTTGCAAGGGCTGGGGATTTAGCTCAGTGGCATAAGCACCTGCTTTGCAAGCGCTCAGTTGTGAGTTCGATTCCCAGCACTGAAAAAAATAAAAATTTAAAAAACAATAAAAACTTTGCAATAAAAGAAACTAAAAAGAATGTGATGGTAGCTTTTGTCCTTCTGTGTCAATTCACAGCTTTATTCGACAAAATTCACAGTTTGATATAACACAGTAGTTAAGAACTGGTTAATAAAGCCAGATTGTTTTAGTATAATTTTTGCTCTATCACTTATGAGCTATAAGGTGTTGGTGAGTCATGTCACCTCTCCATGTGTCAGTTTCTTCATCTGTAAATAGCTATACCAAGATCATGAAAATGTTAGGGTAAAGTGAGCTAACATAGGGCATTGTCTTGTAGACAGTAAGTAGCACACCAGTGGAAAATACTTTTTAAAATAAAGAACAAGTACTTCCAAACACCTAGTGTGTACTGGCATTCGCTTGGCTGTGGACACCCAGATGTTACTAAGCCCAGACCTGAATGCAGGTTGCTTACCAGCCACTGCAGGTGGTTTCTCAGAACATACCCAGACGCTGGATAGAGAATTATGTGAATCTTAGAACTACGTAATTCTACCTGGAGAGGCCCAGAATAGCACTAATGAATGGCACTCGAGGATGTACGTAAGAATGTACATCAGAACATGGTCCATAACCACACACAAACCAAGTGTTTACAATAATCAGTGTGAAGGAGCTGAAGGCAGGCATCATCTGTGTAATTTTAAAACACAGTGCTCAGCCAAGAAAGCAAGTTCTGGAAGGATGTGAATGGCACAGATGTCATTGGTGTTAAAATACTTAAAAGATGAAAATAAAAGTAGTTGTGTCTTATACCTAGATAAATGCATACTTGCTAATTATTAAAACCTACATGGAAATTTGCATGAAAATCCAAATCCAGAGTCATGCTGACTTCTGAGAAGAAAGAAAGGGGAATAGGGACAATTATGTCAGGTATATTTCATTTCTTAAGTGCTGAGGCACAGGTATAGTCTCTGTCCTTTTTTACGTGCTTTTTTTGTGCAGTGAAATATCTCGTTAATTCAAAGAATAAAAAGAATTAGTAAGAGTTTGCCGAGTGACAAAAAAGCAGAGGAGCATGGCAGGAAGGCTGAAAGACATGGTTGGGTCTCCTAGAGGGTGGAAGGTGGCCAGAAAAGAGAGCTTAAGTGGGCTCATCAGTGTGACTAGGGCACCCTCAACTCCCCCACTGCTGAGCCTCCTGATTGGTGCTTTCCATATGCACAATTCTTGATAAAATGTAGAGTTGGTGTAAGTATCCCTCCAGAGCGATTATCCTCCTACTTGAGAGAGGATATTTGTTGTCTGTGGTTTAGACCAGGGGTACCCCATCCTGGCCCACAGACTAGCACCAGTGAGACACACTGGTTACCAGTTCATTAAATCTAAGTAAAAAAATTGAGAGGAAGTGCTCAGAAGCTTCTAAAGGTCTGTAATGTCTCCACCTTCAGGTATGTGATCAGGGGGCTTGTGTTCTTCATTTCATTTTTTAAATAATTTAATTTATAATGAATTTTATGAAAGCATTGGTCCATGACAGACTGGAGAGGGGGAAGAAAGGCTATCACTACAGGGACTCTGAGAAGCAGTGTGTTGACATACTGGTGGATGCATTCTTAAGGACTGAATACTGGTAGTAAGCATAATCATAATATATAAAGTGTTGGTGAAAATCCGTGCCTTAGAATGTATGATATATCCACTCTATGCCAGTACTATACTGAGTGCTTCCGTAATTTCTCTATATAAAATCCATCTAGAGTTGGAATTATTATTGTTAACATTGCTGGTTGGGTCTGGATGACACTTCTCAGAGACCCAGGGCTAATAAACAGAGAGACCTTGAGTGCTTTATTACTTGGCTCCTCAAATTGCATCAGTGTTTATAACCAGGTGTAGGAGACACTCGCCCTCCTACTCCTGATCAGAACAGCCTGGGGAAGGCTAATGCCTAACTAAAGGGGACAGATGACCTCTCTGAGCACATGCACTCTCTTTGTGTTTGATGCCTTGTCATTTTTCACAGGTTGCAGTGCCCATGAGGTTCAACGGGAAATCTGGTGTCGAAGTCCGGCTGCCAAATGACCTGGAAGATTTGAAGGGCTACACGTCTCTGTCTTTGTTTCTCCAAAGACCTGACTTAAGAGAAAACGGGGGTACTGAGGATATGTTCGTGATGTACCTCGGAAACAAGGATGTAAGTACTGCTTGACTATTTCACTTGTTTCTGTGACAATGGTTTTGGAGGTGTTGAGATACATGGCACAGTGTGTCACAGGGTGGAGGCCCATGTGTCACCGCCATGAGCTCCTCCTCAGAAATCCCACCAAGAGATCAGCAAACCCAACCCCTGTCCTCTGACTTTTCCCCTCACGTAGGCATGGGGGAGGCACCATGAGAGACTTCGCATCCACTGCAGTTGTTAGGTGCTGACGGATCCACTTTCCTGGTGGGCTCTGCACATGCGTGTGTACATAGGAGCACTTACTCACTGGAGGTGGAGGCTCAGCACTCTCTTGCCATATTGAAAGGCATCAGTCATAAGGCTTCCTGGAAATCAGCAGCAGCTCCTCCTCACGGAATTGTGATCTTGTTCTCTTCCTCAGCAAGCCCTGCCACAGGCTCCTCACTCACGTCTGTGGGGCAGGGACAATCTATGGATGAGCGTGGGAGTGGAACATAGCCTCTCCTGCCAGTGAGAACTGCAGGGCTCTGGGTGTGGTCGTGGGGAGCACCACCTAGTGGGGGTGGGGGTCTGGGCTCCATCCCAGCAGCACCCAAAACGAGAGAGAAATGCTGGTGTGTTTTTCAGACACGTGGCACATTCATTCATTAGACTATGACCGTTATGGTCACTTCACATAGTTGATCTGAGCTTTTCAGCCTCTCTTTTTAAAATACAGTTCTCTCAACTTAAGGGTCAAAGGAAAAGCTAAGCTCTGACGAGGCTAGGATACCACTGCTGGAAAAGAAATGTCAGAAATATGGTTCTTGAAAATTCTACCTGATGAGGAAATTGTTAGTTATCACTAGTGCACGTGGTTTTGAAAATTCTCAAATTCAGCCCTATCATTAGTTACCTTTACACACTTTGAGGTGGTGGTAACTTCTTTATTAAGTTCCTTTTTGCTTTGGACTATGACAAAATGCACATTATTTATGCATTTAACAATTTTTGCCATGTACACTTCACCTTCTGTATCCACAAATGCCACCGCCTGGATTCAAGCAACAGTAGTTTGAAATATTCAGGGAAAAATGCATCTATACTGAATATGTATAGACTTTTCTTCTTGCCAGTATTCCCTAAACAACACAGATTATCAGCTATTTATATAACATTTGCCTTACGATAGGTAGCCTAGAGAAAAGTTTAAACTCTATGGAGGATGTGCATAGTTTATATGCAAATACTGTGCCACTTTATACAAGGGCTTTGAGCCTCTGAGATTTAGGCATCCTAGGGTCCTGGAAGCCATACCCTGAGAGGAATAACTCTACTTACAGTGCTCCTGCCACACTTGTAATTATGCTAAGCAAAATTGTATTTCATGTATGTACTGGATGCCTATGTGCTGCTTAAAAAGGGTAAAATTGGTAAATATTGTATTGTGAATATTTTCTCACAATTTTGAAAAATCTATTTCATTCTTAAGGTTTCTAAATTCTAATAAGAAAGAAGGATGCATACAGAACTCACCAGGACAGCGGATAGGTGGCATAGTAGAGGCATTCCCAGAGGTTAAAAGAAACTTTTCATGGTTCTGGGAGAAAAAAAAGGCTTGTTTGCATATCAGATGAAACCTAATGGGCAGCGGGGTCCATATCAGGTCTATCTTTATGGTGGTTGCTTGGCAAATGTCTGGAAACTGAGTGAATGGAGGGATAAATAAATGAGCACACAATCACATGAGCAAAGATAGCCCAGAAAGTATTAATTAAATGTCCTACACTTCTCTATGAGAGGATGTGCCTTGTTTAGTGTATCTACCCAAGGTTTGCTGCATAAAACCCATTATTTTATATAATAAAGTCTTGCGATCTTGGAGTGGAAAGTTGACAGTGTATGGGGAGAGGGTGTATGACACATACTGAGGTGACTCTGTCTCCAGGCCTCTGGTGACTATATCGGCATGGCAGTTGTGGACGGCCAGCTCACCTGTGTCTACAACCTGGGCGAGCGAGTGGCCGAACTACAGGTGGACCAGATTGTGACCGAGAGTGAGACGCGAGAGGCAGTTATGGATCGGGTGAAGTTTCAGAGGTACAAGTGTGGTTGACTGCTGATTTATGTAATCATCAGATGCTTCCATTAGTATGTGTTCCTGAGCCATTTTTTCATTGTTCATTAATTGTCTTATAACCTTATTATCAATTTTTTAAACAGAATTTATCAGTATGCAAGGCTTAATTACACCAAAGAAGCCACCTCCGCTAAACCCAAAGCACCCCAATTTCATTACATGGATAGTAAAACTAGCAACACGCTTCTTAACTTGGATCCTGAAAATGCTGTGTTTTATGTTGGAGGTTACCCACCTGATTTTCAAGTAAGTATAACTTATCTCACTGAGAGAAACCATTTCATTTTAATTTGGCACAATGACCTATGTATTTCTGGTAATCAAGTATGTATAAAATTGAGAACATCTAATGATAATAGCTAACATTTGTTGAATACCTCCTCTATGCACGGCTTTAAACTCATGTATATTAATTTAAATAATTACTATCACTACTATTTTATAGATGAGGAAACTAAGGCAGAGAGGTTTAATAACTTGCTTAAGGTTAGATAGAAACTAAATGGCAAAGCCAGGGAGGGCATCCAGCTATGGGGTCTACACTCTTAACCCTTATGCAATACTGATTGTTTAAAGTGATAAACTTAAATTTTTTTTGTCAACATGATCATTGTCTTCGGCTCAATTAGTGGGACATTTTTGTATTGTTTCATTTTCAGCTTCCCAGTAGACTAAGATTCCCTCCATACAAAGGTTGTATTGAATTAGATGACCTAAATGAAAATGTTGTGAGCTTATACAACTTCAAAAAAACTTTCAATCTCAACACAACTGAAGTGGAACCTTGTAGGCGGTAAGTGGAAGTGGGCAGCCAGTGTCTCTGTACCTCAGAGGGAAACTGATCATACTTTCACATGTACGAAGGGATGGCCAGTGAGATGCTATGGATGCTGCTTTTTGCTTCCAGCTTATAGTTCTTAAATTATGTTTGCTCATAACATTAACCGTGCATCCCTAAAATCTAACAATGGCAGGCTTTTTCTAAATTGGATAAAACATTCAATTGATAGGGCTTTCTAATTAAAAAAGTAAATCCTTAGATTTTTGGTGCTTCCTACCACAAAATAGTCAGGGTCATTCAATGGCATCTCAATTTGGCATGAAATTATTTTTAAGTTTTGGAAAATAATTGTCCACAAAGTGGATGACTCTGCTCTCTGAACCTGTTTGAAAATTGCTGCTTTGAACTGCTAATAATATCTACAATTAAAAGCACTTGGAATATTCTGATATAAGACTGATCAATTATTTGCTACTCAGAATAAAAATATTTTTCAAATTACTCATTTCTTATAAGATTTTCCTCTTGTGGTCCATAGCTTACTAGTAGATGTGTCTAAAGGAGACTCTTGAATATTATGTTTATGAGTCAGGGTTTAGAGCAGATCTAGGAAGCAAAACTGGCCATCTTTAACATGTTAAAGATGCCTTCTTTTCTTTGACAAAAATCACAACACCTAGATTGTAGTTCTTTGCTTTTACAGACGGTAGCATTTTGTACTAATAAGCACACTTGCGTGGTGGCCCTTTGCTGTTGTGTTCTAACTTACGGTGATTGATTTTGACAGGAGAAAGGAGGAATCAGACAAAAATTATTTTGAAGGTACAGGTTACGCTCGAGTTCCCACTCAACCAAATGCTCCCTTCCCAACCTTCGGACAGACAATCCAGACCACCATGGACAGAGGCTTGCTGTTCTTTGCAGAAAACCAGGTACTTCACAATAAGTGTCTAGATATGATTAAATATATCACTCTGTGCAGCGATGTGAACATAACTGGGTTGTAAACAAGCACCTGGCACTATAAAACCACATGCAGATGTGATCTGCATCCTTGTTTTTGGCCAATTGCACTTTCTTTCTGGTAGCTGGTGTGTATATTCGGGGCCAGTGTGCAGTGGGGAAGTGAGTTTTGAGGACCAAAATATCAGGAATTCGAGAACATGCCTCAAAAATGGGGGGAGAGCTTTCCCTTTCTTATCCTATTCTCATTGTCAATTTTAATATATCTCAAAAAGAGTTAAGACTTCCTCCTGCTTCCATCTTGATTTGACTCCTGCCAGACTGTGGGATTACCATTTTTTATCGGTCTGGTGCTTGACTTTCCAAGTCATGGAAGTTTTTCTACTTTAAAGCAGCCAAGGTTCCTGGGCACCATTCTTAAATCCAGTAGGGGAGATAAATCCAAAGGGATGCTCTGCAAGTAATCGTCTGCGCCACCTGCTGGTGGAAGGAAGTGAAGAGAAATGCTCTGGCTCCCATATAGCTGGACTAGAGCCATGGCGGGGAGGGGGGAACCCTCCCAGGAATAGAACTTTTGCAGTTGATCTCACAAGTACCTTTTCTGTGGAAATCTGGACCGGCCTATAGATTTGGTCTGAGAAGATATGAAGCTTGGTTTGGGGTCCTTGTACCTGCAGATTGTAGAGCACACATCTGGCCAACTTTCCTGTTTAAGATTGGCCTGGACCCTTCGTAAGATAACCAGTCTTGATGGTTTGGGAAGAACCCAACCAGCCTGAAAGTTGCAGAGATCTGAGAAGTCATCATCCAGACCTTCAGATCAAGGTGGCTGTTTTCTAAAACAAACTTGCCTTTGTTCAGGCTGAGCATCTCTTTCTAAAATCTTGGGACCAGGAATGTTTTGGACTTTTTCAGACCTTAAATATTTGCATATACAAAAGGGGATATCTTGGGGAGAGGATCCAAGTCTAAATAAGAAATTCCTGTATATTTCATACATGCCTTATTTTTATAGACCAAAGCTAATTTTATATTACAATATTTTTAATAATTTTTAAAAATAGTTACTATAGTACATATTGCTGTCCTCTAAAGAACAGCTCAGGCTACTGGCTTTCAGCTTGAAAAGTCAATCAAATAATACAGTTCTTTTGAATCAGCCAGTTGCTTACAGCAGGAGGAGCTGTTTTTTCTTCTCTCCCTAGCCAGCACATCAGGGGTTTAGCTTCCTTCCTGGTTCTCCCCATTCCTTGCTCCGGCCTATTTTTAATAATTTTCTGCATGAAATAAAATTTTCATACCTTAACTTATCATACTTGTGGCATCATGTTGATGGTCAAACAAAATTAGATTTAGAAGCATTTCACATTTAAAATTTTTGTGTTAGGGATGCGCAATATATACTACATTTCAAAGTTCTTGGAGACAGAGCCAGAAACAGTAATTACTTTAGAGGAAAACTTACATAATGCTACTGCAAAAGAAATGATCCAGAGAGCCGCTGTTAAGTAGGATGGCCCATTACTCTCAGGGAACTGGTGTTCCCTTGCTCATTGGTTGATGAATTCTACCCCAGCTTCTCAAGGACAAAGTTTGGAGCCGGAGAAGGAGTACTTTTTCTTTTAGAAGAGGACTCTGACCCTGGTCTTTAAAGACAAGCCTTCTTACCATAGGGAGCTGGGTTAGAGCAAAACCTTCAATTCCTAAGTCAGAAATTCCTCAGTTTATCTAACTACTAAGGAAATTTCTGGTTCAAGTGCATGTCTTAGTCCAAGACCAAGAAGCAATGACTAAGACAGACACAGCTCTTGCCCTCTGGAGGGGAAGACTTGTGTTACACAAAGGTATGCTGCTAATAAGTTAATTGCTAATTCATCATCACTCTACTTTCAAGGAGCCACATAGAGGGAAAATGAAGGACTTTCTTAAGCAAAGAATGCTTCATCTGAGACCTGGAGGCCAAGTAGAAGATGGCACTTGAAGGAGACAGAGTAGAAGAGAAAAGCCATGAAGAAGGCATGTAGATAGAAGGGCAGGAGCACCCGGCCATAAAGGGGAGTTTAGCATGCCAGGGGCTGTAGAGCCAGAGGGAGTGTTGAGGGGCACAGAAAAGATATGGGCAGCACCTTGCAGCATCTGCTATGTCCTGAGAGCAAAGGGAAGCGACAGCTTGCACTGGCGTTGTCAGAGGCTGCTCTGGCTGCAGCTTAGAAATGATACAAGAAGAGTTATGGAGAACCCAGAGGACTGTTGCTTGTAGTCTGGCTGGAAGCACTGTAACTGAGACCGGGAGAAGAGCTGAGACTTAGGGGAAAATTCACCAGGTTTGCTTGGCCAGGAGAGAAGGTTGGGTCAGAAGTGCCTGCTAGGTGTCTCAGCAAGGTGATGAGGTCGGGGGGGGGGGGGGAGGCGGGTACACAGCGTGAAAGAAACACAGCCTTGAGCCGGAGACCCAGGCTTGGCGGCATGTGGGAGCATTTGTTCATAAATTCTGTTTGGAATATTGGGAATCTAAAGGATCTGTGAGTCATCTAAGTACTAATGATAGTAACAAAGAAATTCGATCTTCAGACCCTGCCCTGAGGAGGCAGGGCCAGGCTGGAGAGAAAGATTCAACCTTCGCGGATGTGACCACGGTAGAAACACAGGCGTGCCTGTGGTCTCCAGGCCAAGGGGTGGTATGAAGGAAGGAGAAGCCCTGTGTGAGTCACCTCCTGCAAAAGACCCCCAAAACTGGAATGGGCAATAGAAGACAGCAAAGAGACTAAAACCTAAGAAAACAGAGAAAAACACCTGCAGATTCAATAAGACTGCGTCCGCCTGGGGAGGTAGCTCTTGTTATTTTCCAGGAATTATAATGATCTGTACCTTCCAGTTTACAAGTTGGTTATGAACGATATGAAACAAAGTCACAGTGATTGATAGTATTGTGTCTCTCCTGAGCAGCAGGCACTGAACATGAAAACCTAGTCCAGGAAATAAATCTTACAGTTAAAGCTGAATGTCGTTAGTGACCTGAGAATAACCCAACTTCAGTGATCCAGCTCTTCTGGTAACCTGCATTGTTTCCATACCCTAGGATCGCTTCATATCCTTAAATATAGAAGACGGCAGTGTCATGGTCCGATACAAACTGGACTCAGGACCACCGAAAGAGAAAGGAATTAGAGGCACCATCAACAACGGGAAAGATCATTTGGTACGTCCTTGGAGTGTGTTTACTTGACTTGTTAAATATTATACCTAGATTTAAAATTAATTCAGTGCCAAGATACAGAACCTGAAATAAATACAAATCTTCCATTATCAGATGAACTTATTAACTGGGAGTGCATCCTTTTAAAATTTGAACATTTGAGCATGAAATATGTGATGTATATGGGGTGTATAAGCCATGGTTCATTTCAAGTAAAACCATCTATTAAAATGGTTTAGTATGAGATTTTTCTGCCAAATTGCCATCTTCCTATCATGTATATAAATGAAAGCAAACAAACACAAACAACAGATCTCTGAGCCATTGAAAGTAAGATTCTTTTGTTTTCCACCACTTGCTGATTCATCTCTCATTTATTCCAGATTCTAATCAAAATTGGAAAAACACAGAAACTTATGAGAATAAATGTGGGTGATCAAAGTATTAGAGTTGAAGGGGAAATATTCGACTTCAGCACATACTATCTGGGTGGAATTCCAATTGCCATCAGGGAAAGGTAAGATAGTGTGGCTTTTTTAAAAAGCCAACACCTCTCATATGGTAATGGTTGCTGCCAATAAATCTAGCAGTCTGCCTTTGTTTTAGTTACCTTTGTCTCATTGTGGAGGAAAATATCCAATATCCAAAGTTAAAGGAGGAAAGGTTTATTTAGCTCACAGTTTGTGGAGGTTTCAGCACATAAGCGACTGGCTCCAAGGCAAGATGGCACATGGCAAAGGGAAGACAATTTTTTGTGTTGAAAGGCAGCAAAGGCAATGAGAGAGACAGAGGACAAGACTGTTTCTGTCCATTATATTGTATCCAGCCTACTGGTATTAGAGTGATGCCAATCCAGTCAATGGACTGGTCCAGCAGTCACTCACCCTTAATCCCAGCACCCTTAATCCCAACACTGCACTACAAATGAATAATCACACATTCTAGATTCAGTCACCTCTGAAAAAAGCTTCATGACTGCATGAGTCTTTGGGGGGACATCTAGACACAAACTGTAACAGGCTTGTTTAATTCTGGCCACAAACACAAAGTGAACTCTTCAGTATTAGCAGTGTAGTCGACAGAGCAGAAGAGATTATAAAGGATGGCAGCAACTGTGTACTCACGTTGTTATTCTTGGAAGGAAGGAAACCACAAAGAGCATCCTTGAGTTGACAATGCTGCCATCCAGTAGCAAGAGGCTGTGGCCCTGGGCCATTGGTGGCCCATGGCCTGACAACAGTACTGGCTCTTTGAAACTCAGGTTGCATCCTTCAGGAAGTTTCTTGAGGAATCTAAGATGCACTGTTCACACCTCTGTTACCTGCCTCTTGGGTGCTGTAGTGTATAGAATAAGTTCATAACCTTTCTTTGCATAAATGAACAAAATTCATTCCCCAAAGGCTGTAAGGTGTAATGAGTGAGAAAAAAAAATACCCCGCCGCTTGGAGAATGCACACAGAAATCACTTTTACATTGAGTCAATTTGTTTATAACCTATGAGAAGACTTAGATATCTGACAGCCACATGTAAAAAGAAGATAGCCTGGGAGGATTGATTGGTACACTTCATGACCCAGCTAAGAGCACTGAAGAATGTTTGATTATGACACTTTTAAGAGACATGAAGTTAAATAACTTTATTTCTAATTTATAAAATCAGCTGGGAGGAGTACTACATGTGATTTTTTTGTAAGTTTCTCCCAAAAACACAAATGGGAAAGCTTGGCACTTGGAAGAATTGGAAAGAGAATGTCTTTGACCAAGATGGACCTGGAAAATCATAGTATCCAGCCCCTGAATTTTACAGATGAAGAGAATTGAAGGTCAAAAAGATGATGTTAATATTTAGAATCATCAATATTAAATAACAGTGCAGCCCTGAATACCCAGTTATGAGTTGTTAGTAATTTCAGTATTAGTCAACTACATGTGATATAACAATTGTTTAAAGTAGGTTGCAAATGCAGTTGCAAGATCCACTTACCTGTTTACTACACAAGCATTTGTTGAGTGCATAGTGTGTACCAGACAGTGTGATGGGAATAGGAAGACAGAGACCAGGGCAAAGGCTAAAGAACAGTGGAAGAGAGACTGTCACTATAGTCAAGCATGCCATGTGTCAGGAGAAAGAAGCTCAGTGTGCGGAAAGCCTTGGAGGGAATCTGGTCCAGCTGAGGAGAGCAGGTGAGTAGGATATAGCTAGGACCTGAAGGATGCTAGCCATTGACATGTGTGAAGAGCCAAAAGCTATCGACTATGTGAACCTCAAAGAGGTGAAACATACCAGGAGGTGGCGCAGGGACAGCCATGGTGTTGATGTGGGAAGCAGGGGATATGTCAGAGAATCTTGCAGGTTGGGGAGGAGTCACTGGGGGATTTTGGCAGAGAAAAGCTGTGCCCATCTATGGGTTTCAGTAGCCCATTTAAGTGCAGGGCAGAGATTGGATTAGGGGAGAGGAAGGGCAGCGGGGGGCAGAGGGGTTGGAAAGATAGAGGAGAGGGATGAGGTAGCCTGCCCAGGGAAATGGGAAATGGTGGTACAAGTGAGGAAAAAGATATGGATTCCAGACATATGGAGGACAAAAGATAGGCAGGACTGACCAGTTGCCTAAGCTAGGGCAGCTGTGACTGATGGCTGGTTTTTGGTTGAGCATGTGGCTGGATAGAGGACATAAGGACAAGAGCAGGTGACACATTCACAGACACAGCCAGGTGGAGAAGTCTGGAGGAAGGAGGGGAAACATAATAGCCTGGGCTTCCAGAAAAAAGATAGGTCAGAGACGGGGTAAATGATTCTCAAGGACAAGTGATCATGGAGGTATTGAGCCAGGTGGCCAACCCAGAGCCACAAGGATGTCTCCAGATGACCTGTAAGGAACCATTGATTGGAAGTTTGCATTTGGTGGCATTAAAGGCCCACAGTCAGCAGTGTGGGTTCCAGCCAGTCCAGGCTTTCTAGAAAAGAACTAAGGACAGATTTGCAAAAGTGGTCCTTGTTTTGGCTCTGCCATCAAAGAATGGGGGAGACCTTGGGCTGTTAATACTCAAGTTTTGTTGCCCTTCCATCCTTACCCATTAAAGAAATAAATACATAAGCAGATATAGAGGCGCCTATGCATACTGACACACTCACAGAAGTTCCCTTGTACTCTAACTTAGGACCTTACACACCAAGGCCTGCCACCCTTTTCTAGGCATGTTTATGCTGTGATTTTTAATTAAATCACTAGAACATGGAAAATGCGGATTTCCCTGGCCTTTTACTCCCTCAATAGTGAAATGCTGGGCTATTTCTGGCCTGCCTCATCCCTCAGGTGGTCTTGGAAGTCCAGTAATTCCTGAAGCAACCCAGCGTGTAGGTCACTAGAGGGCAGGAGGGCTCGTTCCCGTAACCCCCAGTCCTGCTCTGCGGGGCAGAGTCTGATCGCAGAGTGAACACCAGGCCCTTGTGCTCACAGCACCTTGGTGCCTGAAGAAGCCAGCTTTGCTCAAGGGGTTTCTTGGAGTGTTTTTTTATCTTCCCCTCACTGTAGTTATTTTCTGAGGATGGTTACCCAGATTTGGGAATGAGATTCTTATGATTATAATCAGAAATCACAGTCTGCTGATCCCATCTGCTTCCCAGGACAAGAGCAAGTCACCCCTGATGATGCCGAAGATCTGATCCCAGTGAGGAAATATTTCCTGGGGAACTTAGCCCATGGTGTTGCAAAGTATAATCCTAAAACATGAAAATAGTTCAAGAAATGAAAATAAGTCAAGGATATGCGGGACATTTATAAGGACTCAAGCCCAGGTGTAGGGTCAGGCTTTGTTCTTACTGCTTTCTGAAATCCACCACCACAGCCAGGAAGCAGGATACGCTTTGTTGATAGGCTGACCTGGGTTGTTGGTAGCTCAACCCACAGGGCAGGCTGACTGCCACGTGGAAACCCACTAACCGTGCAACTCAAACCCCACAGGATCGCCTTCCTCCAGCAAGTGTGTCAGCTTGGAAATGCAGACCTCAGAGGCCCAAGAGAGAACGGGCCTAAAAATATAAATCAGAAGCCAGCTCCAGGAACTCAGATGAACTTTCTTCCTCTTCTGAGGCCAAAAGTCATCTTTATAAAATAATTAAGCTCATGGTGCAATGCCAGTGAGGATTGTGTCTTTCTTTTCCTTTCAGTGAAATTTAATTTTATGCGTGTTGCATGCAGCTCCACTGATTATAATGAATTGGACCAAAATGAATGCAGACGCCTTTGCATTTAGCAAAGTGAGCTGCTGTGGGGATTTATAATGGAATCAGCTTCGGTTTTCTTAGTACATTGACTGCTTAAGAAACACAAATATTTGCCTGGACTTTAATCAGTTATGCTTTGTGTGGATTCAGCTCCAGACAAACTTTGAAGTCAAATCAAAGGGGAAATGTCAAGGTGCCACGTAGGAAGAGCTGTCATAATAAAATGATAGATAGCTAGCCACCAACCCTGCCGCTCACCCTGAGCCCTCGCTCTGCACCAGGCACCACCTGAATGTGTGGCACATATTATGTAAACTCAGGACAACCCCATGAAACGGGAATATGGACCCACTGTACTGATGAGGAAACAGAAGCAGAGAGAATTAAGCCATTTGCTCGAGCAGCAGTGACAGAACTTGCACCCCAGCAGCCTGGCTCTAAAGAACATTACTCTAGAAGCAACTGCTGAGGGTCCTCCCCTCAGCAAGCACCGCCATGCTTCCAAGTTTGCCCCATGCATTATCCTCGCAGTAACCTCCTGCCCATGCTGCAAAGTTACCAGGTGGTGGATACAGCTTTAACCCCACACAGTGCGTTCTGTGATGCCAGCCTGGCATTTTTTTAAGTCAAGCTCCATTTCTCATTATTGAATTGACACAAAAGTAATACTTTGCTTTTTCTGCGTTCAGAATGAAACCCTTGAGGATAAATGGGGAAAAAAAAAGATTCAAAAAGTCATCAGAAACATTTCTGATTCTTAACACCTAACCACAGGCATATTGATGTCTTAACACCTATTTATATGATATGTGTTGTACTTTATCTTATTAATGTGCTCCCCATCCAGCATGCAATGCCATGACTGTGGGGGTGGAGGATGGGCAATGCTGGATGTTGTACATCTTTCATCCTGGGACACTTTGGGGACACCAGCCATTTTTCTGTCAACACAGTTATCTGTATTTTTAAAGCTGAGACTGAAGACTCCCGCAGAAAGGAAGTAGATTTTCCAAGCAGCCTTTTAGGGCCCCTGGGACAGCGCTATAGGAAGTCCAGAGGAACAGATAACCATAAAAGGGGAAGTCCTTGTGTAAGAGTGAGCTGGAACCAGAGAACAAGAGTTCCAGCCGCGGTTCTCAGGTGAGCCTGCCATGCACCATCTCCTCCTCTTTTGAACCCCTCCTCAGGTTCAATATTTCTACACCTGCTTTCCGAGGCTGCATGAAAAATCTGAAGAAGACCAGTGGTGTCGTGAGGCTGAATGATACCGTGGGAGTGACCAAAAAGTGCTCCGAGGACTGGCAGGTAAGCCGAGGCTCCTGAACCTTGTGGTGGGATGTATCCTAGCTGACTCACTTCCCCATGTGGCAGCACCTCAGCTTCTGGCTTTTTGCTGCTAGCAGATATTGCGGTGAAGGGCCCATGTCACTGCCCACCTAATTTCAAGGGACAGAGCTCCTTCAGTTTAACATGTAGAATTTGTAAGATAATATGGCTGTTGACCAAAACTTTTCCATTGATTGGTGACTTATGCAGAAAAACATGCTCGGTTTCTTTTAGTTCTAGGGCAATTTATTGTGTTTCAGGTGTGAAATGATTACAAGGCCAATGACATCCACGTTTGCATTGCAGCTTGTGCGATCTGCCTCATTCTCCAGAGGGGGACATTTGAGCTTCACTAATCTGGGCCTGTCATCCTCCGACCCCTTCCAGGCCTCCTTCGGCTTTCAGACCTATCAGCCCAATGGTGTGTTACTAAATCATCAGACGCGGGTAAGAGATCATGCTTTAGTGTTGGACAGTTTTAAACCTGTCTCAAAGTTTGATGTCAGAAACAACAGAAAGCTGCCGATGGTAGAGTAGTAGGGCATTTTATCATTCATCAAAGTAAATGCCGTTGTATAGTTCAAATGTGAAATTTATACCTCTACCCTGGCATAGGTGCTGAAAGGTATCAGGCTTAGAATGCACATACTGATTTGCAGAACCGAATTTGTGTGTGTTCCTGGACTTCCTTTCATTCTTGATACATATAGTTGATGATTCAAAATGAATTTTGAGTGATGAAGTGACTAAAAGTTTATTTTTTTTCAGAACAGAACAATTTAAACAACATGGTGTTTCACCACAAGACAACCCGACATAACAGTAGTTACCATAGTGTCTCTTTCCTTAAAATATTTGAGTATACCTTCATATACTCTAGCATCAAACATAACAAGACAATGTAAAACCATGCAAGAGAATGAAAGTATTACAGGGTATTTAGAACCAAATAACAGAAAATGAACAATTGTTTCTATATTATCTCCTTGTCCATAAAAAATTTTATTTATACTATCACACATAATAAAATCCAATAAGATACAACATGTTAAGACCGATGGAGACAAAAGAACAAAAGCTTGATGGGACTTCAAAACAAGATGGTATTAAATCAGCACTAGCTATTATAATGTCTTGTTTTCTTCAAAATAACTGTTCATACCATCACAGACAATAAACAAGCAACCCAGAATAAAACCATTCCAATTAATGAATGAAAACATTATAAGACTTCAAAGCAATATAATGGGGAATCATGATTACCACATACTTTTATGCATTCTTACCATTTCTTACACTAGGGAAACTATTTGGTATTTATTCATGTGAGTTTGATTTATTTCACTTATGAGTATGGTCTCAAGCTGCCCCATTTATTTATAAATATCTCAATGTGATCATTTTTTATAATTGAGTAGTACTCCATTGTATAAAAATACCACAACTTTTTTATCCATTCCTCAGTTGATGGACACGTAAGTTGTTTCCAAGATCTGGCTATTACAAATTGTGCTGCTATGTGACTAAAAGTTTAAATATAAAGAAAAATCAGAATTTATGACTATTGTTCCTTTTTAATTACACAAAAGGGAGATCCTTAGATTCCTCTTTTTTTCCTGCAACATCTAGCTGGACATTATTTACATCTGGGGAATGGGAGAAAATGAGATCCTTTGTTCTTAGGTCACATACAACAGAGCCATAGAAGATCACTTCCACAAGGACAGGCAGGCCATCACTAGTCTGCTGTTGAGGAGTTTGCTGGTGTCATGGTGTAGGTGTAGCAGCCAGTTAGTTTTTGGGAATCCACTTGCTGAATAACAGCAGTTTTTAAATAGCAGTAGAAGTAGAATACCGTGGTTCTTGGATTTGTTTTTTTAGGCTTGTTGAGCACAATACATATCTAATATCTCTTAAGATGCTAGAAGACGGTAGCCAGAGCTATGGCTGTGTAGTATTAGGAAAGCTTCATCTCTTACTATTTTGTTCATCAACCTTTATAAATTTAAAAAAAAAAACACTAGCCCTTAAAAATCACATGCCAGCATTACACTGGGAGGTAGATTTTCCATCAAAGCAGAACGTTTTGACCTAGCTCTTGTGACACCTAACACTTCTGTGCCACATTTGGGAACGCTTAGTATATGTTCCTCAATGGGAGAATTGGTTTAGCAAAAGATCAGATCAACCTGGACAAAAGAGAAATCCGAGAAGTTGCTCAGGAACATTGCCCTCAAATTGATATGTATCTATACAATTCTTTTATGCTTTTCATAAGGAAAAAAAGCAGCACAAAAATAAAAGTAATGATGGTTATAACCAGGCTATAACAGTCTAAACAAGTTTTAGATTAAATGTTCATCAAAGAGTCACATCTTGCTGGAAACTGCAGAAATTGAATTTGGTAGGAAAAAATATGAATAAAATTGCAATGAATACTGCTGATATTGTACATTTTTAAACTACTAATTGACAGAAAGTCAAATCATCTTGTGACAATTTGGATCTGCACAGTTTGACATGGAAAATTTGACTTCCTAAAAATAAGGACCAGAAAATAAAAAATTCGTGACCAAAGAGAAGAAATCATTGTTTTAATTCTGTATGAAAAAAGTTGATGAACCGTCTCTTTGCTCTGATTCTGCTACAAATAACTTTCGAAAAATGAAAGTTAAAATAGAAAAATTTAGAAATGACTTGACCATTTTGGATAAGTTAGATCATTTTAATGAATGTTAGGTCCATAAAAATGATTTTGACAGATTACTTTTGCTAAAGTAATTTGCATAAGGCTTTTTATAGTCACAAACACGAAGTCAAAAATAGTTAAAAATAAGCTTTGGATTAAAAGGCTAAGGCAAAATACTTGGGTCAAAACATTATATTTTATATATCATTGTGTTCATAAATTAAGTATTCGGTTATTCATCATCTTAGCTGCAAATTAAGGTTTGATGAGTGTGTTCTGTGATGATTTCAGACAAGTGGCCTGCAGGTCACTCTGGAAGATGGTCACATTGAATTGAGCACCAGGGAAGGCAGCAGCCCAATTTTTAAGTCTCCTCAGACATACATGGATGGTTCACTGCATCACGTATCTGTAATAAGTGACAACTCAGGGTGAGTGGGATGGCTCTCCACCTCCACCGGGCTCTGAGAGTTCTGTTTTATTTATATGAATGGAATTCTCTGGTACCTTTTTGCAAAATGTTTGTTCTTGATGCTGATGCTATTTACTAGGAAGTCTTAGTCTTCTCCTTGTTCTATGTCAGTGTCCTTAGTAAAATTACATTAATAGTTGGATGTGGGTCCATTGTGGTACATGCAAATGAACTACTACATAGCAATGTAAAAGAAAAATCTAAAATGATGTGGAATGACATGGATGAACCTTAAAAACATAGTATGGAGCAAAAGAAGTCACCCATCAAAGAAATCATCCTCTAGGATGTCACTTCTACAAAGTTCCAAAGCAAGGCAAATTATTCTACCAGGGTTGAGGATGCTGGTTATTCACAGAGAAGGAGGGAAGCTAGAGACTTAGAACATCTCACAGTGGGGTTCTCAGCTTGGAGTTATTTCTGTTTCTTTCTCTGGGGACTGGTTATTTTGATGTTTTCATGTTGCAAGACTTTTTGAGTCAAATAAGATATGCTCAGTTTCCATATGTGTACAGTCGTGAATGACAGTGTCATGTATAAAAAGTCCATGAAAGGAAATTTCAGTGGTCTTTAAAAACAAGTCCAGTCTAACCAGTTCTTTTAAGTGACGGATGCCGAGTCTGGGTCAGGGAGTAAACTGACCCCATGGTCTGAGCATCTTTCCTAGCGGTTCTCACTGTGTATGTCCTCCTTTTTCAGCCTCCTGCTTCTCGTGGATGACCAGCCCCTCAGGAGGATCCAAAGGCTGCCGGCCACTGTAAATTCTCCACAGTCTCTCCGCCTGGGAGGGAGCTATTTCGAGGGTTGTATCAGCAATGTTTTCATCCAGAGGTGAGTGATCCTTTCTCTGAGGTAATGGATGAGAACTCATGACCATTCTGGTCCTACCCTACTCCTGCCACAATCAACAAAGCTGCCCCTACTCCTTCCTCTGGGTTGTAGCTGTGGTCTTCAGGGAGGAGACACAAATGTACTAGGACCCAGGACAGTTAAGAATGTTATTTGTTTTCGGGTGTGGTGGATGCACACCTATCATCCCAGTACTTGGGAGATCGAGGCACGAGGATCACCGTGAAGCAGCTTTCATTTCTGCCCCTTTCCAGGTTGTCGGAGAGCCCTGAAGTCTTAGATTTTGCCAGTAAATCTACCAAGAAAGATGTGTCCGTGGGAGGCTGCAGTCTGAACAAACCACCTTTCCTAATGTTACTTAAAGGCTCCACGAAGTTTAACAAGGCCAGAACTTTCAATATCAACAGCGTAAGTGATGAAGCCTCACCCTGGCTTTACCTCCACTGGAGGATTCCCCTGGGCCAGCTAGGTAGCCAATAGTGGAACGGGGGATAGATCCCAGGTCAGAGCCTCCATCAGGTGGCATTCACAGGACTTCTGCCATTGAACGGCGCCAACATGACAGAGCAATTCTCTTTCTGGCTTTTGCTTTGTATCTTTTTGAAAATTTGGCAAATTTTGCAGTCATAGAACAAACAGTGCCATAACTGAATGGAATGGGTTTGCCCTCGGTGAATGCAAAGCCAGGAAGCAGAAGGGTGAAGAAAGAAAGGTTATTCCTTGCAGCAAAGGTCAGGGAATAATTCTCAGAGCATTGTCTGTCCTGCAACAAGGAGAGCCAGGGACTTGGGTTAACAAACACATGTGCACTCATATGGAAGACCCTTGTCCTCGTGTGGAGAAGTAGGCACATTCCTGAATATGTTCGGCTGGAGATCATGCTTCTGCATACATTTGTGTTCGAAAAACAGCAGACAAAGTTAGGTGTGGTGGTGTACACCTGTGATCCCAGCATTCTGGGAGGCCAAGGCAGGAAGATAGCAAGTTCAAACCCACCTGGGCAATTTAGTGATTCAACAAGATTTTATCTCAAAATTAAAAAACAAAACAAACTAAAATGAAGGGCTGGGATATAGCTCAGCATAAATGACCTGGTTAAATCCCTAAAATCAAAAAACAACAACAATGAAAAGAAGGTGAACAGAAGCATTTTATGCGCAGAGAATGTAGCACTACTAAGAGATTAAGATAAAGAAATTCTACTGTAAGTCTCCTAGAAGAGGCCTGAGCAGCCTTGATGGCTTAAACCCATTCCTGTGGCTTCTCTGAGAGCCTTATCTGAAACAAACAAAAGCCTTAAAGAAACATTAACAGCTATTTGAAGGGAACCCTGTCCAGGTGTGACAGCTGGCCCTAAAAATGACCTACTTAGTGGATGACAGAACCTTCACAGCTTCCTGAGTTTTGGTAGCTGAGGCCTTTCTCTCTGGACAGTTCTGGTGTGTTGACTGCAGGTCCAGTGGTTTTTCTCCAGAAGATGGAGGCCACACCCCACTCCTGCCCACAGGCTTCCCTCTGCCCTGATGGGATTCCGACAAAGAGACACGCTTGTGTACTCAGGCCTTGTTGAAGCCTCGTGCTTAACTTTCACTGCACTGAGAAACACCCAGGGTGCTTTGCAATCCCAGGTCAGAGGCTTTGGGAATGGGACCAGGCCTTGCTCCCAAGAGATTCCCGAGAGCCACCTGAGGGAGACTGAGAGGAAGAGCCATTCTGAGTGTGGAGGAGTGGAAGCCTTGTGAATTGAATGTGGGGCTAAGTCTTAGGTCTTAAAGGAATTCCTCGCTCTGCTGGAGGCCAACAGTGTAACCTCCAGTGCCTGAGGTCACAGTGAATAAGATTAATGGATATCATCAAGTGCCCCAGTCTGCTAGGCATTGCACTAAGCCCTGCAAGTGGATTTTCTTACTAAGTCCTTCACCTTGTGCAGTCACTACTGTCACTAGCCAGGTCTTACAGAAAGGGGCTGCAGCGGGAATGGCTGAGCAGTTTGTCAGCTCCCCCGGTCGGAGGTAGAGGTGCAGCTCCAGTTCTGCAGCCTGTGCCCCTGAACAGTGATCAGCTCTGCTCTGCCCACTTTTCACTGAACCTCAACCGTGTGCTGTTTGCTAATTTTTCTGTGCTGCATGATGATTTTCAGAGTGTGAGTGGCTAATGCATAAGAAATGTTTTATGCTATTGCAGAGAAATACGTTTCATGAATCCAAAGCTTTGTCATTTTACTGTTATCAGAGGAGCATCTTTAGAATTGACTCTCAGAAATGAAGCCGTATATTCATTCAGCTTTTCATTGTATGACTGACAGCTACTGAGAGGCAGAGTTGGCACACTGATGTGGAACTGAGGAGAGGTGCAATAGATTCTAAAGCTATTTGAAGACAGAATATGCTAGACTCACACTACTGGATTTGGGAGATCAGAGAGAGATGGGACAATGCAAGGCATCCAGACTGGGTGTTGGGGGGATGGAGATTCCACTGAGAGCTCCATGGAACTAGCAAGACAAGGATTTGGTGGGAAAGAGAGGAAAGGAGTTGGTGGTGTGCTGAGTCCCAGGAGTCTGCAGAGCGCCCAGTAGAGGCTGTTGGTGGGGCCAGGGCTATCACTGTGGGAAATGTTTGTGACGTTGTTAATTTACCCTCAGTTCTGTACAAGCCCAGATTAGATAGATGTTAGTTCTGCCTCTAATAGCTACACAGTGGAGAGAAGGCAGCAAGCTTAGGGCTAAGAGCTGGACCTCAGGGTCAGACTCCTGGGCTCACACTGGGCTTTATGACTGGTTAGATCCATGCCTTTGAATAATTACTAGAACAATCCTGTTCCAGTGTAAATGAGGACAAATAATGGCCCTATCTCGTGATGTCACTGTGAGGATCAAATGATGAAATAAACATAAAACACTTGGGAAAAGTCCTGGCATGTAGTAAGCATGTAATACATATTAGTTATTATTATTGTGCATAATAATAACAGCAACAGCCTAAATGAGAGGAACAGGACATGCTATAGAAATGGTGCAACACGGATTTTCTGTCATGGAAATGAGGGGGGCTTTTGGTGGGGGTATCCCAGCAGCTGGGGCTCCTGAGCATGGGTTGAGTTTCCTTATGTGAATATTGGTGTTGCAAGGGCAGAAGCACAAAGCTGGAGACAGGATGTGGGTGTCGCTCATGAGACACCTCACGTGAGTTCCCTCTGATCCTCCCAAGGCTTCACACTATCGCTTTCTGTCCACACCACGTCCCTCTGAGAGCAGAAGAAAGTGCCAGTTTCATCAGCCAGGAAACTGAGTTGCCCAAGAACTTCCCATCAGTCAGCATTTGAATTTAGGGCTGTAAAAATCCCACAGAATATGCTCGGAAAGCCTCTGAGGCTGGGACAGTGGGATAAATGATGGGGAATCTGGTGGAGAAAAAAGATGGGGGAGGAGGGTAACCCCACTCCCACACCAGCAGCAGATCGGGCAACCCTTGTGTGAACCTAGGCGATTCCAGTGATCAGCGGAAAGCCATTGAAAGGTGTGCTTTAAACTGCTTAAAAGATTAAAGATAATGAAACTGGCAGCAGCCTGTGGGATGGTTAGGGTCAGAGAAATTCTAGGGGCAAGGAGTGTAAACCAGCAAGTCACTATAATACTCCAGGCCGACTTTCCGGGCAGAGACACAGGAAAAGCAACGAGCAGAAACAAAATAGGTCCTGGAGGCAGCAGCAGGATGTGAAAACAGGGATTAAAAGAGGCCAATGAGCTGGGCATCCATGATGACCAAGACGTTGACCCTGGATTCCTTGAAAGATAATGAGAATTAAGGAAGAGTTGGTGGCAAAGGGCTCATCTGATGTCACTGTTAGTGTTGGTGGGGCCCATTTACCTGCAAACACTCCAGCGAATGGCCAGGAAGTGGAGATGGCAGTTCTGGGGCTCCATATCCCACTGGCTGGCTACAGCTGCCTTGTATTACTGGCCGCACACTGGCTCTCTAGGGGACATCACTTCTTCCAGTGCTCCATGATGGGGCAGGATGCTGGGTATCTGCAGGTGCAGCAGCTTTCCAGAAAGACCAGATTAATGTAGGATGAGAAAAACACATGTGCTCCCCAAGGAGAGCAAGAGAAAGGGGATATTTAGAGGCTCTGCAACTTTGTCTCCCCCAAAGAATGACCCCTTACCCCTTCCAGAGCTGTGTATACCTCTCTAGAGGTAAAGCCCCGCTAGGACACTTACTGGACACTGACTAAGGAGCAGAGACTAAGCTCTGGCTTCCCCTTCTCCCCTGCTCTATGCCAGCCTGGGGCCTGCAGGAAGGGTTCTCAGTGGGAACTTCCTGTCCCTGTGGGCCTGTTCTCTGGGGAGTGAAAACTGAGCCAGGTGCTTGGCAGGATAATCTCCGCTCTGCATCCTAGCGGCTAGCACCCTAACCCTGTGCTTCTTTCCCGAGCAGATGCTGCAGGATGCACCAATGGCCTCCCCCAGGAGCATGGGAGTGTGGCGAGATTCAGAGCCTTGCTCACCCCCCGCTGGGGTCCAGACCAGTCACAGAGCCCTTCAGTTTGGGAACAATCCCACCAGCCACTTGCTATTCAAGCTTCCCCAGGAGCTGCTGAAACCCAGGTATTTTTAAATTTTCCTGCTCCAGGGCCAACTCAACCCGACTGCAAGACTACCGAGGGATGTCTGGCTGGTACAACGCTGCATGCCTCTCGTGAAGGAAGGTGGCACTACCATTTTTGTGAAGAGAGGTGCCAGCTCACACAAGACCGGGATGGGAGGCATGACTGTGGGCCATGTGCTCCCTGCAGCTGGGGTGCTAACATGATGTGCCCCACTCAGGGGCTAAGCTGGTTGGTTAGGAATTGACAGTGTTCTAAAAATAAGGCTGTTTTGTTCCCAAAGCTGCTATTTATTCCTGTGACAAATCACCTTCCCTTGGTTTCCGTAGAGAAAGAAAAAGCAATCTTTTAGGAAGCCTGGGTGGCAGATAGATCACTTTTTAGAGAATGCATTCCGACTTTTTGTGCAAGCACGGTGCATCTCTTTGGGGGAGGAAGGAGTGAGCAGAAATATTAATGATGTCAGCAGAGAGGAGAAAAACGGGACCTGTCATTCTCAGGTGGTTTGAAGGAGGCATAATGAAAAGGGTCCAATTGTTCCTTCAAGACTTCTCTACAGAGGCAGAATTTCAGGGTTCATAATGACCTGGCTTTCAGTCCCTAGCCAGCCACATACTGGCCGTGTGGCCCGAGGCCATGTGCCAGCTCAGCTGCTCTGAGACCCAGATGCTCAGAGGCAAACATGGGCACTGGGTTTATTGTGAAAGGTGACAGAGAGGGGACAAAGGCAGGCAGGGGGTGGGGGTGGGCAGAAAGAGCCTGCAGCTGGCATGGGGCCTGCTGAACCATGCAGAGAGTTCAGGGAGAACCAGGGCCAGTAGCGGGGCTCAGACTGCAGTGCAGCTGTGAGAGGTCAGCCAGGCCCGGGGATGCCCCACTCAGAGGTGACCCCAGAGAGCCCAGTGTGGGGCTCCAGTGGCTCGGCTCTAGTCTGCCTGCCACTGGCATGCCTGGCTGGGAGCAGCCCAAGCTGTTGCTGCTTACCCCAGAGGGGGGCAGGGCGGGCAGCCTGGACACTGTGCCCATGGCAGAGCCTCCTGCAACAGGCACATCTCTGACCACGACAAACTGTGTAACTTTTCGAAGCCCAGGCTTTCCTTCTGTGGCTGTCCCACATACTCTAGGAAATCATGACCACTTTCTGGACCTCTGTTTTTTCTTCAGTTAAATGGGGTTGATTCAGGGCCCCTTGCAGGAAGTAGAGGCACTGACCAGGAAGAAATGTTGCTCTTGGATAGCCATTCAGTAAGCTATGGGCATGATTCACCAGCAGGCAGATGGGGTTGGAAATTGTTAGGTCTGAGAAGAAGGGAAAGGATGGGAAGAGGGAGAGGAAGAGGTCCGTGGAAGGAGTGGAGTGGACGGCCGTGAAAGTAGTGGGCGGCGGTGGCTGCAAAGATAAGAAATATAAAATATAAGTAACCTTTATTTCAGGAATGCGGGGAGAGACCCCCCCCCCCGGCCCCGGGGCGCAGCATCTCCACTGCGCCCAGGGCCGGTGGTCTCTCTCTGGAACACACTCTCCCTTTCTCCTTCTTCTTCTCCTTCACGTGGAGTCAGGCCCATAAGTAACCTCTGTCTGGGGTGGACCCCAAGGGGCATTAGGGATGCACAGGTATTTCATTGGCACACGTTTGGCGCCAGGGTTACAGGGATGGGGGTATAGGGTTACAGGCAAATCTATACGGGCGGGGGAGGCAGTGGCTGTGGCTTTTCCTGGTTAAAGTGTCCGGTCTGGGCCAGCAACTCTTTCAGAGATCAGGGAGAAACTGAATTCTGCTTGGAAGCAAGCCATGGTGGTGCACACCTGTAATGCCAGCACTCTGGGAGGCTGAGGCAGGAAGAATGCAAGTTGGAGCCTCGCTTGGGCAATTTAATGATTTAGTGAGACCTTGTCTCAAAATAAAAAAATGAAAAGAACTGGGGATACAGTTAGTGCAAAGGCTCCGAGTGCAATTCCTAGTACTTAGATACATAAATGAGTAACTACTGCATTCAGTAAGGGAAATCACTAGGCAGTTCCGTCTCCTGTGGCAAATCTTAGGATCCTTCATTTGGCAAAACTGTGCTAACAGAAGACTAAGGCAGAGGGAGGGGATTGTCCTTTAGCCCTCCTTTGGTGACTTCTCAGTGATGAGGCCCCACTGCCTAGCCGTGTCCCTGATCAAGCTGACGTTAATGTCTAAAAAACAGCAGCTACAGCTACAGATGCTGACCTGAATGCTCTCTCCCCAGCCCTGCCCCACCCCTACCCACACCCCAGCCCTCACCCCTGCGCTTTGAGGGAGGTAAATTATCCGGCTTTTTCCTGTGAATCAATCCCCAGCGTCAGTCCTTTCACATCTGGCTCTAGATTATGCATCATAAATGAAAAAAGATAACATTTCCAAAGTTTAAATAAAAAAGCAGTCCATCATTAATAAATACATATTTTAAACTATTCGAGTACCAAATGTCATAGCAATCAAATATTTTCAGGAACCGCAAGCTTATATTTTTAGGAAGCTCATGTATTTTACCATCATCATTCTGATTTATGTTCCAGCAACTTTTGACTCTCTTTCCCAGCCAGGACCATTGGGGTAACCCTGAGGTGAATGTATGAAAGTGCCATTTCCCTTCTCCTCCAGCAATGAATAGTCAGTCACAATATCGTATTCTGGGATTTGAATCCACTGCCGCCTTTTTAGGGTGCTAGCCAGTTAGTCTTTTCTGAAAGCAAATTGCTTTAAGAAACAGTTCTGGGAGGTAAATGTCAAGTCTGATCACCAAGCCCACGAGTGTGAAGTGCTTTCCCTTCTGCAGCGCCTTGCAGCAGCCGCCCCGCCTCCGCCAGCCCTGGCCCTCCAGCTCTCCCCGCTCGCAGACACAGCCCTTGCCATCTGGGTGGTTTCATGTAACAAACACAAACTTCTTTTTCCTTTTGAAGAATGTTCCCCTCCAGGAAACTTGCTAATCTGAAGATTACATCTCAGCCTCACAGTATTGAAAAGCAAAGCAACAGAACAGTGAAACTTTTCCTTCTACTTGCTGGTTCTGCCTCGAGAAGGCCTGACTGCTTAACTCAGTTCAGTAATTATTCAGTGAGCCCCTGCTCTGTACTGTGCACTGGAGATGCAGCTCTAAACTGGACCCAGCTGGCTCCTGCCCCTGGTCTGGTGTGTCCTGAGACATTAAGCTGAAGCGATGCAGGATGACTGCCAGCTGTTACCTGTGTCTCTACCAGCTGTTCATGCCACATCTTCAGGGTCCCTCTCAGGGCATCCAGGGACATGCACAGCTTAGGAATGAAGCATCCCTATCGGCAACGCCAGAGTCCAACACAGAGCCTTATCCTTACTACACACTTGCTACATATTTGCTGAATAGGAGTGGATAGGTGTACATTTTCATAGACAGTAAATCTTTCTCAGCCAGATGTACAGATGCCATGCAACCATTCATGCAATTGAATGTTAGCTTTCAACCTCTGCTTCGACTACATAATATTTAGTCCCTCTTCCATCATAGGTGAAATATAAAGGTTGGAGAGTCGCAGAGATGGGTGAATCTGTACTTCCATGTGTTTTTGTTATATCTTTACTTCAGTGTGTTTTTGTTAAATGAGTTTTACTGAGAGAAAGTGCTCATCTGAAGCCTGGGTCACATCCTTGTTCATTTCTGATCCTTACTGCCCCTGAGACTTCCCTCTCGGAATTAACACAAATAGAAGGCATATTCATCAGACTTACTGACTTCAGGCTACCAGGTGAAACAAGCCAGTCATGATAAAACAAGTACTGTAGGATTCCACTTACATGAGATACCTAGAGCAGGAAACCCACACAGGCTGGAACTAGAATGGTGGTTTCCTGGGGCAGGAGGGAGAGAGGCACATGCCTTCACTCACGCATTGGGAAAACAGGAGTTTGGGTATATGCGCCCCACTCTCCCGGCTGTGAGAGTGGGAAACCCCTGCAGAAGGACAATAACAACCTCCCTTTCCTTCCTTGCCTTCTTTTCCCCACAGGTCAGAGTTTGCCGTGGACATAAGAACAACCTCCTCTGAGGGGCTGGTGTTTTATGCCGGGACCAAGAAATCCTTTATGGCTCTTTACCTGTTGAAAGGACACTTGGTGTTTGCTCTGGGGGAAGAAGGGAAAAAACTGAGGCTCAAAAGCAAGGAGACATACAATGACGGGAAGTGGCACACGGTAAGATCATGGCTACACGTTAAGTGTTCCAAAAAATCTGAAATCCAAAACACTGCCAAATCCCAAAATTTTGAGCATGACATGGCACCACAGTGGAAAATCCCACTCCTAATCTTGAGCTGCAGTCAAATTGCAGACAGGCTAAAAACATCGTATAAAATTATTTTTAGTTTATAGGTATATAGTATATATGGACATAAATGGATTTTGTGCTTAAACTTGGGTCCTGTCTCTAGGACAGCTTATTAAGTGTTAAGGAATATTCCAAAATCCAGAAGATCTGAAATTTCTAACACATCTGGTCCTAAGCATGTCCGATCAAGGTATTTAGCCTCCACCTCCAGTGACATTATCTGTCTGATAATGAAAATAGGACCCAGTGTCCTTCCCGTACACAGAGATACGAGGATCCGGAGAACTTGTGTGGGTGGAGGCACTGGCCACCCAGCATCTTGGTGCTGGGACTGCTGCATACACTATGTATTGATGATGCCCTAAATGCCCAGGTGGATGCAGCCACTGCTCCTTAGACCCCCTCCATCCTCACTGGGCTGCTTTGTTCCCTGATCTGCATCCAACCTGCTTCCTGGACCATTTGCCTCCTGCAAAGGCCACTTACTGGTTACCTGAGTTCCCCTCCCTGCCCATAAGCATAAAGACCTGCATCCCTAGTATCCTAGTTCTGGCCTCAAGGCAGACCAGATTTTTAAAAATTCAGTATAGTACCAGAAGGAAATTTTTTTTTTTAAACTAAGGGAGCTAACACTCAGCTTACCTAAGTGAGTCGACAAGATGCAGTCACTTAGTCATCCAACCAGTAGTTCATGGGCTGCTCTGCTTGAGCACATAAACACAGCATTTTCCGTAGAACCTCAGATACGGGCAGGTGCATTCAGAAAACACTAGAACAAGATCAGGAAATGACAGTGCAGGCTAGGGAGACTGTTTTAGATCAGGTAAGTTAAGAAAGGCCACCTGCAGAGGGTGACTTCCATGTGAATTTCTATGGGCGCTCCAGGCAGAGCAAAGATGAAGGTAAGGACCTCCAGGTGGGAATTAGCACGCTGAACAAAGCACAGAACCAGGAGAAGCAGTGGAGCGGGAGGCGGGCTGGATGGTTCAATTCTGAAGGCCATCCCAGAGGACCTTGGATTTCATTCCAGGTGTCTCTGCGGCTTTGGAAGGGCTTAAACTAGTAAAGCAGATGGATTTCTTTTAAACCTCTCTTCAGCTGACGACGTAGTAGGGATGTTAGAAATAGAAGTGAGGACTCTATAGACGGACCAAGGGCTGAAAGTGCAGAACTGGAATCTGGACAGGCCCCAGAGGCAGAGCAGAGGCCCAGCCACACAGGGGCTGGGAGAGAGGAGGCCTGGATGTGCAGCAGTCTGCCCAGTGGGGGGCATTTGCTGAGATGGAGAAGGTGGAGAACAGGCCCTAGGGCCTGAGAACAGTTTCCTGCTGGTTAGGGTAGGTGCTCAGATGTGCTACCCATGTGTCCCAGACAGACAGACTGGAGGCTGCCGCTTGATATGGAAACTGCAAAGATCGCAGAGTCTGCACCAGGGCCCAGGAGACTTAACTGGTGGCAGAGGGTTGAAAACCCTGGCCCTCATGTTAGCAGGGAGGTGGCCATGTTCCTCTTGCTCCGGGGAGCATCCTCGACGGCATAGATGACCTCCGCTCCTCTCATTATATACACTCTGTGCCTTCCCTTTGATGGGAAGAAGCTTGCTGATTTCTGTACCACTGGTTGCCCATCATTGGTACAAATTTCCAGATCAATTGTATCTGTTTATTTAGTTCACTTTGGAGTGACCTTTTATTTATCTGCCCTTTCTACTTAGTCTGTTCAATATCGAACACAATCTCACAAAACAGTAGTGATGGGAACAGGAGCAAAACCTCTCTCTCTCTCTCTCTAGCAATCAGAAAGGTAAGAAACTTGGAAAAAAAAGTCCTGTGACCACTAATAAAATGCAGCAGCACTTACGAGAGGGAAGAACTTGACTTGTGTGTTCTCTCGACTCCACAGGTGGTGTTTGGGCAAGATGGCAGAAGGGGGCGCTTGCTCGTGGATGGGCTGAGGGCCCAGGAGGGCAGTTTGCCTGGAAATTCCACCAGCAGCCCCAGAGCACAAGTTTATCTGGGATGGTCTCCATCAGGGAAGCCAAAGGTAAACATAGATAGAACAAATCCACTTATAATATAGTCATTGTAATGATAGAAGATGTTTAACAATCTCAAAATGCTTTAATATTTTAAAAAATATTGAATGTTGACAGGGCCACAGAGAAAGAGCCCACTCCTCACTAGGAAGCCTTCCTGGGTTGGGAGCAGGTTGATGCAGCACCTAGATGAGAGTATAGCCTTTGTGTCTTTCTCTCATGAGGTCCTTACACCTTTCCTGGTGTTACTGCAAAATAAACCAGATGGGGAAGAAATAGCACGGAGGAGGTTTAGAAGGCAGTTTATTATGCCTTGAGCAGGATCTCTTCGAGTTAACCCTGCCTGGAAGAGTTCCAGGGCTTTTATGGAGAGAGCAAGCGTGGTACAAAAGTAGATTTGATGCAGTATGATTGGCAAGTTGGGTGACATCTCAGGTTGCTAAGAGAGTTTAAACATTTCGGGTTACATTACAAGGCCATTATTTATACAAAGCATGGGTTATACAAAGGAAGAAATGTCCTGTTACACTTTAAGTTACATTGCAAGGCCATCAGTTATGCAAAGGCAGTAAAGATAGAGGTTACACAATGGAAGAGATGTTTTGTTACCAGGCCCATCCGGAAGTGTCTGCCTGACTTTGGAGGGCATTCTTGGCAGGCTTTGATTTCTCTTTCAATGGGCAGTGCACACACATTTAAGGCTGTAGGTTGAAAGCAATTTTGGATTAAGGCAGTGAGGCTCTTTAGTCATCTACGCCACCTTTGCCATCTTTGTTGCACTCAGGGAAAGCATTTACTTCATAGTTTGCTATTGCACTTAAATGTGTTTGTAAAGGACTTTTCTCTCTGCCCTAAGTGGAAGCCCAATATACTTTTCTAGAAATAGTACAATAATATAAAAATAAATACATGAAAATGAAACACTGTTATTAGCTCAGGAGTGTGGCCTATGCCCCCTTCACAGGGAGAAACACCTCACTGGGAGCTTGTCAAGTGGCCAGGTAGCATTCAAGACATAATAACACAAAGCTGCAGTTTGTCCCTTGTCCCTCAGAGGGTTGGACAGAGAACTGAAACAGGAAGGAGGCTGAGGGGGCTCAGTGAGAGCAGGCTTTGTCATGTGTGAGACCTGAGTCCAGTCCCGCCCTGAAAGAGGAAGGAGAAGGAAGGACAGGCTATCTGTGTAGCTCAGGGCTATGCAGTGTTGGAATTTTTTTAAATGCCAAGAACCAAAATTGGGAACCATGGGCTTAAGGGAAAGGCAGGACTCCTCTGTCCCCAAGGAGGGGACTCTTGCCTGGATGTCTGAAGCTCAGAGGCTGTGCTGAGCCACGGCCTGGGAGCCAGCTCTGTGCCTGCCTCTCCCCCATCTCTCCTCCCATCTGGCAGAGCATCAGTTGCACCTGGACCACTTGGGGTGGCCCAGCACATTGTCTTTCTCCTCCCAGATTTGCCCTTTGCTCTCTCAAAGCTAAGTAAAATGGTCCCATCAGCAGCTCGGGCTGCAAACCATCCTCCACCTTCATCCAGGCTTTTCCCCTCTCCTTGAGAGCTGGTGGCACATCTTGGTCTGATATTTGCTTGCAGGGAGGCAGGGAAGGGCCCAGACTCAAATGCTGGCTGAGAAATGGACTTGTTAAGGCAGATTTTCTCCAGGGCTTCAGCCTGACCTAGCCAGAGGCAAAGCCTCCACAAGGCACAGCCTGGCCCACTGGAATTTTGCTCAAGGTTTGTGCCGAAGGCCCAGTAAGCAATAAAGTATTATTTTGCTGTCTTATATGTAATAACTTTAACATGGATATGATACATAAATTATAACGTGGTTAAATTCTATGCACAATAGCGTGCCTGTAATGTAGAATGTATTAATTACTACAGAGAATCCTCACTGTTGATGTTGGCTTTCCCTCAACCTCTGGATTGTCTCCCCCTTGGAGAAATCACAGGAGGGGGCAGCTATTCAGCAGCACAATTCAGGGGTATCCTTCTGAGCTGGGTAGGTTCTTTTATAAAGCTGGCTTCCTAACATCTGGGGCAAATAGCAACATACATTACAGTATTCTCATCAATCAGGGTTCTTTCCATAGCCTCCTCCAACATGGGGGTGTAAACCATTATCTTAGCCCTCCTGCACACCCTCCCACTTGGCTTTTAGGGGTTCAGGGGCAGGTTATGACTGTTCTGGGAAAGTACGCACTTGATTCTAGATTTGGGCTTTTCGCTGAGTTGCAGGACTCAAGTGTGGGCCTAGAAGTGGATGTCATTAAGAAAGGTTTACTTACTAGCTTGAGCTCCGGGCTTCTTAAGAAACTAAACTTCACGAGGACCATGGTTTATTGTTGACACCGGCACCATGTTCATCTCTAATATCACCGTTGTCTCTCAGTGTTACTGGCTCATGCTCCTGTTGTGTAGGATTCCAGAGCCCTAAGTGCGTTTATTCTAGAAGGAAGTTGGGGAGCTTTTATTCAATGATTCTTAAGATTTGTTTTTTGAGAATTTTATAAATACTCTGAGAATCTATGAATGCACTACAGTGCTTCTCTCTAGCAAAATGTACACATGGAGAGCATGTGCTATAAGAGGTTACAAATCCTTAGAAGCTCAGCCTTTGGCTCGGGTAAGGAGCCCAAGCCCATCCAGGATGCACATCTGTAATTCTCATTTTAACTCTGCACCCTTTATGCTTTGTTAGTCATACACTGAGCCAAACAACGAAGGGAGCTGTTTGGCCCTTCATCATTTATGGAACATTTTGGCCTCATTTTTTCAATTGGCTTCCTTGCATTAAGCTCTCACCCCAGCTCACGAAACCCTCAAGAGTGGTTTACACCTGCAAAGCACTGGTGAGCTCTGTGAACAGTGAGATGGAAATTCCCCCCACGCTGCATCTCCGTCTGTGCATGTGACTCAGGGTTAGGTTGACCCAAGTTAGCAACCTCCACTGCCCCCACACTTCCGCACACACCCCACTGGGCATGGAGATGCCTTCGAACGTCAACAACCCGCCAACAGCTGGTAGACAGGTTTTCCTTGACACTCTGGGCAGGGAGCCAAACAGAACAGTCAGACCCACCCAACTCTGTGAAGCAGGAACAATAAATCTTCTTTTGCCAACCAGTTGCAATACCCCTAAGCTCAGTTACCCCATGCATTTTGGGGAGTTGTCGGTAATGACCATTCTTTTCCACTTGGTTGCAGAATCTCCCCCAAAACAGCTTTGTTGGGTGCCTGAAGAACTTTCAGTTGGGATTAAAACCCTTGGATTCCCCTTCTGCAAACTTTGGGGTGTCTCCTTGCTTGAATGGCTCTTTGGAGGAAGGCATTTATTTCTCCCAAGGAGGAGGTCATGTCATCCTGGGTAAGAAGCAGTTTGGTAAAGTTCATGTCTTTGAGTGTTAAGAACTCTATCTTTGTCTTTAGTTATGATGGTTTAACTGTTTGTTTTCTCCTTCTCAAAGCTAACTCTGTGCCGTTGGAGCCGGGGTTCAAGCTGACATTCAGTATTCGCCCAAGGAGTCTCACTGGGCTCCTGATCCACATTGGAAGTCAACAAGGACAGCACTTAAGTGTTTACATGGAGGCAGGAAAGGTGCGTAGCAGTCTGGTGACCTGGGAGCGGGACATGGAAACCAGATTCCATTTATGGAGACCATAGCAAGTAAAGTCATGATAGAAGCTGAACCTAGCCTTATAGTTAAGTTAGCCTTGGAGATGACTTATCATTTTACTGTAGCAAGTAAATTTATTGCTATGGGTTTGTTGTTGTTGTTTGTCTTCAAAATTGAGAAAATTTATAAACTGGGGAGATTTCCAGGTGCACCACTTAGTTATAGAGCCCTTGGGAAGTTTCTTAACCTCTTTCATACTGTTTCTCTAAACCAAGGGTAGCAATTCTTGTGTCCTAGGGCTTTGGTCAAGATTAGAGAAGCTTCCATGTACTTCATAAAGGTCCATTTTCCTTCCTCCCTTCCACCTTCCACACACCTTTATCAGAAGGGCGGTGCCAGAATAACTGGGACCGGTTTCCCAGCCTTCTATAGCATGTCACTCCCGTGCCTGTGGCCTTGTGTCCACGGACTCGGTCTCGGTCCTCTCAGTCTCTCCACACAGGTCCAGCCCAGTGTGCCTGCAGCCGAGCTGGTCCCTGGGCCCCACACCAGCTTTCCCTTGCTTTCTCACTGATTCCTTCTTCAGCTTATGCTGCTCCTACCTCATCCCTCCCGTCGCTCACATGCCTGAGTCAGCCTCTCATTTTCCATCACCCAGTTAAGCGCCTTTCTTCTCAAAGCTCTCTGTAAAACCACACTCTTCCAGGAAGCCGCTCATCGTGGAAGCCTTGAGTCAAAATTAATGCTGTGCTATTTTCTTTCATCTCTGTCTTTCTACTATTTATTAAATGAGAGGGAAAATAGTCCTGGGAGAAAATAAAATGGCCCAAACTCCTAGAATAGTTTTTCCTCCAGTACCCAGCCACTTGCATGTTTTTTTTTATTTTTTTATTCATCTTGATTCAACCTTGGAAGGTCCTGAAGGAGGCCCTAACTAGAGAGTGGGCACCCAACAAATGTCCAGTTCCGACACACTCCATCAGCCTGATCAATGTCTTGACTGTAACTGGCTGGCCCTTACAACAGGCTGTAGGCCACCCCTCACATATTTGTCTTCCAAGGCCATACATATGTCCTTCTCAACAGAGCCACTGTCACATATGGATTGCTGAGAAGAATGGTTGGTGCCCACTGGTAGGACCACTAGGACAGGGTCCGACTTGGAGGCAGTGGTTCATTGTCATCACCATTACCAACAACTTCAGGCAGGGCCTGAGTTTGTAGCTTGCTTGCCAAGAATTGGGGGACCATTAGGTACAGCTTGTGGGCTGTCTGCCTGGCTGTGCCTGGAAAGGGAAGAGGAGGAGAAAAGTTGTGTCTACCAGCTGGGGAAAGGAGCAGAAAGATATGTATGTGTTCCAGGTCACGGCCTCTGTGGACAGCGGGACAGGCAGGATGTCGACATCATTGACACCCAAGCAGTCTCTGTGTGATGGGCAGTGGCACTCAGTGGCAGGTAGGACATCTGGTCCCTTGTTGTGCGCACACTGAGTCAGTCTCTTTGCTTGTGCAATTCAATTTCTCCAGGCCCAGGGCAGCCTCAGGCCATCTTTCCTAGTGCTAACCAGCTTACCCATCCACTGTGAACCCCAGCTATGGGGATGTAATCGAAGCTGCTGCCTTTAGTTCTCCATAACTTCCTGAGTTGGGGAATTTTGGGGTGTGTGTGTGTGTGTGTGTATGTACATGTGTGTGTGTTCTGAGTCCAGCAAATTGATAAGTTGTATTAGTTTTCAAGGCAATATAACACTGTAGTTTAAGTTTTGGGTTTGAGGTCAAAAGGAAAGAAGTCACATCTCAGTGCCATCCTTTACCCTGTGTGACTCTGGACAAGTGACACAAATACCATTTACCATCAGTTTCCTCATCTGTGAAATGGAGAAAAAAAGTAGCATGCACCTCACATGGTGCAAACATTAAATTGGATAGCGTGTGTGAAGTGTGAGCCCCCTAATAGAATAAGTGTCTGCTCTGACTACTGTATTGTTAAGTCTCATTGTTGGGTTATTTTTTTCAACAATCAGTTAAATGCAAACTATTTAAACAAGCTAATGGTGGAGAGCCAAGCATATCCTCTCAAATAGAACCTGCTATTTGATTAATAACTCATAGGTATTAGTTTACAGACATGTGCACCTGTATTTGCTAAAATATCTTGTGTAAAAAGCAATCTTTCCTTGTCTAATTTGAAAACCAAGTATGTTGCCATTAGCTACCATGGGAGGAATTTGCTTCCATGGGTCAAAAATGGGTCGACTGCCTTGGCATCTATTTTTAGAAGCAGCACTGACTTAGAAAGGAGCTGAGGTCCCGAGAAGCAAGCATGGCTCCTGGAGATGAGGTACCAGAGCTCGAATGCCAGCTTTTTATAAACCAGGCATCTGGTCAGGTCCCAAGTTCTTCTCAGCCTCTCATCTGGGAAAGGGAGATGACAATGTTTTCTGCAGAGATACATTTTAGGGAGCAGTCTGGTAATTATGCAGAAGCACCTCATGCTGCCGGCACTAAGAATTAAGTGAGTTGGTACCGAGTGGACTGAGTGCCTGCAGGCAGGGTGCCATGCGAACGCGTCCAAAATGAAGCCAGTGGTGACACCACGATACAGGAGGGACTTTCCTTGGGTGATAGATTTAACCAGCTTCCTCTCTCCCAGTCACCATGAAACAACACATCCTGCACCTGGAACTGGACAAGGACAGCAGCTACACAGCCGGGCAGCTCACCTTCCCACCCCACAGCGCCCAGGGGTCACTACATGTTGGCGGTGTCCCAGGTGACGCTCATCCTCATTTCTTCCACACTTCTCCAGCTTAACGTCAGCTCTTAACGTTCCCCACCGCGTGGGTAATTAGCAGGGCGGCCCTTGGCTGGATGGTGGAGATGGAGAGGCCCTTTGTCTAGCACTTGAGGAAACCCAGTGACTAATCCAGGCCACATTACTGCTGCTGCCCCTTGCCCCAAGCCTACCATTCATAATCCTCTCCTAAGAGGCTGCATTAATCCAGCACCTGATGTCAGCAAGGCATCAGGCAGAAAATCTGATCTCCCTTCCCGAGACATTTATTCTCGCTGCTGAATTGTTAGGCTTCGTGGGGCCAGAATGGGAGAGCTGGGCAGGTTGAGATGGAGGCAAATTCAAGACTAAACTTTTGTCTGGAAAGAGCCTTTTCGTTCTTCATTGCTTTATGTCCTTCCAAATGGTCTGTCTGGTTGTTAATTTTATAGGCCCTTTATGACCCATAAAAAAACAGCAGAGTTCAGAGTTATGGCCTATTAATTTGAACTGTGGAACCTCGTTTTCTGAAGAGTCGCCTTGTTGTTGACTTATCACAGCAGGCACAGGGTCAGCCACCTGCTTGAAGAGGAAGAAATGACCAGGCTGTGGGGTCCCCTTGGCTCCTTCTTACAACTCTCTCTAAAACTCAGGGTGCGTTCATTTGACAGTATCAAGTATTCATTGAGTGCCTCTTGCTTTTCTCTTTCAGCCAACTTGAAGACACTGAACCTTCCGGTGTGGAGGTCATTTTGGGGCTGTCTAAAGAATATTCTAGTCAATCACAACCCTGTCCCTATCTCGAAAGCCTTGGAAGTCCAGGGCTCCGTCAGTCTGAGTGGCTGCCCTGGGCACTAACGCCAAGCTACCACACGGCAGGAAGTCACCTTTAGAAGCACAGAGGACCTGACACTCCTTCCTCTGCAACTCTAAGTCATTTTTTTGTTTGTTTGTTTTTTTGGTCTTTTTCTTTTTTATCGGATTTTGGTCTTTTTCTTTTTTATCGGATCGAACTCACGACTGCCTGCTTGCAAGGCAGGAACTTATGCCGCTGAGCTAAATCCCCAGCCCCTCTAAGTCATTTTTGGCTCAAGACACCATCACGGCGAGTTTATGGCAGATCTAATCCTGAATTATGACCATTTTACCCATCATTTTGGTATTCATTGCTACATATTACCTCATATAAAAATCTCATCTTCTTGAAGAAGATGAACAAATTGTTACTCAAATATGCACACAAAGTCTTTGATAAATTTGTCACAAAAATGTGCCTTTAAAAGAACTCATCAAAAAAATAAATTTCCTTTAGAGCACTTTAAGGCTTTGAAGCTTTTACATATGTTAAAGGATTTAATTTATGGGGTTAAATAAAAGCAGTGTACTTTTAAATTCTATGTTTTCAAGATATAAAACCAAAGGTGTGATGATCATTGTTAAGCATATTAATTCCTTAGCACCTGGTCAGCGTGCTGCCTACAACATGGTTTTCTATAAGTAATTATGGAGCACAAACTGGGAGGTTCTGCACATTCTCAGTATGTGAACTACAGTGAGGTACAGAAAGTAATTCAGCCCTTAAGGAATACTTAATTCAGTTGGGGAAACAGAATATTCATAAAGTAGCAATTAACAAATTTGATTCATGAACCCATCCAGTAACAAAGCGCACTGGCTTCCCAATCCTTTTCTTCCCTAATCTGCTATCCGTGAAGTCCAGATCATTATTACCAATTCCAGTAAAAAAAATTACCAATTCCTTGAAGACTCAAACTATCTAATAAGGGAGCTCAGGTGGAAGCTTCCAGAAGTCAGCAGTGGAAAGAGATTTCACTCTCCTATAAAAAAGAGAAGGAAATCACTTCTAATTTTAGCTATAAAATATTGAATGCTGTACTAGACCAATATAATTACTCTACACTACTTTCCATAACAAAGAAGACTATGTGAGCATTTCTGTATCTTCTACATATTATTTGTTCATTAAGACAAAAATAACAATCCTAAATATTGAGTATAGTAATCCTATGACTTCCTCAAAGGTATATGCTTTCATCCTCTGAAATTGAGTCACACTCCCCTGTTCTGTGTGACATGTGCACTGCAGTATGATGGGTATGCTTTCTAACAATCATCAGCACAGCTCTGGAATGTTCCAGGGAAGTAGCCAAGTACCCGGCATGGAGGTTCTATGCAGAGCCTAAGTGGGGATCCTCAGGGATGCTATGCTGGGTCAAGGGCTGAAGCAGATGACTAAGTCACGTGCTTTCTGAGAACATTGATTTTCAAATGAAAAATCTCCCAGGCAACAGAATCAGCCTCAGAACTGAGTTTGCTGCAAAATTATACATACTACCTATTGTTGCTAAGTCTTCACCAAGTCCACATTCTCTCCTGGGTTCCTGGTGTTAGCTAGAATTGCATTAGTGTTTTTTGTTATCTCTTCCTGCAAATTAAGGGACAGTTCATCTTTCACTGCCTAACCGCAATGATTTTCCCGCTATTCTGTGATAACCTGAAGACAACTCCCCTATCTGCATTTGCTAAATAAAATTCCAGTCACAGAAAGCAGCAGAGAGAGTCCCAGATGATTTATACCTGAGGAAAGAAAGTGACCTAAGTGTAGTTGTTCTATGATTATAAATTTGTGTTTTCTATAAAGAATGTTTATAGGTCTTGCACTGAACCAACATGAAAATCATTAATGAACTGTAAGGTGACATACAACCTTTGTCCTTTGTCACTGCTATCTTTTTTTTGGCTCAGTGAGCTCACACTGAGTGGCCTGACCTTGGGGTAAGAGGCTAAGCAAGGACATCAAATCACTGGTCAACAACCCTGACTTTGTCACTGCAGGGCCGTTATTGGTTCCTGCTGTGGTTTGAACATAGTCTTTTGAGTACTCCCCCAGTGGTCCATTATTTAAAGGCTTGGTGCCCCAGGGCAGAGAATTGGCAGGTGCTATGAACTTTCATGAAATTCCCTTTCCTTAAGATTGTGCCTTCGAAAGGGATTGTGGGACCCTGCACATTCTCCACCTCACTTCCTCACACAAGATGTGACTGCCCTGACACACATTCCAATCAGAATAAGCCACCGACCTCACCAGAACTGAGCTGAAGTAGGCGATTTGCCTTTGAACCTCCAAAACTGTGCTAAATAAACCTTTCCTCTTAATGAAGTTGGTTTGCTAAGTATTTGTTGTCCCTTGTAGGTGACTGATACAGTTCCATTTTGGTACCGTGTGGTGGGGCCTGGAAAGCACACAGCTTCCTGGGCAACAACTATTTCAGGGCAACAAATATCTACAGAGCACTTGGGTGCTTCTGGAGGCTCGCTTCTCACAGCATCTCTCAGTGTACTTGTCAGTCTCGTTCCTCAGTATGCTGGGCATTGAGATTTTGCTTTGCCACACTCAAGATAGATCTGTGTCAGACCACAGTGGCATGCGATAAAACACACTGATTTCCTCTTCTCCCAGACAGGAAGTGGTCTCACTCACAGAGAACCTGAACTCAGCTCCTCTCACCACGCTTGTCTCCCTTCTTCAGTGCTGCACTACAAAAACCCAAGACACCAACCTCTGTTGACCACGTTCCTCTCTGCTACCCCAGGTCTCTTCACTAATTTCAGCTTTTGGTAGCTCAACAGTGGCCCTGGAAAAGACCACTTCTTCATAGGAGCAATGATTTCAAGCCAGCATGTGAGAGGAACAATTTTTAAAATAACATCACGTATTTCACTGACTACAAATGGTATATGTATGTTCATTAGAGGAAAAATCAGAATATATAGGAAAGTATAAAAAATCACTACCCAGAAATTTGTTTATATTTAGCTGTATATGTATGCATCTTTAAAAAGTCATAGTATTATCTTTCAAAATCATGATTATAGTACTTATTTTTATTATGTGGCTTTAAAAAGTGTGCCAGTACCAGTTTCTCAGGTTTTTATAAAACATTTCATTACACCAAATGAATTTACTGTAGTTCATTTCACCACCATCCAATCTTTAGATACTTGGGATATTTGTTTCTTACAATCATAAGCAATAATAGAATGAATAGGACATAAATTTATTTAAAATAAATTATCGGAAGTAAAACGCTTTGACTAATGCTATGAACATTTTAATGGTTGTGGTTAGTTACTGATCAATTATGCCCAAAGGGTATATCCCAGGGGTGGCAAATATACTGTTTGTATCACTAAAGGCTCTAAAATGTTCGCAGTCACTGGTATACCCATCTACACTTAGAATCATTTTAAACTGGGCTTGGCCCTGGAATATAAATCCCCACGGCCCTCCAACAGTCTTCAAAACTGGAAGCAGCCATTTAAGCAAGCAAATTTTAGTGGCCTCCTATGCCTGATACCCAAAGCCTCCTGTGCTCAACAGTGGGGCTCTTGGAAGGTGCCTGAATTATAAACGCCAGAGAGCTGATTCTGGGGCAGCATAGGTGATAGCTTTTAGTGGTTGTTATGGGCGTGGCCAGAAGTGGTATGTCGCTGTGGGCGTGGCAGGAAAAGGTAGTTCCCGGTGGGCCTGGCCCAGAACGCTGCACTTCCTTTTAGCGCCTCTGTCAACTCTTCCTGCTTCCAGTCCACCATGCGCCAGCAGCTCTGCTCTAACATGCGCTTCTGTCCTTCCAGTCTTGGAGCCGGAGGATCATGCAAGGACTGAAACTACTAAAATGTGAACAAAAAAAACACCTTTCTTCCTTTAAGTTGCGAGTGTCAGATGTTACATCTCAGCAACAAGAAAGTGACTAAGACATGGCCATGGTTATCTAGGTTAAGAACAAATCACATCACCTGAAAACACAGTGTGTTTGGCTCTGGGGGGCCATTTTGCAAGATGCCTGAGGAAGGAGAAGTCCTTCAAACTGGCGCTGAGCCACAAACCAGCCGAGATTGTAGAACACATCACGTTCAGAGGGCATTAAGCCAGTGCCAACCAGGCTGTGCTTCCAGGTGGAGCAAGGCCCTCTGAGGGTTTGAATTCTCACTGTGTCTTGGCAGCTTGGCCCCAGCCAGCCACCTTCTCCTCCACCTTGGCATTTTGCTTCTTGATGACTGACACTTTCCCAAGGATTCTATCAGATAACATTCTAGAATTTGAATTGGCAAAAGCCCAAGACTTTATCCTTCTCACACCTTGGCCCCTAACAGAAAAATCCAAATCAGAAGTTCTTTTAAAAAAAGTTGACACATATTTATGGTGTATAGTTTGATCATCCAGTACATACAAATTGTGCAAAAAGATCAGATCAGATAAATTGAATTTCTAGCTTCTTAGTTATTTTTTTTTTTGTGTTGGGATCCTTCAAACCCTTCTTTTCTAGTTTTTTTTTTTTTTTTATAAAATAAGAATAAATTGGGGCTGGGGATTTAGCTCAGAGGCATAAGCACCTGCCTTGCAAGCAGGTGGTCGTGAGTTCGATCCCCGGTATGATAAAAAAAAAAAAAAAAAAAAAAAGAATGAATTGTCAGCTATTGTCACCCTACTCTGCTGTGGAACACTAACCCTTATTCTTCTTATGTAACTGTGTTCGTATCTATTATCCAGCCTCCTTCTGTTCCTCCCTTCTCTCCTTCCTGGCTTCTACTGATCTCTATGCTGGGTGTATGAAATCAACATTTACAGCTTCTGCACGGGAGGGAGATGGTCCCTTTCTTGATTGGCTTAGTTCACTTAACATAATGTCTTCCAGTTGCATCCATGTTGCCACAAATGACAGATCTCATTCTTATGGCTGAACAATATTTCATTGTGTCCATATTTCTTTATCTATTTATCTGTTAATGGTGCCTCAGTCGATTCTTTTTCTTGACTACTGTGAGTAGTGTTGTGATGAACACAGGAGTAGCAGATACATAGCCAGTAACAGAATTACAGGACCATGTGGTAATTTTTTTAAAGGTTTTGAGCAGCCTCCATGTGTCTCCCACATGGCTGTACCTTTTATTTATCAGCACTGTACAAGTTCCCAATTCTCTGCATCCTCATGGTATTTTTGTCCTTTTTATTACAGCCATTTATTTTTTATCATTTTTACATGGATCATATGAGTATATGGGGTAAAATCATATCTCATTGTGGTTCTGATTTGCATTTACCTTGGATGATAAAGGATGCTGAGCATTTTTCATGTACTGATTACACATGTTGCACGTCATCTTTTGAGAAATGTCTGTTAAGATTATTTTGCCTTTTTAAGTAGTAGTCTTTTCTTCCCTTCCTCATAAAACTCTTGGTTTTGTTTGTTTTTGCTGTTGAGTCCTTTGAGTTCCTTATATATTCTGGCTATTTATTCTT